TCCTGGATTTGCTTAGCAGTTCTTCACGGCAGTGGTCAATAAGTTGTGCTAGGTAAAGCCGTACACTTGCTTTTTCGCCTTGCGTGCCAGTGGTTTTCACCATAGCATGCTTTGCTGGCGTTTTACCAAGTTCAGTCGCTAGGGCTGTTCTTGTCGCTCCGGTTGTCTTTGCCGGTTGCCTAATATCGTAGCACTTGCCTTTGGCTTTTTGGGGTTCTTTTGCAGTAGGTTAATCAGGCTTGGCGCGCTGTTTTCATCTCGCATCCTGCTTCGCGGCTTTGAGCTGGGGGGGGAGTGAGGCGCCAAGGCCGCACTATTAGGACAGCGACAGCCATTGGCCCTGACAGCGGGTTGAGGTGGAGGGAGATGTGGAGGATGCTGATGGTGCCTGCTCGCCACTGTCCCAGCGTTCAAACTGCATGGGAGGCCGATAAGGCAGGGCCGGCAGGTAGTATGTTTAGCAGCATTTCTGGTGTAGATTCAGCCTTGGTTCTAGCCTAAGCAGTGCAGGACATGAAGTGCTTGTTCGGAATGCTCGCAGCATACCAACGGTGTTACGGGAACCGTGCATTCGCGAAAGCAGGTAGGGCACAGCTACAGCGGGAGACCAGCCTTACCTGTGCGGAGAAACGATCGGAGCTGTGACACAACACAAAGCGGTGTGCGGGAAGCGGGCTTCCAAGGAAAGCTCCACCCTCCAATATGTCGTCAGCAGACCCAGCTGCTGAGGCGACGGCCTCAGAGGTCTTCTGCTTCTTGTTCGGCTGTCCGAGGGCGTCTGCCTCTTGGTAGAAGCGGATCACGCAGTCGGAGTTCTTTTCGCTGCCAAATAAGTTAGCAATGGCGCTGAGAAGGTGTTTGTTCCCAACAGGTGGCATTTTGCGTGCTGAGTTTGAGTGCGTTGCAAGTCGGTCCGCCCTTTACGTGAAACTATGGAATTGCTCATGACTTGTTTTTGTGATGGGGTGGACAACTTGCTATATTGGGGATGGCGCGTAAGTCTATAACTAGCCGTTTGACACCGGAGTGGCGTCGTCGCAGCAAGCGGAAAACCCGTTATTGCATACAATTTCCCAACGTTACTGCGTCGTGTAACGCGTTATATTAGGTTGCCCGTTCGCACCTAAGCTTTATTTCTGATAGTGGTACCGGGTAGTGGTTGATGCCGAGACGTCATTAGCCTGGTCATTCTTAGAGACTGCCAAGCATACGTGCAGCACGGAAGCAACACTAGATTGGTCCCAGAAGAGACCCAGTACGCATACCCTGGGACCAGACACCAGAGTTCGAAATGTATGCACGTTACAACTGCCATCTAATTCCTAACCGGTTCTCCAAATGGGACCTCTTCGCCCCAAAGCTACGCCCAGGTTCACCATTTTGTGCAACCCGATAACCCGTTGAAGCTGCGTTCGTTACTCGTTGGCTTTCGTCGAGGCGAGCATCGGACTTTCCAAAGCACACCCCAGGAAGTGAGCTATAGGCAACAGTTTGTAAATATTGTTGCCTATAGCTCAATTCCTGGGGTGCCAGTTAGCGTTGCCTGAATGCTGCACCTGAACGCAGCGATAGGACCAGCGTCGAGCGAGTCGTATCACCGACCTACACTAAGTCCAATGCTTGATTCTGCATAACGCTTCGACTGATACTTATCTCACTTTCTTTATCTGACAAAGGCTCTAGCACCTTCTGCTAAGTAGCGCCGTCGCGCGTTGCCTCGTATGTGCTGCAGTTGGCGACCCATCTAGCTTTTCCCTGGTTCCCGTAGCTCGAAGCCTTTAGGACACCAACAATCAAGCTGTTATATATACATTATATTCCTAAGCAAACATTACCACGAAAAATCGCCTTCGACCACTGCCATAGTAGGCCAGCTACCCCCGCTCCGAGCCAACGCTCTAGCCACCGCTTAAGCCAGTAGCTACGAAGCTGCCAAGACATAACCAGCGTACAGCGGGCGTCGGCGCAGACGCCAAGCGCTGAAGCTTAAGCTCTTCCTCAAGGATTTGGGACCTGCAGATTTCCCGGTAACAAGCAAGCAACCCGATCGCTGACAGCAATGCTCCGATGCGACGTCAGCCTCCCCTCCCGCGCCACTGGCCTAGTCGTGCGCCCCCGTCGCTGCTCCAGCGACCCCAGCAGCAGCCTTATCCAGGCATCTGCAGCGGCGGCCACAGCAGCGACCAACAGCTACCCCTCCTCCCCCTTCTCCTCCCTGTCCTCTTCATTACCCGCCGATGAGGAGACCCTGGTGTTCTTCCCTGACCGGATACACCAGCTGGAGGGAGGGCTGTGCGGCAAACCATTCAAACTGGGCCAACAGCTGCGCCTCACGGATGCCGGCGGCGCGCCGCACAGCATCTGCGACAGCACGCCCTGCGCCATGTACGATCCCTTCAGCAGCTGTGTGCTGTTTGTGGAGGGCTATGCGGTCATGGCACTGCGTGAGGATAACCGTGTCGCGGTGCTTGCGGGCAGTCAGAGGGAGTGTGACCGGGTGGATGGGGAGGGAGCCGCAGCGCGCTTCCAGTACATTCGGGCCTTGACAACGGATGGCCGTGGGTCGGTCTACGTCGCGGAGAGCCACTGCATTCGGAAGATTACGCTGGCGATGCCAACGCCGTCAACACCACCCGTGTCACCCATGCCAGGCGCTGCTGCTGAACGCCACAGTGCTAATGGTGCTGGCGGTGGTGGCAATGGTAGCAGCAGTGGCAGTGGCGATGGCAGTGGCAGTGGCAGTGGCAGCGGTGGTGTGGCTAGGGTGACTGTTGTCACTTGTCACAACAGCAGCAGTAGCGGTGGTGACGGTGGTAGTGGGGACAGCAGCAATGGTAATGCCGCCAGCAGACGCGCCATTAGTGACAATGGCAAGAGCGCCGGCGGCTACAAAAGCAAGGCGGGGGCGCAAGGAGGTCCCCAGCTCACAGCCAGTGTCAGCACCCTTCCCGGCTCAACACCACTCCGAGACAGGTGGTTCGCCATCTCCTACGAACCCATTGAGGACGTGCTCGTAGCCACCACCGACACCGCCGTCTTCCGCATTCCTTTCAACGACAACGTTGCTGACATCCCTGCCGGCAATCCAAACATCGACAGCAACGCCGGCGACGGCGACAACATCCTAGATGTCGTGGACAACAGTCCAGCAGGCATTGATGACCCTGCCGCCAGCACGCCACAGCTCCTGGCAGGCGACCCCAACCTCCGCGGCAAACACGATGGCTTCGGCAACACCGCACGCTTCTACTCCATCACATGCATGCTTGCACTCGCCGAGGGCGCTGGTGTCATTCTCTGTGATTCCGCAAGTGTTCGCAAAGTCGACGTCGTCACTGGCGAAGTCGTGACAGTGCTGGGGGACGCCAGCATTCCAGAAGACTCCGCAAGCCTTGCCGTACTGCCATTCGGCGGCAGCCTTGCGGTCTGTGGTTCCAACTACCCGCCGCATACCGTTGCCGTACTGGGCCTGGGCTTCCAAGCTGCTCTCAACCCGAGCCTGGCAGCTGGATCGGTCCTCCCGTGTGCGACCACGCCACTGCTGCCGCTGCCGCTGCGGATGGCGCTGCTAAGGGGCCGTGACAGCAGCGGCCGTTGCCGCGGGCGTGACGGCAGTGCTTCCCTCCCCGGCGCTGTGGGTGCTGGCAGCAGCATCAGCGGCAGCATCTCCTGGCCTGGAATGCTAACAGCCGACATGCTACAACAGCCTCCCAGTGACGCCGGCAGCGCTTCTGGAGAGGCGGCGAGCGACGGTGTCGGCAGTCTCAGCAGCGCAGTTGTGACCATCGTGGTGGGGAAGTTACGACTCGTGGCGCATCGAGCCGTCCTGGCGGCGCACTCGGATTACTTCAAGCATCTCCTAGCCGGCAGCTTTGCCGAGGTTGCAGCGAATGAGGTCGAGCTGACAGAGGCCAATTCCGACGCCTTTGCAGCACTCCTCCTGTACATGTACACCGGCTGGCTCGACGTCCCGGCGGCTCTTCTGCGACCGGCGGCGGAGCTGGCAGGTCGGCTGCTCATGCCGGCGGCCAGCAGTGAGCTGCAGCGACGACTGCTGGCGACAGTGACCCCTGGGTCGGTGGTCTCAGAGTTGCTCTGGGCGGAGCGGCATCACCTGTCGGAGCTGGTTTCGGGGCTGAAAGCGTACTGGGTGAGGAACAGGAGGCAGGTAGCGGCGGCGGCCATGGTGGCGGGTACGGCAGCAGCGGCGGCGGCGGCGAGGAGTACTGCCGTACGGCAGTTGGCGGAGGCGAGTCCGGGGCTTATGGCGGAGTTGCTGCTGGCGGTGTCGTCGGCTCGATAGGTGATGAACGTCAGCTTACGTATAGATGACAAAGTTGGTCTCGTAGTGGGCAGGTGGGGCAGCGATTGGAGCTTAGCAGAGCTTTTGGGAACCACCTAGAACCCGGCTTGGTTAGTTGCCTTAATGGAGTCAGGATGGCGAGCATTCCGCAGGCGTTCTATGCGGCGCGGCGCAAGTGGTGTAAGGAGTATGCCGGTGCGAAGTGATGATGATGGGATGCTGCCAGCAGACAGCCGTCGGCAGTTAGGGTGCAGGAGCTGTGCGGCGTGCTGGAGTACGATGTCAAATCCAGGGATACCTGGAAAGTACGGAATGCATCATGCCACATGTTGGGTGGGTGACTGTACGACATGTACATAGCGACAGAACCTAGGTGCATGGACGACATTGCTGTTTCAGGCTGTTGGCTCTCTGGCATCTCTGGCGGTGTCCATGTGCACCACCGCCGTACGCCTGTAGCTGCGCTGCTGGAATGGTTGTTTGAACGGGTGTTTGGACATTGAATAATTACGTTCAAGGTTTGCGTCTACTCGCATGAATGAAGGGTTGTGGGATGAACGCCAAAATGTTTGCATGCGCATGCCATGCCTGGGCGGGTTGACGGATGTTCTGTGTACCGGTAACTGACATGGATATTATGGTACATTCACGTGAGTGAACCCCATCCACCTATGTAGGGTTAAGAGTCTTCTATAATGGCCACCAGTTGAGCTGTGTCGTAGACACATGCGTGTGCAGTTGTTTGTCGGACACAAGGCAAAAACACACGACCCCACCGTTAATAACCTTGCTAGTCTCCTCGCCCTTGCCGTCTACCGTATTCATGGGCTTATGACGACCAATAGTTTCAACCCTCAAGCAGGGGTGCTTACTCCTTGCGCAGTTCCGTATGTGCGATTCAGTGCATAACCCTCCACAGTCTCCCCCGGCCCTCGCCTACCTCTTCTCTGTAGCCCCTGTCCCCACACAGCCCATACTAATGTATGGGCTGTGTGGGGACACCCAACTATGCATGGACAGATACAGCATACAACAAGCATGCGGACACCCTAAATAGCATCCCTCACTCTCAGCCGCGACACATTAGGATTAGAGGGGCAATGTCCTCGACACAAGGGGAACATGAGCTAAGAGAACGCCACGCCGCAGTATCTACCTGGCATGCGCCGTATACCAACCTATCCACAGAGGCGCGCCAGACGGGCCCAACGCAGCCATCCCCTCTTCGCGGCCACCCTAGCTGCGCAGCGGGGCAAACACCTCATGTACCACGTCAACAAACTCCCCTGTCATACCGTCGTACCGCAACACCAACCGCTGTAGACCGCCACCGCCACCGCTGGCGCTGGCCCCGCTGCCGCTGCTGTTAGTGCGCAGGAGGCCACCAAACTCAAACGTCACAAATGCGTCTTTGCTGTCACCGCCAGGCTCGGGTTCCGCAACCGCTCGAAGTGTCGCGGGCAGTCGGGCGTACATGGAGTCGGGCAGCGGCAGCAGCAGCGCAGATGTAGAGCTGGGTACATACACGAAAAGGGCGGTGGTGATGGAGAAGGGAAGGTAGCAGAGTGTGTCCGGGGTTAGTCGAAAGGGAGAGACTTGCACACTGCAAACAGCATTCAGGAACAAAGGTTCAGACACAGGCATATAAAGAGACCCATGGGTCAGGAGGCCTAGAGCCTCCTTATCAATCCCGCACAGTTCAGAGCTTGTGCCCACGTCCCCGAGCCCCTATCCCCCAACCTTACCTGTTCGGCTCCCACACCACTGGCTCCTGAAGCCCCTCCTGCAGCACCAGCACCTGCTGCCCCTGCTCCTCCTGCACTCCGCTTCCTTCCCGCATCCCAATCCGAGCCACTCGCAAGCCCTGCCAGCGCTCCGGGTCAACCCACGTCGCCGCATCCCCCGCCTCCAAGGTATCCCGAGGGTGGTCCAGGACAGCCCTGGCGGCGAAGTCACCAGCAACCGCGGCCCCGGAGCTTACTGCGGCTGACAGCGCGTCGCGTGAGGCGGGGTCGACGATGGTCTCCGTCTCCTGGATGAGTGTCAGACGACGCAGGGCGCCATCGGAGGTGTCGTACAGGACGGCGAAGCTCCAGCGGTATGGCCCGTCCTGCCGTGGAAGGACACCGGTAAGGAGCCGTGGGTGCAGCCACGCATACGGACTACGTGTAGCATTCGGCATCGGTAGCCATACCAGGTCAAGAATGCTCCTGTCAAAAGCCAACACATGCACGAATGTGCGGCGCTTTAGGACGCCCCGCTCTCCCTCTCCCTCCCCCACCCTCCCGCCCCTCCCTCCCACCGCCTCACCAGCAGGAACACCTCCATGCCCCACACCGGGCTCGCCCCAACCACCGGCAGCCCGCCCCACTGCATGCTGGAGCCGGAGGACACCGCCACACGCGCCCCCACCCCGCCTGCCGCCTTCGCAGCATCCGCATCCGCAGCAGCTGCCGCAGCAGTTGCATCTGTTCCCCCGGGCGCTGCTGGGGATGCAGCCGCCGGCGGCGCCGTTTGCTGTGCCACACCATCACCTCCAGCGGCAGGAGCAGCGACAGGAGGCGTCAGGGCAGGCGGCGGCGCTCCCTGAGGTGCTGCGGTCGCTGTTCCCGCTGCAGTGGGTGCGCTGGGAGGCGGCTCCAGGGCGATTCGGGGCAGGTTGAAGCTGCCCACGTTGATGAGGGAGGCGGGGTCCAGAACCAGAAGTGCTCCGCTGCTGCTGCTGGCGGCGGCACTGCTGCTTGGGAAGGGGATTATGGGGGCCTGTGATAGGAGAATAGGCATGCAACGGGGGCGAAGGGGATGGGGGAAGGGGTGATTTACGCGTGGGGCCATGAGATGAGTGGTTTGGGGCATTCGGAATTCGTTCTTGCAGGCAAGCTACCCACTTCACGACGTCGGCCTACATCACTACAGCGTCCCTACCTCCAGTCGTTCATGAGAGAACTGGGGCCCATCGTAGACAAAGTCTTTCTGCGGGTGAGGGTTATGAGCAGGGGCCAGGGTTCACCTTCGTGCAACGTACATTCGTCAGGAGGGCACACGTGTGTCAGCTCACAAAGGGCCTGACCAAGGCTGCTAGAGTCATGCGCACGCACCTGGTAAAGGCCATCTGACGGGCGTGGGAGGGTCCCCGGACGTGGTTTGTCGTACACGTTTGTTTGGTCCAGAACCGTACGACTGGCGTCTGCAGTAGAAAGGGACAGGTGGAGAGATCTCTGTCGGGAACCAGATGACCTCGAGTTTTGTTCCAGATGACAAGCTGTGGACGGACGTCCAGCATGGCTTGGAGCCCCAGGTGCCATGTGCTCTTACCTCTTGCTACGGACGCATGCAACATCATACGTCATCTGCATTCTTGCCCCAGCCCTGCCCCACCCAGAACCCACCCCTCCACTTGAAGGACCGCAAGCCCCGCACCACATGCGCTGATGCGGGGTCGTGCGCGTCCACGAACCAGTTGCCCACACAGCCGTGCCAGCTGCGTAGTTGAGACAATTGGTGCCGTGGACGGGGAAGGGAAACAGGAGGGGAAAGGGAAGGAGGAAGGAAGGGGCCAGATGAGGGTGAGTTCGGCGAGAGGTGTAGGCGACAATAGACGTCGTGGCGCTGGCAAATGCTTTGGGTTCTTAAAGGTCTTGGCACGACTTGAGAACTTTGAGAGCGTGTGTGGCGACAAAACTCGCGTCAGCCGTAGGTACGGAAGTCCTGGCCCGAGTAAGTAATCCAGCTTTGCAAGACGAGCCTACTATTGCGGTTAAAACCAGAAATTTTAATGGCGCTTGCAGCTAAAACGATTCATTTTGCAAGCAAAAGCGACAGCAAGCGCCGAACGCCAGACGCCTGCCTGCGACCCACCTTTCGCTAGTTTTGGAGTAGCGATGCGTATCCTTAGCCTTGTAGACGCGCTCTTGCAGAGTCGGAGCGTTCGGCTGGGATGAGATCGCCTTCGCGATGCATGGAGGCCGAAGCAGCAGCCTGGAGCCTACCTTTTGCGAAGTCACGCTAGAGCACCTGAGATTGCGTTGCATTTTTGTTGCTGCAAAATAAGCGGCGTCGCGGTTGCCGAGCGTTTGCCAACTACTCGCATTGTGCAAGGCCCACGTAGCTACGAGCATTGGGAGGTGTTGCACGTGAACTGCGTTGCAGCAGTTGACAACTTAGTAGAAGCGATAGAGAGGCATAGCGTTGAATTGCTCAATATGATAGGGTACACAAACAATAGCAAACGTTGGCCATCTGGACGTTAATTTCGCAACTCTTTCCGATCTCCTGTCCTTAGATCCTGCGCGTTGTTGCCATGATCACGTGGACGTCGAACACTTTACATTTAATTCATCGTCGCGGCGGATCGAGACAAGCCACTACTTGCCGGACAACCCGAGCACGGAGGTTCCTTGTGCGGGTCGCTTGCTCCTCATCAGCACCGGGCGAAGCCGCATCGGGCAGGCGCCCGCTTGTCATCGCCACTCGGCCGAGCCAGCTAGCACAGGAACAGACAAGACAGGTACGGCTGTCAGCCTGGGCATTGGGCAATAGACGACACGACAGATGCCCTTGGGGGGACAGTCGGGCTGCCCGGCCGTTAGCTGGGCTATTTTGAGCTGTCCTAACCTTCCAGAGCGGTGGGCATCGCTACTCCTCGTGTTGCCGTTGCTGTTGCTCAGATGACAGCCGGCAAACATCCCCGCCGTGCCCTCGTGTCGGCCTCTTGCGTCCCGTACATGTTCGCCCAAACCCCTGCCCCGTCCTGCCCCCCCCCTCATGTCCCCATGCGCCCCTAGGTCCAGCGGCTGCTGCTGGCGGCCGCCCAGCTGCGCAATGAACCGCTGGAGCTGTCCGTACTGCCCATCCGTACGGCAGGTACGACCGGAACGAGACGAGCGTATGCCGTACAGAAGACAGCGAATACCGTTCCAAAACGCGCCAAACTTCTCAACCAATTCAGCACCCGTCCTCCTTGTTCACACTTCCCTTCTTCCTCTTGCTTGTTGTTGAACCGACCACCACAGCCTCTCGACTAATGCTCTCCCAGGCACTGGCGCCAAGCCAGGCTAATGAGGCTAGCCCCACATCGCGCGCCCTGCCCAAGTTCCTTGCCCAATCGCCCCTCCGCCAGGCGACGCCGACACCACCTCCCCGCTCCGAAACCTGGGTTCCGGAGCCTTTACAGAGGCCCTAGATGCGGCAGTGGCGGATTGCCGTACAGCCGACATGGCGGTCCACAGCCTGAAGGACTGTCCGGCGGTGCTGCGGGAGGGGCTGGTGCTGGCGGCCTGCCTGCCGCGGGCCGACCCACGGGACGTTCTGGTGGTTGCGAAGGAGGCGGAGGAGGCGGGTGGTGGTGGTGGAGTGGCGGGGGCCGGCAGCAGTATCAAGGGGCTGGGTGAGTCGTTAATGGTTGGTTGGGTTCCGATTCCTGTTAAAGCGAGCTGGACGAAATGGGCAGAGGCGCATGCATGAACGTGTTACGCCTAGGTGCATTGGGGCGTAAGACGTGACTGGTCTTGTGGTGGGGCATGTCGCATGTGGACTAGTGCTGTATTACCGTACCGCACTGTGTTATGCTTACCCAATCCACTTATGCTACCACTACTCGTCCGCTTGCAAAACCCCCGTAGCGGACCTCCCTCCTGGCAGCCGAGTGGGCACCAGCAGCAGCCGGCGAGCCGCGCAGATCCGCTACCTGCACCCGCACTTGCAGGTGATGGGGTGCGGGGTGGGTGGGGTAAACATGGTGAAACCAGGCTGATGGTGGAGAACTGAATGACAACCCGCAACCAGACGACTCGGACCAGCTATGCATGCTAGCCGCTGATTGCTTTCTCCTGTCCTCCTTGCTTGTTCGCTCGCTCGCATTACCCCTCTTAACAAACTAACCACGGTACCCCCTCCCGTCTCCATCTCCACCCCCACCCAGGTGGTGCAGCTGCGCGGTAACGTGGAATCGCGGCTGGAACGCATTCGGACCGGGGAGCTGCGGGCTACTGTCATGGCGCTGGCAGGTGGGAAAGGGGGGGGGTGACGAAGAATACCCGATTGCTTAATTGTTGGGGACTGGCAGGGGGAGAGAGCCGGGTTTGGCAGGTGTATAGGGTGGTTGCGGATTGTGGTTGGTTGTTGTTTTCTGCAAAATTCCCATTCAACACATTGGGTATTCTTCTTTGCCCCTCCGTCTTCCCCGCCGCCGCCGCCCCCAGGTCTGCAGAGGATGGGGCGCGAGGACGCGGCTTCCGCCGTCTTGAGCACGGAGGAGATGCTGCCAGCCGCCTGCCAGGGAGCAGTGGGGGTGGTGTGCCGAGACGATGACCCATGGGTCCGCCAGTGAGTGCTGCATGCCCCACATGTGTTCTTGTTGTTGTTCTTAGTGTGCCGACCTCGCCAACCTCGCCGTGAGCGGCTGGGTTGCAGATGGTTGCATCCCTATTCAGTAGGCCTGCAAGGGACGCCCCCTGCCCCGGTTCGCCTCCTGTTCCACACGTGCTCCACTCCTCATGGCCTGCACCCCCCGCCTCCTTTCCCCCGCCCTCCTCCCCCTTCCCCTTCTCCCACACCAGGCTGCTCTCCGCCATCTCCCACCGCTCCACCCTCCTTGAAGTCGCCGCGGAACGCGCCTGCCTGGCTGCCCTGCTGGGGGGTCCGGGGGCGGCGGCGGGGTGGGCCGGCCAGCCCTTCCCGGACGTAGCATGGGGCTGCCACACGCGCTACCAGCAGCATGAGGGGCAGCAGGAAGGGGGGCAGCAGGGGGGAGGTGAAGGCGGGGAGGGGCGGGCCCAGGGCGGCTGCATGGACCTAGACTGCTTCGTGTCAGACCTGGAGGGCAAGCAGCTGTTCAGGTAGGTGGGGGTAAAGACAAGGAAACTGACGAACTGCACGACGAGGTAAGGGGGGGGGGGGTTGCGCCATGAGTGGCGGGGAGCGGTGCGGTACGTCCGGGGTAAGGAGGGAAGCACAGTCTAGGGGTGGGGTAGCGTGCGGGGCTTCCCTTGGGTGTAGTGTCAGATGGGTGCGGTGAAACGAGACTGCAGCAGTGACGACAGCAGGGAGGCGGGGGTATAAACCGATGGGTGAGCTGGTGGTGCTGAGGGTCCTAGCTGCTGGTGGTGCTGCAGCCGTGCAACTGATCTGTATATCTGCTGTGCGGCAAGCGCTAAGCTGCACACGGGTTGAGAGTGTTCCTCCTGCATGTACGGTAAGCTTCTTCACCACGCAAGCATCCACCCATCCACGCATGCACCCATGCAACCCAAACATGCACCCCACCCCACATACACCACACCACACCCCCAACCCCACCCACCCCACACCACACCACCCCCCCACCGCCGCCTGCAGGTACACCGAGTTCATGCGGCCGGTGTCAGGTCCGCAGGCGGCGGAGGAGCTGGGGGCGCAGTACGGCAGCATACTGCGAGCTGTGGCGGCGGGGCAGGGCTGGCTGAAGGCGCCATGAGGGCCTGATGCAGGCACACAAGGTTACCTCTGTAACATTCTGCATCATGAAATAAGCACCAACAAACATCGGTAGCAAGCCAGGCGGAGCTGCATCGCCAGTGCTGTGTTGCGTTCTGGGGCGGAATCTGGTGTGATGCGTACACATGGGTACTGCGGTGTAGTGCGGAAGCAGCTCCTTCAAGCCTCTCAGCCCGCGGTGCTGCCATCACAGTCTTACACGCCGTGACACGCAGGGAGGCCATGGAGGGCCATTAACTGGAGGCCGCAGCCTGCACAACATCCCGCATGCAAGTTTGGGTCTTAGTTTCTGCCGCTTACCTGGCAAAGGTAACTCTTATGTGCAACTTAAGTGGCTACAACGATGTTAAAACCAGACCAGCCAATGCTGCTCTCCACGTGCAAAACCCACGAGCACCAGCACGCCTGCACAACAATCAGGAATGCAGGATAAGCATTTCGGTCCACACCGTTTCCATCATCTACATGTACAACAGGGTAACGTAACAGGGTCGACGCATGCCAGCGATAGCACCCTCCTCCGCGCTGTAGCGCGCCCTTTGTCACTGAGACGGAGGCGGAATCACCGCATCCGGTACGTAAACCAGCGGCCCCCTCCGCACACCTCCACTACCTCCGTAGCGACCACCCCCACTCCATCCGCCACTGGCACCTGTGCGGCTGCGTTGAGCACTGTCCTCCACTTCTATCGTAACTACACCGCTGCTAGCACTGCCGTTGCTGTTGTCAACAACCACATACACATCGCCGCCTAAGGCTTTGCTTAGGTCTTTTTCATTCTGACCGACTCGCCCTTCTCCCTCCTCTTCCTCCTCATCTTCGTCAAAGTAGACGACGTTGCCGTCCGCCGTTTCAACTTCCAACACGACACCCTTCACATGCGTGATGATGCGCACCGGCTCTCGCAGTCCAGATCCCCTCGGTCGACAGTTGCAGCAAGCGCAGCCGCCAGGACTGTGAGATTGTTGCTGCTGCTGAGGGTCTTGCTGTTGTTGTTGTTGTTGTTGTTGTTGCTGCTGCTGCTGCTCTGCTCGCCAAGTTATGTTAGGACCTGTTTCTGAGCCTTCTGCATTCGTTCTTGATGTTGTTGCGGATGGTCCCTGTTGACGTGAGGGGGCAGGTCGCTGTGACGAAGTGCCAGCAGCTGCAGCTTCGCGTGGCCCATCGCTGCTGCTGCTGCTGACAGCAGAGACCGGCGACGCGCGAAGGTATCCTGGCCGAGTCCTGAGCAAGACCGACGAAGCTGAACAGCTATATAAGGTATTGCATATGCTTCTCCTGCTGGACAGCGGGCTGTTGTGCACTAGTTGCTGCATCATGACGAGGGACGTCGTCGTAGAAGGCCTACTCGGGCGTTTCAACTAATGTTGTCTATTTAACCTCAATTATTGCGTTCTTGAGCTAAGCTTTTCGAACGCAGTCACTGCTACAAGGAGCAGGTTGTCAACGGTCACGGTCACGGATGAGTGGCCCACTTCGGTTCCCCTAAGAAATTTTGACCGAGCTCAGACTCAATCAAAAGTGACTTCTACTGCTATGTAGTAATAGGAAGTACCGTAATATAGCATGCAATGGCTCAGTTGCGCGTTGGGGTGCCGTATCTTTTCATGCCACTTTGTAGAGCACATAAGTGGCAAGGCCATTCCGACTGCTACGGAAGGCATTGATATGTTGTTACATGCATTGGTCCATCTGCTCCGAACTCTTGCATGCATTTTAGCGCAGAAAACATTGAACCATTGTGGCGAGACATGTCAGCTGTCGATGTCAGCACCAGCCATGCGCACATACTCGCCAGTGACCAAACCTTCAGTGGTGGCCTCCAAGCAACCTAGACCACTACGCATGATTAAAGCTCTCATAGCAACCCCGTTAACGAGACACACGAGCTTATACCACTAGGCTTGAGTATAGACCAGTCCTACCCACACCCGTTTCATTAAAAGGCAGCACAGGTCCAAAGGCACATACAGGAACACTTACGTTGGGCAAGGAAAGACAGGAAATACGCAAGGAAGCACGACACCTGCCCCATCATGCTATTCAGTAACACGGAAGAACCGCACCTAGGCACCCACGGGAAGAAGTACGCAGCGTTTTGCAACTGCGACCTTACACCGTGCTATGTACACCTGCTGCTGCTAACCTTTGCGTGCGTGCACACCGTTAGTACTGGTATTAGTTTTCAGCTTCTGCAAAATTGTCTCGGGGAATGGGGCAGCGCCATTCGATTTTTCAAGGAGGGGCAAAAGTTACACCCGGGGGGCATAAGTTATGCCCCAGCCTTATGCCCCCGGGGGGCATAAGTTATGCCCCGGCCTTATGCCCCCGGGGGCATAACTTATGCCCCCTGGTGCATATGTTATGCCCCGGAGTCACGTCCCTGCGACATAATGAAGAGCTTGGGAGGTTGGCGAGCATGCTTGACGCCCAGAACCCATATGCAAGCCCTTGGGCTCAAGTTATAACATGCGGGCATAAGTTATACCCCGGGCATAATTAATACCCCGGGCATAGGTTATGCCCCGGGCATAAGTTATACCCCGAGCATAAGGTATGCCCCAGGGGCATAAGTTATGCCCGATGTCGTATGCAATTGTATTTTGGATGCGGATACGGAGAGGCTGATGGTAAGTGCGTTCAGGGATCATGCCTTGTACGTTGGAATGCCTGGTCGTAGGAATGCCGCAAAATAAGCGTCCGCGGCGTCAGGTGCATGACTGCCGTCTGGCTGCTTTTGGTCTGCTCTGCCATCTGACCTTGGGGGGTATAGACTTTCGGGGTAGTAGGTCGTGAGAACCAACTGGGTGCGTGCCTTATTCCTTTCTGCCATCTGTGTGTCTGTGGGAGCGTAATAGTTTCGGAGATGATTGGCCATGCCTAGCCCATGGCCTTTGAGGGGGGCACCACCGAGGGTTTGGGCGCTGCCGGCGTGCGTGCGCATGGCTGGCGGGGACATTGGCAACCGACATGTCGCCACGACGGTTAAAAGTTCCATGCGCGAGAATGCGGATATCAGTTTAAGACAGCTGCCCGAGTAATTGCAACAACATATCAACGCCTATCTTAGCAGTCGGAGTGGCCTTGCCACTTCATGTGCTCTACGGAGACTTCACTCAGTGGCATGCAAAGATACGGCGCCCCAACGCGCAGCTGAGTAGTTGCCTGCTATAATACAGCATTGCTTATTACTACATAGCAGTAGAAGTCAATTTTACTTGAGTCTGAGCTCGGTCAAAATTTCTTAGGGGAACCGAAGTGGGCCACTCATCCGTGACCGTGACCCAACATGACAAAGCAATCGCACACCAAAGGTCCATTACCTACAGTAATTGATAAACCTTTATGAGTAGGACTAATTTGTTTCCTGGAAATGGTCCAGAACGGAACCTTTCCATCTGCATGACTCATCGGTCATCGCTAGCCGTACCCGTGAAACCCATTACCCATAGCGCGGCTGTCATTTTACCTAGACAATGCTCAGTCAAAGCTTACGCGCATAAAAGGACTTGCTGGCCATAAGATTGTTAGAGTGCTACCTCGGAGACGGGTGCATGTACGGGAACAGTGTTACAGGCTGGCGACCCCAACGCCCCCTTTACCCCCCATGTCTCCATTCGAGGGGATTTGGCCCCAGTTGCGATCCTCTATAAGTGCGATCTTCAAACCTACGGAGCCCAGAGGTGTGCGCTAGCCTTTGTGTCTAGGCTCTAGGGTATTGGGGCTGACATACCCCAGCAGGAGCTGCAGCCCGCTATAAGCAGGTACGGTACACTGCAAGCCAACCGAGCAAAGCTACACCGCTATCAGTCTGCATGCCACACGCGTTCACCCTCATCTACGTGATCTGTCTACGCAGCTAACCGAACCTGTTACAAAAACCAGCCATCTTGCATTGTATTCTTCTTCAGTTACAGTCCTATGTTACTCGCCCTTGCTACAGCCTAGCACTAAACCTGTTAACCTGCTGCTATCCCTGCCTGCATGCTCGGGCCATGCTTTGCCTGCCATTCCTGCATCCCTGCCTCCCCTGTCGCCTGCAGCCCAATCCTACCTGATGTCCTGCCTGGGACAGGAAGTGCGGACAAATGCCTCTCCTCCACAGTTGCGTAAAACGTTGCCCTCCTGCCCATCCTGGTAGGCACTTCACTGCATCTTTCCCGTCTGCGCTCGTCCTCACGCTCCAGCAGACAGGCACATCCATCCTTTCTGCCACACACCAACTCAGTCCCGCAACCTCACGGCCCCCCTCCGCCATAGCTTGGCTGATTGCCGTCTCCTCATGTAAAGCCCTCAGCACACACAACCTCAACAAGCAAGCAGCCCCCAATTGCAACCACTATTTCTTCCAATCCTTCCAGAAACCAGCTATGCAAAACGGGTAAGCCGCAACCCTGCAGCACCTCACTGGCCAATACCTCAGGCCACCCTAGCTGTGTTGCTGCACCGGAGCTCCCGGCTGCACCCCGGCACCGCCCACCGCCCCGGGACCACTCCGCGCCGCCGCCGCCGCCGCTGCTGCCGCCGCCGCCAGTACCGGCAGCATCGGCACCTGCTGCTGCTGCTGCTGACCATGATGCTGCTGCTGCAGCTGCTGTATCTGCTGCGGCTGCAAGGGAAACGCCTGCGGCCGGCCAGGAAACAACGGCATCTGCTGCTGCGGCTGCGGTACTTGCAGTGCCTGGTGCTGCTGTGTCACCTGCGGCTGTGGTGCCTGCAGTGGCTGCCCACCCAGGCTCATCATCCCCATCGGCGGCTGCCCCAGCTGCGTCACCTGCCCTCCTCCCACCGCCCCACCTCCTCCTCCTCCTCCCGGCAGCTCCGGGGCCACATGCAAGAGGCGGTACGGCCGCCCCTCCTCCGTCGCCGCCAGCAGCGCACCCAGCGGCAGGAAGGCGGCGGGCGGGGGCGGCTGCGGCGGCGCCAGGGTTCCCTGGCTGCCGCACACCAGTGCGTCGTTGGGCAGCAGCTGCGCGATGAAGGCCAGGATCATCTGCTCGCAGCTGTAGGGGCCCAGCACGCGGGGAGGCCGGGAGGAGGAGGCGGGGGAGGGGGTCTTGGCGGCGGCGGGGTCGAGGTACCACCAGAGGGAGGCGAAGGCGTGCTGCCCGTGGTCGCCTTGGAAGAGCCTGAGGAGGAGGGGGGAGGAAGGAGGAGGAAGGAGGGGTTGCATGGCAGGTAGTAAGGTCGGGTGGTGGTTACACTGGTGAATAGGGAAGGGTGAAGAGGCGCGGGCAATGGACAGCAATGTGTGGGCATCAAGGGACGCAAGGGCGCAATGTACGACACTTGAGGGGGAGGTCACTACCGCGCACCTGAACACAGCGGTCTCGAAGCGTACGAAGGGTGTTGGGATGGGCACCAGCACTCCACCCGCAGGCTGAGGCTGTGGCTGGGGCTGAGGCAGCGGCTGTGGCTGGGGCTGAGGCAGCGGCCGCGGCTGGGGCTGCGGCTGGTGCGGTGTCGGAGCCGGGGGTTGCGGTTGCGGCAGCTGGGGCTGGGGCTGCGGTACCGGCAGCGGCGATGTGTGCTGGTACTGCGCGAATGGCGGCTGCGGCTGGGGAAGCTGTTGGGGCAACCGTACGTCATGTTGTTGTTGTTGCTGCTGCTGCTGCTGTTGCGGGTGCTTGCCTGCTCCTCCAGCGCTAGAGGCGGCCTGCGGCACGGGCACTGGCATCGGCACGGGGATGGGTAGCGCCGCCGGTAGCCCCTCCCCGGCTGCCGGCACCTGCGGCCTGCGGTGCGCCTGCTGCTGCTGCATGGGCTGCGATGCGGCATCTGAAGCCGGGAAGGAACCGAAAGCGAGGGGCGGCTGTTGACCCGTTTGCGAGGGCCCTGCAGCCCCTTCGCCGTTGCCGCTGCTGGCGGCCCCGACGTCAGAGCGCTGGGCGCGTGCCGCCGCCGCTGCGGCCGCCGCTTGCGCGTACGTCATTTTGGGTGGCGACGTTGCGAGATCTGGGGTAGCTGTAGCAGCCATCGGTGGTGCTTGCTTTGCCGCTGCCGGTTTGGCATTCGACGGTGCTGCCGCTTCACTCGCCTTCTTGCTCGTCTGGGCCTGCTGCTGCTCCTTCTTATGAAGCTGCTGCATCGCCTGAGTGGTCTTCTGCTCTTGTTGTGTCTCTTGCTGCTGTTGCTTCCGCTGCACCTCCTCGCTCTTCACCGCTGGGAAGCCAGGGGGTGGGCCCGGACGCGCGGCGACTGCTGAAGCTGGTGCCGCCGCAGCAGCGGTCGTCGGGGCCTCCGACGGCCCAGGCCGGCTGTCAGCGGCGCGGCGGGGCCCTGCTGCCGCCGCCGCTGCAGTACTCGCCGTCCCCACCCCTGCGGGCAACTCGCTAACAGCAGCGCGCGGCGCCTCAGCCGCAGCAACCTTTGACGAAGCCCCCGGTGCCGGCACGGGCGCCTGTTGCTCGCTGGCTGCCGCTGTTGCCGACGTGCGCGGCTCCTCCTGCTTGACTTCCGGTTCCTGGCCAGTGCTCGGCAATGACTTGAATTTCAGCGGCGGCTTCTCATTCTTAGCTGCAGCCGTGGCAGCGCTGGCGTCGGCCGCACTATCGCCGGATCCCTTGGCGTCGGCCGCAGAACCCACCGGTACCGGTACCTGCTCCCGCGACTGCTTTGTGGCCGCCCCAATCGGCCCGTTACCGCCCACTGCAGTGGCTGCCGCCGCCGTCGGCGCCGTAGCGTCAACAGCCAGTTGTACCTCATCCTTACAGACCGCGGAGAAAGGTATGACGCGCCTTGTTGGTACGAACGCCGCCGCGCCGGGATCCAAACGACCTGCCGGCCCTGACGAAACCGAAGCGAGCAGCGTCGGCGCCGCCGCTGCTGCCGTGCGGAGGTGCGCCGCCAGCCGCGACTCCGCATCCGGCCTGCCCTTGACAGCTCGTACGGCATCCTCAATGAAATACCGTACATCCACGGAGCTAGGCGGTGTGTACCGCAGCCCGGGGTCGGACCCCAGCGCCTGCAGCAGCACCCCCAGCGGCAGCACCATGGAGGTTGGGATCCACAGCCCGCCCTGCAGCCGCTCCGAAGTACCCAGCAGGCAGGCATGCAGGCAGTCCGGTCCCGCGCGCAGCCGCTCCATGACCTGCGCCGCGCTCAGGTTCTGTGGGCAGTTCCAACGGCCATTCTCGGCGTAGGCGTTGAGCAGGCACCAGTACGGCGCGGCAGCCAAGAGGGAGCGTACGGCAGCGTCGACGGCGAGGGCGTCCCAACTGCTTATGGGGCCGCGGCTGCCGCCGCTGCCGCTGCTGCTGTGGCGGGCACTTCCGCGGGGGCTGAGGGCGCCGCTGCCGCTGGCTGCGGCCACGGCGGCGCCGGCGGAGGGCTGTAGCAGCGAGCCGGGGAGGCACCATGCCGGCGGCGGCATGCCTGTTACCAGCTGCTGCTGACTAATTGGGGTGTACGGCAGCCCCGCATGCGCCATGGCTAGGTAGTAGACCAGCGGTCGCAGGAAAGACGGCGGCACGAGTGGTTTCGGGGCGTTTGACATGGATGTCGCGGACTGCAGCTGCGTCCTGGCATCCGCAGCTACGCCCACCAGCAGCGTGTGACCCTGCACGCGGCGGCTGCCGTACGCTTGGACGAGCTGCTCGGAGCTCAAGATGCCGGGCTGACCCGTGGGTCCGTTCACTGTATAGTTGTAGTAGACCACCCAGAGGGGTGCGGAGCGTGCGAGCTTCTCCACTGCGGTGCGACTGACCAGTGAGGCCTCCTTGATGCGGCCCGCGTACGCGCCGCCGCCCCCGCTGCTGGCGGCGCCGGTGGTGACGGCGGCACCGATGTTGGCGGCAGGGGCGACGGCGGGGGCGGCGGAGGCCGGCCGGCCAGATGCTGAGGCCGTGCTGCCGAAGGAAGGCAGTGTGGTGCGACTGCCGCCTCGGGTGTACACGTCACCGCCGCCGCCGCTGCCGCCACCGCCGGCAATACCGGTATTGTAGTCCATGTAACTTCCACCCTCCGGGACAGCATATGGGTAGTCCGTTGCCTCAGCAGTTCCGTAGAAACCTGCACATAGGGCCCATAGAATGCCGGGAATGACTTGTCAGCATTTGGCGGTGCGGTAACAATAAAGTGGCACGCTAAGCAGGGGGAAGGACCAGGCGTGTACGTTTCATTTCTCAGGACAGCGGAGGCGGTCGTACCTTGATACCATGCTGCGTCGAAATCCGGACCGTTGCCCTGCTCTGTTCCGTACGACGGAGCCGCAACGCCGTACACATTATTTGGATCAGTCGCCAGGAAGAGCGTAGTGACTTGCGCTGGTGCCGCAGCTTGGTACGGCAGTGCGTAAGCTTGATCGTAGGCACTTGATCCGTCGAGGGTCGCAGGTTGCTGGTGATGCTGTTCGAAGAGTGGATCCATGTGGGCCTGCAGTTGTTGCTGACGAAAAGGCGCGGCGCCGGCCGCTGCCTGGGCGGCTTGGAACGCCCAGCCAGCAGCAGTATAGCCGTCGTAGCTGCCGTCCATCATATTTCGAAGCGCAGCCCGTTCGCGAAAAGCTTAATAAACTAGATTGCTGCTTGTTTGATGGTTGCGGTCTGGCCGTGGACGCGCAGTCAAGTGCTAGGACCGGCAGATGCCATCGGCAGTGTCACACGCAGACACGCTGCTGCATATTGATGACCTGATAGATGGGCATAGCTTCTCTATACATGTAACATGAACTGATTTGTAAATCTGCGCAAAATCATCATGGTGCCACCCTACAGCTTTGGCCAGGTCCGCAGCGGACCCGGATTGCCTTGGATGATTAGATGGATTAACGATGCTACGAAGAGAGCAAATGGGCAGCTGTTTAGCCCTTTCCCGAAGGGGCTGCTCAATGTACGTCGCTGTGCTGTGCTATGCGCGGCCGGCATTGCGCATCAACCTTCCCGCTCTCGGTGTACATGTAAGCTAAGAGTTAATTCCTGGATCATCTTGTATACTCTACTCCGTATAAGGAACATACACTATCTGGACTCCCATTTATGGCGAGTGCAACACCAAAAAGCTGAACCGTCTTGTGTCACCGAAGTCGGACGTCAAAAAGTATCGCTACTTAACCCAAGCATAGCCATAGGCTTGGAGCCCCTTGCATCGGATACCTTTGGTCGGGAGTCTCTGTCTCCGCATGAAGGCGCCATCGGCACCAGCATGGAGCACGATATTGTCATCCTCAGCGACAGTACCGACCTTAGCGATAGTACCGAACGTGACGACGATGATTCGACCAGCTCAAGTCTGGATTCCGAGGCCGTGGCCGTGGAATTCGCTAACGAAGCCGGCCCTTCCAATGTCGTCGCTCATCCCAACCAACGCCTCGGACGCGCCTCCTTCAACCTCCTCAACCTTCCGCACGATTACCTAGAGACATTCATCCTCCACCACGCACCCGTATCCGCGCTCCCCGGCCTCCGTGCCTCCTGCCGCGAGCTCAAGCTCCTAGCCGACCTCCGGCTCACCTCCCTCACCTTACCGTACGAGGACCTTGTACGACATAGCTTCTGGCGGACTTGCGCCCTAACTCGTGCCACGACCCTGGTTCTCAACTTCCCTGGAGAGCTCCCTGCTGCTACTTCTGCTGCGGGCGCCATTGCTGCAAACCCCGCGCCCCAGCCTCTTTCCGCCCTGCTCCCCCCCGTCCTCTTCACCGGCCTCCGTCGCCACCTGCCCGCCCTGCAATCCCTCACTCTCCACGACGTCCACTTCCCAAAGGCATCCGCGTCGTCATCATCCTCACGCTCCAAAGCCTCCTCCTCGACCATCGAGCACCCCCTGGACTTCTCAGGGCTCTCCAAATTGGAGCTCAAGGGCCGCTTCGTGCCCTCAGAGTACGGCAACCCCGGCGCTGGCAACGCTGCCACCTCCTGGCGTGGCAGCGGGCTGAATCCCTTCCCCTGCGGCCTGGGCCCCTCCCTGGTTCGCGCCGCCGCCAGTCTGACGTCACTGCGATTGTCGTACATGACGTTTGCGGGTCGCGAGGGCGACGTGCTGGGGCAGCTGACGGGGCTGCGGGAGCTGGCCATCGAGTGAGGGAGGGGCGGCAGCGGGGGGCAGGGAGGGGTGATAAGGGGAGGCGGGGATACAGGCTTGAGGTTGGGACACGGAGGATTCCGTCTCTGGTTCTGCATTTCGCTGCTTTCCTCCGCTTTCCTCCTGCCGGCAAACACCGACTGACCTGCCACCGACTGACCTGCCGACCTTGCCTGACCCACCCATCTTGCCTCCGCCACCTGCCCCCAGGTTCTGCAACAACCACACCTCGCACGGCCTGACGGGGCTCAGCCGCCTGACGCGCCTCACCCGCCTCACATACGCCGACATACACTACCGGGTGAGGGGGGGTGACGATGCAACTAACGAGGCGGGGGGGGGCAGGGCAGGGGGGCAGCAGAGGCAGGGGGTCATCCGTCTTTGCGTGTCAGAATGCAACAGTTTGTTGCCTGGGATGTCCTAGGACATGCGGCTGCAAGCCTCCCACGGCAGTGGGGCCAGCAGGAGCAGCGCGGCTGTTAACTACCGGTGCTTTTTTGATGTGTTGCGGTCAAGTGACGCCCCTGGTGCCCCCATGTCATCCGACCTGTCGCCCCCAGGCTGGCATCCCGAACGAGATGGTGGGTCTGTCCGCCCTCACGCAGCTGGCGGAGGTCAACCTGCGCCGCTCCGACTTCTACCCAAATGAGGTGGCGGCGTGGGCGGCGTGGGGGCCCAGCCTTACAAGCCTGGAGATATCCTCCGTGTGGCAGGCGAGTGGAGTGGAGGGGTGTCTCACAAGAGTGCTGTGTGATGTGGGTTTCCTGGCGGGCTGTCTTCATGGAGCTCGGGTGCGGGTTGTGCCAGTCAGTGCGGCAGGCTTTGGGGCGAATGGGATGTGGGTTGTTGGGATGTCGGTGCATCGGACACAGAGCGCCGCGTGCTGGAACCAAGGAACCTACCAAGACGGCACCCCCCGCATGCATCTCCTGCGTCTCCTGCGTCTCCTGCTCCTAATCACCGACATTGCCTCACCCGCTTGATCCACTTCCTTTCGAGCCATTTTCCTCCCCCATCGTACAGGTATACCCCCCCGCCCCATGCGTTGTGCCCCTCCCCCGCACACCGGTCTCCACACGCAATCAGATAAACCAACCCTGTGCTGTGGAATGTCGATCGTTCGAACCCCTTGTAACCCCGATCCCTGCCCTTCAGATGACCCTAGACGCGGTTCCTCAGCTGTGGCCGCACCTCAGCCGCCTCACGACCCTGCGCCTGCCCGACCACACCCTAGACCCCGGCATGCTGCGAACCATGATCCGCCACCTGCCAGCCCTCACCGCCGCCACCTTCAACTGGATAGACCTGTGGGATTCGATGGATGACACGGAGGACGAGGAGGATGAGGGGGAGGCAGAGGGCGGCGGTGGCGGTGCCGATAATGGCAACGGCGGCGGCGGTGGTATCAACATCGACGACGGCGGAGGTGCAGGAGGAGGCGCAGCAGCAGCAGCAGTAGCAGAGGAGATAGTGGGTGGGCTGCGGCGGCGTGAGGGGCAGCTGTCGCACACGGCTCTTCGGAGCTTGCAGCTGATTGCACCGCGGCCTGGAGATGTGTGCGACAGGTGGGTTTGGGGTAAGGAGCGACAACGGGCGCATAAAGGTTGGGTTGGGTTGGAGGGACGGCACACACCACTGAGTGCTAGCGGGTGTTGCTTCCGGTTGCCGCGCGTCTTCCAGCCGCTCCTCGTTGTGACATTGACTCCGCCGTTCCCCTGCTGCTCCTCGGCCTCCCCTGCCTGCAATGCCTCCTCACTCCTGTCTCCTCCCCTCAGGTCCCTGCTGGCGTTCCTGCCGGGCCTTACCGAGCTGCGCTGCGGCGACGACACGACACATTCGAGTGACGAGAGAGCGTACGACCTGACAGATGACTTCGCTAGGTGCTGTATTCATTTACTCCTGCCGGCGCCCAGCCCAGGCGCGGGTGTTGGCGGTACTGTTGGTGCGGGCCATGCGCTGCGCGTGCTTGTCATGCCATGCTCTTGGTTGCAGAAAGTGCCCATCGCCCATCTGCCCAGCTTGGAGGTGTTAAGGCTGCTGCCCGTGCACCCGTCGTCGGTCGTTGAGGGGACTGAGGGTGCGGAGGCGAGGAACAGGTGCGAGTGGCGGACCAGCTACTTTGCGGGAAGCTCCTACCTCAGCAACCCAAATGTACGGCAGCTCGAGGTGCCCGACGATCTGGATCTCGCGGAGCTGTTGCGGTTCTACCCCGCTGTACGGCACGTGACCATCTCCGGCTCGTACGGCAATGCGCTGCTGGGTCTGGTGGCGGCGGCGGAGGCGGAAGCGACGGCGGTGTCCGACTTTCAGCACTTCCAAGGGCGGCGCCTGCTGAGGGATCTGACGGAGGTTACCCTGGCGGGTCAGCTACATGGTGCGCAGCCTTGGATGCATTACTTCCAGTCGCTGCTGCCGGCGTTGGCGGCACTCGGGGTGCGTGTCGTACGGGTGGCAGCGATGTCGGGCGTTACGCCGGAGTGGTGGGTCCTGATGCGGAGCATGTTGTTGACGGACCGGATGTCGTTGCGTGTGCCGGGTGCGGAGGTGGGGCAGGTGCTGCGGCGGGATCATGGGCTGGCGCCGCGTGCGGCTGCGGGTCTGGCAATGTTGGAGGTGGAGGTGCTGCGGTAGGAAGGGTGGGCGGCGTATTAAAATAACTGGCCGCGAGGCGAAACGTACTGTGATTGCCGAAAGATGAAGTGGGTGGCGTCAGGCGTGTGCTCATGGGCAGGACGCGATTGCAGATGTGCTGGCGAGTGGGGTGTGTAATTGCATGTGGGGCATCCTTTGGGGCATGGGCCACCGGGCTGCCTGAAGGCCTTGGCTAACCTTCGTGTTTGGCGGTCACTGGAAGGGTTTGTGCCAGCAGCCATCTGGTGTCCCATCACGACCCATGGGTCGTCCGGCACCGCATCCTAAGGGACATAATAAGGGCCATCCTTTTGGCTTTGCACGGAAGTGCGGCTAGTACCCTCTATTCGGCTGGGGTAGGTGGGAAGTATGCTATATCCGCAGCTGCTGTATTGGAGGGGCCTGCGTAAGGCTGTCAGGGGTTTCGAGCAACAGGGAACTCGACAACGAATGTGACAATGTTGATGGCAGTGTGAAGGATGGGAGGGAGGAGGTGGGTGGGAACTGCGAAGGGGCTGGAACCTGGTACCGAATGGGGTGGTGCTGTGTACACAAAATGAATCAAGATCGAGCTTGTTGATTTGGCTGATGTACATCAGTAGGCTGCTGTGAGTAGGACCTGCTCGAGGCTGCAGAAAGACATGGGCGACAAAGCATTTCAGGACGTGTTTGTACGATGACCCTGCTGGCCTTTTGTTTTCTCACCAACCCAACCTACATAGCACTCCGCAACAACGACGCTTTAGTAATCAAGATCCGACTTGGACGGACACCGTTTGCTACCCCAACGAATGCTCCCGAGCCCAGTTGCTTGGTTTGTCATGCGCCGAACGTGCTGCCCAACGCATTCATCTCATCTTATGATGCTTCTACATACATCCCACATGCACACCGGTACACCAAAACTTATTCGCCGCCATGTAGTAACTCATCCAACCCATTCTTGCGCACGGGCACATGCCATGTTGACCTGCTCCCCCCTCCAACCCCAACCCCTTGAATGCGCTCACTGCAAGAGTCCCACCCCCAACCCCACGTTACGGTACTGCAACAAGCGACATGCAGGTTACCCCCCCCCCGCAAAGCCGCCGGTTACAACTGCATCCAAAGGAGGCGCAGCTCTGCCGTAATGGATGGCTCCACCGCCATCATCGCACTCCCTCCCTGGTTGCGTTGCCTATTCGTTACCTACACTAAACACATGTAGCACCATAGCTACCGGTAGGCGGCTGCGCCGGGGTCGACTACCCAAGAATTAACCAACAGCACGGCCTCCTTCCAAAGCAGCGTTACCGCGACGTCAAAACGCGTCTGCAGGAATCCCTCCTGCCAGCTGGCCTGCTGCAGCAAAGCCCTATGTGTCTAGGCATCTCTGCACCTTCCCTCGCTCCCCGAATCCTCTCGCCCCTTCCCTACTTGATGCCCTTAGCTTGCTGCTCCCTCTCCCTACTTGAGGTGTTTGCTGAGGAAGGCGATCAGGCGCTCGAACGCCAGTGTCACCTGCTCGGCGGGCGGCACTCCGTAACGCCACTCTGGGAGGGAGGGGGGAGGGGGGAGGAGGGGTTTGCATGGGGTGGCGGGGGTGCACATGTCACATGTGTGTGTATTGGGCTGGATCCGGTTTGTGATATGGGCCCATGATACAAGCGGTAGCGGCGGTGAGGGGACCTGGGGTCAGGTGTTGGGTAGTGCCAAACATGACTTGAGGAGACACGGGCCTCAGGCACCCCCGCCCCTCCCCTCCCTCCTCCACCCACTCTCCAGGAACGCCACCCCCTCCTCCGTGAGTGCGTTCAGGAAGCTGTGCGGGGTGGCGGGGTAGAGGTGCAACTCCACGTCGCACCCGCCGGCCTTCATCAGCTCCGTCACCTCCATGGCGTTCTGTTGGGGGGGGAGGGGGGAGTGGAGAGGGGGAGAGGGGAAGTGGAGGGGGTTCGGATTAGACCAAACCATTTGAAACCACAAGAGGGCAAATTAATTGGGGAATCAGGCGGCAGGTTTAGTGGAGTGGGGGTGGGTGGTTCGTACTGTGCTTTGTCACCACCACAGGGTGCAGGAAAGGGTGGCATGTGAAGCCAACAATATAGCATCGCATGGTCCCCCACTGACCCGTGGGTCGCTGAAGCCCCTGATTGGGTCCAGCATTCCGGTGTGGTACTGCACCGGGATGCGGATCTTGTCAACCTGGGCGGGGTGAGGGTGAGGGTGGCGGTTGGGATGGGGGTGAGTTGGGGATGCTGCGGAGGGTGGTGAGGAGGGAGAACGACCGCGTTGGGGGGGGGGAGGGTGCGTCGTATTAGGGGGCCAAGGAAGGAAGGAGTCCGAGACTGAGAGGGGCAGCAAGCCCTGACCGCACGACAGGCTGGTGTCAGGGTATCTTGGCAGGGTCCGGGGAGTGCCGTACAAACACACGAAGCAGGGGCATGCGGCATAGGCACGTTGCGGCTATACCGGTATACCTTAATCCAGGGCATCTCCCGCGCAGGAGTGCCGTAGAAGGGCGCCGCGCACGCCAGCCCCGGCACGTGCTGCGCGGCCGCGAAGGACAGCGCACCGCCCTGAGAAAGGGAAGGGAGAGGAGGGAGGGGAGGGCAGGTGAGCCGGAGGAGGAGCACAGCAGGGCAGGAATGAGTTCTTAATGAGTTAAGACCCAACACCCACTCACATGGCTCCGTATGTCCCACAGCGCCGCCACCCATCACGACACGGGGCACAAAACACATACCAGAACCCAGGACACCCCACCCAAGACCCCACCCCACCCCACCATGCAACCTCCGCTGATGCCCACTTTTGGCGAGCCGCTGTCCCTCAGGTAGTGCACCGCCTGCTTGATCTCCTCCACTGCCCGGTGGAAGTCCAGGTGGGTCATGAGCTGGCGGGGGGGAGGGGCATGGGGTGGGTGGTTACTGGTTAGGGTGGTTGGTTACATGGGGGAGGTGGTGGTTTCCACACGGTATGCACCGGTAGGTAGGTACCGTTTGTAGGGTTTTCCACCGCCCTCTCACCTCTCCCGCAGGAGTCTACAGAGACGTGCATGGCGCATGCACAGCAAAGCAGCAATAGCTGCAGTGGCGGCACGCAACAACACCGACATTCACAGACACGACCAACGGCCATCTCCCCCCCCCGCCACTCACGTGCCCCGCCTCCTCCATGTCCACCCCCATCACCCCCTTGTACAGGTCGGGCACGAGCACACGGAAGCCGCGGGAGGCGATCATGACCGCCTGCTGCTTCACGATGGGGGTGATGCCCCACCACTCCCTGCGGGGGGGGGAGGGCGGGGCAGCGCGAGGAGGCAGCAGCGGCAGGGGAGGATGGGACAGCGGACATGGGAGGCAGCAGCGGGAGGGGAGCAGCAGCGAGAGGGAAGCAGCAGAGGACAGCCACCCCCCCCCCCATCATGCACAAGATGCCACTGGCACATGATGTCTTGAACCGGTCAAGTGGGCTTCAAAACATTACGCGAGGCCGATTGCTACGGTTCCAATACCCACTGCAGGAAGACGACTGCAGGGTCTGAGGTGTTGCCCACTTCGAATCCCGGCAGCCTGTCCGGCCCAAACACCACGGTATGCAGCTCCTTGGATGTTGAAGGCGGGGGCGGCGACGGTAAACAGAGGAAAGGAGGGAGGGGAAGAGCGGCAGGTGTGGTAGGAGGAGTGGGATGAGAAGGGTGAAAAAAGGCGTGAGGAGAGGGAGCATACATGGGTACGGTAGCGAACAGCGCAAAGGTTCGTACGCGGCCGTTGAAATGAGCGAGGGAGCTTACAGTGGTCATTCGTCGCTTTTGGTGTTGCTGCTTTGGTTAAGGAGATCAAGTCGACAGCGCACGATGGAGATGCGGTGCGGATTGAAGCTGATGGTATCGGAGCCCGAACGCGACGCGCATGGAAAGATGCAATAGTACAGCGAAGATGTGGGACGGCGTACAGCGTTGTTTGGCGAAGGAACAAGACAACTGGGACAAGTGAGCACCGATCCAGGGAAGGAGTCGGTTGTCGGTAAATCCAGCGAAGTCGCAAACTTCCACCCAAGACCGGTGGCAAACTTATTGTACTCAGTTATTATCCTCAGGTGTTGGTGCCGTCTCGGTTGTTGACTTAGCACAGCAACAGTTGATGTCATTGCTTCGAAACCAACTTTGGTCATTTGAACCCCATCGCCACATCGCGCACTCTCGATGATAACGTTTCGGTTTCGTTATAGAAGGTAGTAAGTGATATTGACAAGTGCTGGATTGCCCACTATACCCTCCTGGCGCCGCTTAGAATGCAGGCAAGCGTAAGGGCTTCAGGCTTTGTCATATAATACTGTAACGATATTCCGCGTTTAAAGCCGGAGGATGGTAGCCGGATGTCTCAACTGCTGTTGCACGCACTAGCCGCTCAAAGCGTCATAACAATCAGTTTGATCATGTCGAAAGGTCCTGTAGGTCCGGATTCGGGCATTTCGGACACCCACCGTAGGTTTCTTCCTCCTCACCTCGCTCCCCGCTACATACCTCCCCTCCCCTCCTCCCGCATCCATCTCTCTACTTCTATTCACCCACACCAACACACGGCTCATCCACACAGCAATCCGCCTACAGCAAGTCCGCGAAGAAATTGCCAGCGGGCTTCTTAGCCGCCTCCGACCCACGGGTCCATTTCGTGCGCTCCTGCCTGGCGCGCTTGCGCTTCCGCCCGCCGTCATCGTCGTCACTGTCCTCGCCATCATCATCGCTGTCCTTCTCCTCCGGCCCAGCATCGCCACCGCTGCCGTCTCCGTCGCTGTCTGCGGCCTTCTTCTTCTGCTTCTTTCCGCCTGCCACAGCCGCCCCAATACCCTGGTTAGCTGCTGCGGCGGCAGCTGTTGCTGCTGCTCCCTTGGTTGCACCGGTCGTACCAGGCCCAGCCTCTTTCGCTGCAGCCGCAGCTACCGCTTTCTTCACTCTACCTTTCCCACCCGCCGCACCTGCACCACCCTCCTCCTTCTCCTCCTCCTCCTCACTATCGTCCCCGCCCTCGCTCCCACTCCCACTCCCGCTGTCGCCGTCATCTCCATCGTCATCTTCCTCACCCTCACCCTCGCTCTCACCCTCCTCCTCCCAATCACTACTCCCTTCTTCCTCCTCTCCCTCCTCCTCGCCCTCACTCCCGCCCCGCCCTCCCACCGCCTCCGCCCCCTCTTCCTCCTCCTCGCCTTCTCCCTCTCCTTCCTCTCCCTCGCCCTCATCATCGTCCTCCAACAGAAGACTCAAGTCCCACAGCTTGACTGCGGAGTCGTGCGAGGTGGAGGCCAGCACACGCCGGTCGTGGGACAGCGCCAACCGCTCCACCGGGAAGTCCTGCAGGCGGGGGGGGGGGAGAGGTGAGAGGGAGGGGAGACCATACCAAACCATAGGAAACCACAGGCAAAGCAAAGGGGCGGGGGGGAGGCACACATGAGGGTCAGCGGCCGCCGAGACACGGCCCAGTTGCGAAGGGGCCCCCGAGGGGCTACCACGGTTACACATGTGGTGCCCCTCCTCATGTGGTGCCTCTGGAAGCTCCCGACATTCCCCTGCACCCCACCGCACCAGCCCCCATGCGCCCGTCTCATCCCTGGGGCAGTCTGGCGAGTTTCTCTGGAAGCTGGACCATGCCCTCTTTCCCCTTCCCTCCCTCCCCCTCCCCTCCCCTCCCCTCCCTCCCCCTCCCCCCACCTCATTATGCTGCCCCAGTATTCCCAGCAGGCGGTTGGGCAGCACCCCCACCACCCGCACCCCCCCGTCCGAGGAGCCCGTCAGCAGCGTGGACTCGTCGAACGCAACCAGCGCCTGGACCGACTCGGGGTGGCCGGGGAACCTGCCGGGGGAGGGGGAGAAGAATTCCCAATGTTTTGTGTTGGGGGATGGCGGGGAGTGGGAGGTGGGGAAATGGAAGAGGGAGGGGTATGCTCGCGGCCCTTGCGGGTTAACAGTAAAGACGTACGTGCCTATCTACCTACCTACCTCCCCTACCCCTACCCGTCCGCCCTCCCGGTTGCCTCCTATTGATCCCTCCGCCCCCTCCCCCTCCGCCCCCACCTGTCGCTGCAGTCGTTCCAGTGTCCCCAGCTGTACAGCTGCAGCACGCCGCTCTGGCTGCCCGCCACCACCTTGCGACCGCCCTTCACCACACAGCAGCTCAGCAGCTCATCATCGTTGTCGTCCTCGCTGCGGGCAAGCGCCTTGCTGCGGGGGGGGGGTGTGCGGAGGAGGGGGGGAAGGGAGGGAGGGGGTAAAGAGGAAAGAATTGACTGACCATGTGGTAAGGCGTCATCATGGTTTGTAACATGGGAGCCAGCCCGACCCGCCCAGCCCAGAAGGTGGGGGAGGGAGGGAGGTGCCATCCCTCATGGCTCATATGGCTGCATGGATGTTCCTCAACCTAGTGTGCCGAGCTAGGCCCAGCTCCCATGCTTCCCTGCCACACCCCGCCTAGCGCCCTAGCGGCAACATGGCTGGGCATCCTCCCTCGCCTCCGCCACCTCCTCCTCCACCTCAGTCAGTTAGTTGTTTCTTCTTTTCTCCTCCACCTAACTTGCAATTTCGTTTGGTTGGATCCCTCTCTCTCCGACCCTCCTCCTCCCTCCTCTGCCTCCTCCTGCCCCTCCTCCTCCCTCCCATGCCTCCTGCCCCCTCCTCCTCCCTCACCGCTTGCGCAGGTCATGCACCGACAGGGTGGCATCCCCACTCGTCACCACAAGCGCCCCCGCTCGCGAGTTGAGCGCAAAGTCACTGATATAGTCCGTGTGGTGGGTGTAGCGGTACGTCGCACCGCGACCCCCGCCGCCGCCGCCGCCGCTAGCGTTCTTGCTACTGCCTCTGCCGCTGCCGCTACAGCCATTGCCGCTCCCGTTGCTACTGCGGGCGTCCCACAGCACAACGAGGCCTTCCTCGTCACCGGATACGAAAACGTTTGGATCTAGAGCGTAAACGCGACTGAGGGCTTGGTCGTGTTCGCCAGAAAAGGTTTGGACGAGCTTTCCGGTGGTTGTGTCGTACGATCGTACGATGTGGTCGGAGTAGCCAGCGAGTACGGCACTGCCGTCGTGTGTGAAGCAGACGGCGCGACAGGAGGGGGTGGCGTCGGTGGCGTCGGAGGGAGTGTCTTCTGGTGGGGGGACGGTGAAGGAGAGCTGGTAGCTGAGCTGGCTGCTGGCGCCATCGGCGCTGGGAGGACATGCGAAGGATGCGACTTGGAGTTGACCGGTGACCAGGCCCGCGGCTAGAAGTCCCGCGTTGGGACTAACGCAACAGTCCTGTGCACATGGGTGTATGGGTGGAATGGGTATGGGTGGTAAGTGCGACTTGGGATGGAAGGATGGGATGGTGCAGCGCCAACGCGAGGAAGGCAGGTCAGCTGGGTGCCGTCAGGTGATGCCCTACCAGTGGCTGGCCCTCCAGCGGGACACTACAACTCGGTGTGTCCATTGGAGGATAAGGGCCGCCGCCCCGATAGAGCTGCGATGCAGGAGGCCGACTGCACGCAAGCACTGGCTAGCTAAATAGCTGATAGACGTAAGCGTACTAGAGTGCTGCAAATCTTGAAAGCTCTTTCAGCAGGGGGCTCGCCAAGGCCCCAGGGTCGTAAGATTTATAACCTCCGTATTACATGCGCAGAAAGGCGGTAAACTTCAGGAACGTATATTGTCTGTAAGATATATAACCGCGCAGTGTAGTGGAGCTGCTTTCTCTGCGCAAGTCCGTACTGCCGTGTATCCGCAAACTCAAGTCAGCGTCCATAGCTGCTGTGGGATATTAAACACGCGAAATTGAATGTTCTGACCAGTAACCGATGCTGAAATGCTGGCTCTCCAGCAATCGAGCATTTCCAGCCGACAGGCACAGAATTGCTCGTTAGCTTAGTTCTAGCGGCATGCAGAACACCCAATTGCCTAAAAGTCCTTATGAGACAACTGGCATATTTGAACGAACTGTGAATTGGCTGCAGCACCGCAATAGGTAAGCCTGCAAGCAGAGTCAGCCACATAACCGGGCGACGACCGGCGGCGATCGATAAGGGCTGCCGGGCCCAGTTCCAACAAGGCAATAGATTATAATCAAAATTGGAATTGTCACTGGAATTGCTCTTCATGTCCCGGCCTCTTCCCTCATCCTCAGGCAACATGCGCCAACCGTTCACGTTGTACTAGGAAGCCGCGCTTTGGTCCCCAGACGCCCCAGCACCATCCAGGTAACCGAATAAGAACCCGTTATGACGTCACCGACTGCCATTTTTCCAACGCCATGCCACATCCCACATACCATTTCACCCGCAGGCAGCCCTTCGGTCAACCCCGCCGCCTCACCAGCCCCCACGGCTTACCACCGCTGCCGCCGCTACTCGGCCCCATGCTGGAGCCATCGGTACGACAGCCACATGCGCGGCCCTGGCAGCCGCTCCTCGCGGTCCCCCAGCACCCCCTGGAATAACAACAGCTGGCTCCTGGCAGAGCCCTAGCGGCTACTCCAGGGGCTCCGCGGGCGGTAGCAGTATCAGCCGCAGCCTTGGCTGTATCAGCGCCGTGAAGGGCGGTGCTGCTCCTGTGGACGCAGCAAGTCATACCCAGCAGCAGCAGCAGCACCACCACCAGCTGCACCACCAGAACCAGCAGCAGCTGCAACCCCATTGGCGGGTCGAGGGGCGCCAGCAGCAGCAACAGCAGCAGCTGCAACAGCCTGCCATTAATGTACCAGCCAGAGTCGCGCATTCCCTGGGCCCTAAACCCCTCATCAGCCCGTATGCAGTCATGCAGCAGCAGCACCTCCAACAGCAAGCGCCAGACCAGAACGGACAGCGGAAGCACCAGCTACAGCCCCAGCACCAGCGGCTTGATGGCACGGCCAAAGAAGGGAGAGGCTCCCTCCAATTCCCGCCTCCGACGTCAAACCAGGGGAACGCGTTACAGCCGGGCCACCAGCACCTGCCACCACCACACGACGGCGCACGCCCCCAGCCCCTCGCGACCCATACAGTGCCCTCTGCAGTGCTCTGGACTCCGCCGCCGCGCCTCGTCAACCTTTGTCGCAGCGGCGCCTTCCCCCAGCGACCGCCGCCAGCGACTCAGTCGCCGCCGCCAGCGTTGCCGCTGCAACCCTCCTCTGACCCCCTGTTGTTGCCCGTTAGCCTGGGCGGCATCTTCGCAGCCATTCGCAACGCCCGTACTTTGGACGAGCTAGCCGACTTGTACGACAACGCTCACAGCAGCCCGTACGGCAGTGGTTTCTCCGCGCTGCACGTATCCGCGGCTCTATCGCGCATGCCTCACCTGCAGGAGGTACGACACACGCAGAAGCCACGTCTGGTGGACCCGCGGCACCGGCAGCTGCTAGACCGCCTGTTGTACGACTTTGAGGTGCATCGTACTGCGGGATTGTACGGCACGAGGGAGCTCAGCGCATGCGCGTGGGTGCTGGGGAAGTTCGGGGTGGTTGGGCGCGCCGGCATGGTGGCAGGGCTGGCAGAGGAGGTGCTGCGGCTGCACTCGGAGGCACTCGAAGCGGCGAAGCAAGCCAAAAAGATCGCTGTACGAGCCGCGGCGAAGGCTGCGAAGCAGAAGCGAAAGCTGTCAGCATCACCACCAGCATCAGCAGCAGTGCCGGAAGCATCATCATCATCATCATCATCAGCAGCAGCAGCAGTTGCCGTGTCCCAAGAGACCTCTCTGCCCTCAGGCAGCAGTCCACACCTCTCAGAGGCAACACCCGTTTCCCAGCAAACGATGTCCCCGGAGCCCGCAGCCCCTCACCCCGCATCACGACCTCAAGGAGGCCCCTGCTCCGCTCTAGACCTGGCCAACCTGGCAGTGGGCTTGGCCAAGGTGGGCGGCACCGACCCACGGGTCTGGCGGCGCCTGACGGAGGCGGTTTCGGAGCCGAAGTTGCTGAGGTCTTTCGGCGCCCGGGAGCTGACCGGGTTGGCGTGGGGGCTGGCGCAGGCGCACCGCCGCTACTGCAGGACGGGTGGGAGTAGTAGCTGCGGCGGAGGTAGTAGCAGCGGCAGCTGTGGTATTAGTAGCAGAAGCGGTGGAAGCAGAGACGGCGGGTTTGATCAGGATAGCTTAGCAGTTAGCGGCAGCCCATGTAGCGGTAGCAATCTGGGCAGAGACGACATCCTAGATGGCCGGACGACAGCCGGCCGACCCGAACCCACATCTGCTCACGACAGCCCAACACCAGCGCAAGCACCAGCTCCCGCAACAGCAGCGGAAGCAGCTGTTGACGGGAGTGTTCACCTGCACCCCGACTGGCAGCCCTGGCTCGGTCCCTTTGTGGAGCAGCTGTTGGCGCCCCGCGTGCAGCGCACCCTGCGGCGTTTCGGCGGCAAGGAGGCCCCCATCATGGTGTGGGCGCTGGCCCGGCTGGGGCATGCAGACCCGCGGACGGTGTCGCTGGTGGCGCGGGAGGTGGAGGCGAGGGAGCAGGGCGTCACGGCGCAGGGGTACTGCCTGCTGACCTGGTCTATGGCGACGATGGTGCTGGCGTGCAGGAGGGGTGCTGACGGGGGCAGCGGTGGCAGGAGCCGCAGTGGCAGTGGTGACGGCAGGAGCAGCAGCAACGGCAGTGGTGGGGCAAATGGCAGTAGTGAGAGTAGTGCATGCAGCGGCAGTCAGGCTAGTAGCAGCCAGGGCGCCAAGCGAGGGAGGCGGAAGATTAGTAACAACAGTAGCAGTAGTGACAGCAGTGTCAGCTCCTCAGCAAATATAGGTGCAGGTCATGCTCATGCTTCTCGTACGGCAGCACAGTCACCAACTGCAGTAACCCCTGGCGACACGCAGCCACAGCAGCAGCAAGGACAACAGCAAAGCCACCGTCAGGACCACGCACCCCTAGTCAGCAAAGCCGTCCTTCGCTGCCTAGCCCTCGCAACCGCCCGAAGCATCTGGCGCTTCTCACCGCAGGGCCTCGCAAACATGCTGTGGGGCCTGCGGGTGTTGGGCCTCCCCAGCTGGCGCAAGCTGCTGTCCCTGGCGGCCCGTGTAGCCCTGGTGAGGTTGGAGGAGGTGCAGCCGCTTGGGCTGGCCACGCTGCTGGAGGAGTGGGTGCGAGCGGGGTTATACCACCCGGCGCTGTTTGCGGCCGCAGCGGCGGCGACTCGGGAGCGGTTGCGGGAGTTCCGGCCGCACACCCTGGTGAGGGTGTTGAGCGCATGCGGGGCTGTGAGGCATGCGGACAGGCAGCTGTTTGCTGCGGCGGCGGAGGCGTTGATACCCGCGTCGCGGTTGTCATCGGCGGAGGCGGAGGCGGCGGACGCACATCGTGGGATGCCGCTAGACGAGTTGTCGCCCGCTAGCCTCCTGCAGCTTGCATACGCGTACGGCCAGGCTGGGGTGCATGCTCCCAGGCTTTTCTCCGCGCTCCTGGTCCGTCTGGCTCCTGCCGTACTCGCCTCCGTCAACACCCGCAGCATGTCTCCAGACGCCGCCTGCCGCCTTGCATTCGCGATGGCAGCCATGGGCTACAGGCTGCCTAGCGCATTGCTAAGCAAAAGGTACCTGGGTCGATTCCCAGAGTCTGCAAGCACCATGTCAGCACCCAATGCCATCCTACTAGCCCTCCGGCGGCGGTTGTTGGTGTCGCTGCCGGCGTTGATACCCGCGCAAGCCGTGACCGCCGTCTGGGCGTTGATACGGACGGGAGCAGTGAGCCCCGAGCCGGCGGCGCTGCGGCTGGGGGAGTTCTTGTCGTACAGCGTGCCGCAGGCGGCGGCGGTGGCGGCGACGGGCGGCTTGGCGGCGGCGTTGCCAGCGGCTGTGAGGTCCAAGGCGTTGTCAACTCGAACCCAAGCGCAGGCGCGCCTGTTGTGGGTACTGGGTCGGGGCGCGGCTGCTGCGCTGGCAAAGGCGCGTGACCTGGAGAACCTTCACAGAACCCGCAGCCAGCCCGCGACGGAGGGCTTACGTAACCCGGCTGCGGCAGCAACCACCGAACGCCCTGCGGACGGTGTTGTTACCGCCTGCATGGCGGCATCCAAGGCGGCCAGGGAGCTCACCGGTGGTCTTCTGGCGGTGGCCGGAGTGCTGCTGCAGGAGGGGAGTGGGCGGGCGTCCTGCCTAGACGGGGAGGTGCTGGCGGAGCTGGTGGCTGCCCTGGCAGCGGTGCTGGCGGCGGAGGCGCCGTCATCGGCCTGGGGGGATGCTGGTGTGAATGAGAGCCATGCGGCGCTGCGTCGGGAGGTGTACGGATTGCTGCTTGACGTGGCCGCCCAGGCATTGCGGCGGACGTTTGCGGCTGCTGCTGCTGCAGCGGCTGCTATCGAGGTTCCCCGTGCAAGTAGTGCCACGTCAGCGGCTGCCGCGCCCGCGACGCCCAGGGCGGCGTCAGCGGCTGCGGATCGTAACCGGATCGTCGCCAGGCCAGCACCAGGTCTGTCGTACAGGCAGCTTGCATCAGTCATCGACGCCCTGTACGACAGCAAAGTGCTGTACGAGCACCCACCCATGCGGGCTGCAGCCGCCCGCACCCTGATGCGCACCTTGCAGGTTGGCATGGCTAGTGTAGGTATGCCAGGCGCTGCTAGCAGCAGCCAAGCGCCCAGTCCGCAGCAGCACCAGCAGCCGTCGTCGTCGCCACGTTCGTCGCAGCCGCCGCGAGAGGTGGGCTCATCGGCATCACTTGGAGCCTCAATGCAGCACCAGCCGCCGCAGCCGCTCCCGCCGCTGCCGCTCCCGCCGCCTCCAAGCGCTGACGACATCGCGGCGCTGCTTGCGTCGGCTGCCCGGTTGGAGCTCTTCAGCCATCCCGCGGCGCTACCGCTGCTACGGGCTGCTACCAGGATGCTGCTGGGGGCCACCACCTGCAGCACCAACGGGAGCAACAACATCAGCAGCAGCAGCACCGTCCTTGAGAGCAGCAGCAGCTGCAGCGGTGCTGATGCCTCCTGGGCCCCCCCAGGTGCTGCGGGTGCTGCTGCCCCCGTGACGCCGGCGGTGCTATCCGACCTGCTCCGCTACTGTCGCCCGGCGGCAGTGGGCGACCCATCAGGGACACCGGTCGGTGGCGATGGAGGCGCGCTGCAGGCTGCGTTGTACGACTGGGCGGTACGACAGGCGGTGAGGGTACGGAGGTGGCTGCCGAAGGCCGTACGAGTGCGGGTGGTTGCCGATGCGGGCGTGTCAGGGGGGAAGGCGCATGGAGGTGGAGAGGACGTGGGGACATCAGGTCAGCGGGGTCCTATGCAGCCGCAGGCGATTGGGTTGAAGCATGCCGCGTCGGACAGCAGCCCTGCGGATGCGATAAAAGGTATGAACGTGAGCGCGCAGACGTCCGCAGTTACGACAGATTTGGACGGAGCTGCGGTGGCGGAGGTGGCGGGTGCTCATGCAGCCGCTGCGGCTTCATGCCAGGGTGAGGGTAGCCCAGCACCAGCGCCTGCTGTGTGCTTCCACGGTGATCCTCCTGGTTCCGCCCTTGCGGAAGATGGTTGCAGGACGCCTGGTAAGAAATCCGTTGTCTCAGCAACAGCAGCAACAGGAGCTAATGAGTCGGCTGCGATTGGAGCAGCCAGCATTACTCTCATGCCGGACAGCCTGCAGCGGCCCTTCATGCACGCTAGCACGATTAACATTACCCCGGCTGTTGCCGTTCGCGCCAACGGAGCCGCCCGCCTGGGGGGCGGCTGTGTGTATGGAGGAGGCGGAGGCGGGGAAGGAGCAGCAGCAGCAGCAGCAGGAGGGTGTTTGCATGTGTTGGGGGCACACGTATCTTGTAGCGAGGTGGCTGCGGTAGGTTGCAAGGGTGGGTTGGCTGCACCGGTGAACCCGGCGTTGGCAGTAATGGGTGATGTGGGTCGAAGGGAGAGGTGCGGCGGGGGAGTACGGCATGCGGGTGCGGGTGCGGAGGTGGAGATGGAGGTGGTGGTGATGCGGCACGAGGGGAGCGGTTGTGGGCGTGTGATGGCAGCAGCGCGGGGCTGCGTCGCGGCGCCTGTGTAGGATTGGGGCTGAGGGGGTAGGAGCTGCAGATTGGGCGTTCGGGGAGTCTGGTGGAGAGGCACAGAGGGGCACAGAGAATGCAGCAATGTATTGCGTTTTTTGGTGAAGATCCTGAGGGTAGTTACCATCCGAACATGTGTTTTATGGCGTTTGTGTTTTAGATAAACATGTGAGTTACCTAAGGCATAAAGCATCAATGTTGCCAGTCCCAGCTGTTCCTAGCGTAATTTTATGTGCGAAGGCCTTTGACATAAGGGGAGGTATGAGGGTACTTGCTAATAGAACTGATGGCAGGATGGGCCCGCGATGGATCCATAACTTTGCAATGCTATTAAGTATGATGAACTTTAGGCGGCGAAAGCCGAAAAAGCTAAAAGACGTAGAGCCGCGTTGTCGACAGGCCGCTTTACACAGGTCTGGCCCACGGGTCACGCCGAGCACAGCAAGGGCCACGCAGGCCTGCATAGTGCATTGTGAAATGTGCATGCATTCGGCAGACCGGATACGCTCATTCTTACCGTATGCGTTAAAAGAAGGTGCCTTCTAGCGTTTACCCCTTTTCTCTTACATGGGGCTGTTCGGAAATGCCACGCCACTTCAAGCTTTCTACACAGCTTTCTACTAGGATACACACATTCGGAAGTGCAATTCCTACAGTTCTATTCGGAGCCACATGCACGTACATGGAATTTTAGGGCCACTTTGCTGATCCCCTAATTTCTGACAGAATGTGTTTGTGCATCTATACTTATCTAAACACATACCATCTACCCCATAGCAGCTGAAATTTCAACGGCTCAATCAGCTCTTGCATAAGCTCTTCAAGAGCCCGCATCTACCATCTGTCAGCTCTCTTACCGGCAAATGGCCTTCAGCCGATATTAGTGCACTAGATGTGTAGATTTCAAGATCGGGAACTGTTTTACTAGGACTTGCAGCGGCTGAAGCGCATTCCGTTGGCTTGGGGTGGAAATGGCCAGCTCCATTACTGTTCCAGGTGAGGGCGCTGCTGCACCGAAGGTTTGATTTGCTGATTCGACTACGAGCTGAAAATACGTCTATGGAGTCGATGCCTTGAGTACCTTCCTTATTCTGAAGTGGAGCTCCAATCGGCACTATTCAGGGTTCTCGTTGGAGTGGATGTCCAAGTGGTATAATCTTACAATATCAATGGCTTATCGTTTTCATTTTGGTTGTTCATGGCGTTTCGTTTCACCCTCTCACGCGCTCGACGACAGGCTTTGGGGAGGTGCCAGTCGTCGCGATGGGCGCCATCGGCGATAATTTTGGACCACCGGGCTTTGGCTCTGATGATGAGGAGGTGAGCGTGCTTGGATTTGGCGGAACCCAGTTTTGCTCCACCAAGCTGACGTAGCTCCCGGTCACAGTAAGCTCCCCTTAACGCCCGGATGCTTCCCGCTCACCCATCGCAGCCCATCTTCCTGACGCCACTGCAACGTCGGCTTCGTGAACGGGTGGGTTGCCGCGGAAGGGACGTTTGCTGTTGGACTGCCGGTGTAACCCAGATGGATCATCTCGGGTGGTGGGACAGGCTCAGCCTGGTTACACATGGCTCCGGGTTCTTCCTCTTGGCTTTACACCTCACTTGCGCTCGTTTAGGACTTGACCCAAATGGGTTTCGCCGGGACAGCATATGCAGCACTGAATGCTGGGGCGAGGCTGCTTACAAGATGAGCCTCTCCTTAGGCCATGTAGAGCCCCGCACGTGCCTTCTGGGCTTGATCCTCATGATACATGAGCTACCGGGATACCACGCACAGCCCGTCTCCACACAGGCTCCGAAGCCGCCCCATGCCATCGCACATAGCTCCCGTGGCCCTATCCCATGAGCTATCCCATGGCCGCTACCCCCCGTCCTTCCGTCCTTCATACGGTTGGGGTGTCTCCTTCTCTACCCACGTCCTTCCCCTTCCCCCTCCACACAGGCTGGCGGCCTGGGGTACGGCGGCGGCTCCCTGGGCATGCTGAGCAGCCTGGCACTCGGGGGCCTGGGCTTGTCAGCGCTGGACCGCGGGGTAGCGTCAGCGCGTGCCGCAGCCTCAGCAGGCGGTGGCGGTGGCGGCGGTACCGGTGGCGGTGCTGCCAGCAACGGAGGGAGCGGCGGTGGTGGTGGTGGTGGCGGAGGTGGCGGGCGCGGGCGTGGGGCCAGCATGCAGCAGCAGCAGCGGCCCGGGCAGCAAGGTTGGTATACGCTGGCTGTATAGTAGCCTCTGGGGGTGTGCACGTGGGTTCCTGGGGCGCCGCAAACCGCAGTGGTATTATAGAGATGCGTATGGAGCGCATGTGCTCCAAGGGGCTTTTCCTGCTGCAATGGGGCCCAATCTCCGAGCATGTCGCGCCTTCGCCAGTTGCGGTGCGGCTTCCGCTTGTGCAGGCGCCAGCCACTGCATGCCAATGCTCACGGCTTTGCGCTTGGCCTGCCTGTTCGTTCCTTGCCCTTACCGCCCATGGGGTTCGAGCAGCACACTGCTATGCCCATCTGAGTAGGATCGCGCAGTACCGGTACCAAAACGAAGACCCAAAACCTAACAAACACCTTGCTGCTTGCTGCCCCGCGCAGCTGACCTGCCAGTGGTGCGGGATGCCTGGGGCGACATCGACGTCTCAGACGACTGGGTAACCGACAGTGGTGATGAGCCGGATGAGGAGTCGGAGGTAGACCCGGAAGCTGCTTTGGTAGAGGGGCCGGAGGGAGTGCCTGAAGCTGCTAGCGACCCGGAACAAGAGGAAGAGGAAGAGGATGGAGAAGGAGGGGCTGGAGGGCACATGCACGATCACCTTGGCGATGCGCCGAGTACTGACGACATGCACGAAGCGGCCATCGCCGATGTGGAGCATGTGGAGTTCACAGGTGCTGACATGGAGGATGGCTCTGAGCAGAGCGTGATGTTTGGGGGACGCTATGGCGATGAGAGCGATGAGAGCGGTAGCAACCAGGGCAGTGGCAGCGGCGGTGACGACGAGGCGGAAGAGGAGGAGGATGAAGGCAGAGATGCTGGTGGCTCTTCCGGCCGTAGCGACGTTGGGGCCGACGACGAAGACGAGGGCGAAGAAGAAGGCGTCGACTGCGACCGGGACGCGCGCCAAGACGGCTCGGGGGAGCCCAGTGACTTTGGTAGAACCACCACCTCCAGCAGCAACAGTGGGTCACAGCAGCAACAGCAGCCATCGAGCAGCGCTGTTGCGCCCGCCGGTGACGACGTCCTCCTCCTTCGTGCGGCTGGGCCTACCAGGGCGAGCGAAGCAGCGTCATCTGGCGCGGCCGGAGCTTCCGGCTCCGCATGCCCTGCAGCTGACATGGATTTGAAGGCCTGTGGCGAGGCGGGCGCCTCCAGCTGTCCCTCCGCAACAACCGCAGCCGGAACCGTGCCCGCCCCCCTCGGTGTCTCCACGTTGACAGGCGCAGCAGCACCCGCACCCGTTGGGACTCCGTTGGACGGCACGTCTACGGCTGCTGTGCGCATGGCGCCTCCAGGGGTGGCCCAGGCTGGTTCCCACGCTGCTGCATCCGTACATGCCGGCCGCCGCACCGGGCGCCTCGCGTGTGCCTGGGCCGCGGCTCGGCTGGTCCTCACCGCCGTGCTCGCGCCGCTGCGGCTGTTGATGTCCGTGACAGGGCTGGGCCAGCCAGCGCCAAGCAGCCAGCCACACCACCATTCAACAACAGCCGCCTGCGAAGCAACCGCCACCGCTGCTGCCTCGCCCGATCCAGCCGCCAGTACTAATACGGCAGCAAATGCAGGAGCTTCATCAACAGCTTCATCGTCATTGCCCGCAACCTCACCGGCGACGGCAGGGCCTAGTCAGCTCCCTCACCCACAACACCAGCAGCAACAGCAGCCGCGGCGGCGGCCGCATGGACAGCAGCAGCAACAGGGGCGACAGGGCTCGGATGAGCGGCAGCGGGGGGGCGTAAGTACGTTACCCATGACGTCCTCCGCTGCCACTCGGGAGGCAAGGGAGACCGCTGCTGCTGGCTCTGCTGGCACTTCCGCAGGCTCGGCCCCCACCGCCGCCGCGACTGCCCCTGCTGGTCGTGCTGCTGCTGTTGTGGCCACCTGCAGTGTCGGTGCAGCGGACCATGCGGACTGCATGCCTGAGCTGTTGGAGTGCAGCAGCGATGACAGCGATGACGCCTCAGTGCCGGCTAGCAGTACCGGTACCTTGCTCACGCCGAGCAGGCGGCTTGGCGGCGCAGGCCTCCGTCGCGCCGCGGGGACGTCTCACGACAACAGTAGGGACGGTCCTGGTGCTGCTGCCGCCACCGCGGGCCGTTCACCCGCCCCCATGCCAGATCTTCTGTACGACAGTAGTGATGACGATGTAGCACCTGCTGCTGACCTCCTCCTCATGGCAAGCAGGCGGCTCGGTGACCCACGGGTCGGCCACGGTACCAGGACGACCCAAATGAGCAGCAGGGACGGGGCCCGCAGAGGCGGAAACAACCGCAACAACAGCGGCAGCAGCAGCTCTGGCCGCAGCCGCGACGGCGCGGAGGAGGAGGCCAGGTCGGGGCTTGCTACGAACTCCGACATGGAAGGCGGCACCCCGCAACAGGCAGCCGCCCAGCACGCCGTTCGCACCGCCAGTTCCGTTCTTGAACGCCTGCAGCAGCAGCAGGAGCAGCTTCGGGCTTTGCGTAGGCGAGTGGCTGCCCTCGACGAGGGGGCGCAGGCAGCCAGAGCTCGGCTGGGGACTCCGCTGCGCGGCGCCAGCGGGCAACCACCTTCGCACGCTGCTACTCCCGCTGCCGCTGCTGCTGCTGACAACAGCCCTGCCGGGACGGGAGGCGCTGCCTTCGGGGCCTCCGCTGCTGGGTCATCATCTTTAACGTCTTCATCAGCACCAGCATCAGGAGGAGGAGGAGGCGTTGAGGGGGGCACGTCCGCGTTGGTGGCCGCGTTGGGATCCATGACGCGCTCGCTAGCCAGTCTGGTGCAGCTGTTGGATGAGATGCATGGGATGGGGCCCGCTGCAGCACCCGCCATGCAGGCAGCACCCGCTGAGGGGGCGGAAGCGCAGACGGCGGGTATGCGTGACGCAGAAGCCAGAGCAGGTCCTCCTGCTGGGTCGCTTCTGAACACCCCATCCGCTGCCGCTAGCTTTGGCGCCTTCCGTGAGGCTGCGGCTACTGCGTATGCGGAGGCGGAGGCGCTGGCAGCGACGGCGCCGGTGGCGGGCGCACCCGCCAGCGCTGGGAATGCGCCGCCATGGCAGGGGGCTGCCCCTGCCGGCAGCAATGGCACCACAAGGACCCCACGTCCCCCACGTCCTGCTGAGGAGAGCAGCAACCGCGCTGGGAGCGGTGCGGATAGCGACCTTGATTCGATGATGGAGCAGCTGATGGAGTCCATTCTGGCGCAGGAAGCTTCTACTGCAACACCCCGCAGCAGCTCTGCGACAACGCCTGTACTGGCGGCAGAGGCTGCCGTACATGCTGCCGTACAACGACCGCTGCAACAGCTACAGCAGCTGCCGACGCCAGCGCGAGGCCAGCAACCGGGTGCCCTGGGGGTCCATGCTTCAGGCCGGGCAGGTAGGGCAGGTACGACAGCTGCGGCGGCAGCAGCAGCGGCAGCAATGGAGGATTCCTGGGATGGCCGGCTGTCCGTGCCGCCGCTGGAGCGACTGCGACTGAGCGACGGCGACGACAGCGTCTTCGGCGATGGGCCGCTGGACGACGTAACGCCGCTGCCTCCGCCCCCGCAGCCGCCGCGACAGCTGCGGGAACTGGAGTTGGAGGACAGCACCGATGTGAACAGATGGTGCGTGAGTCCCTCTCCGGCATCTGCTGCTGCTGCTGCTGTTGGGGTGGCTGCTGGTGGTGCCCATGCAGCTGCTCCTCCTTTCGGAGATGCTCGGTGTGCTGCAGCCTCCGGCTCCGCCACGGGGACCAACACTGCGACCGCCACCTCCACCACGGCAGTAGCAGCCGCGGCAGCAGCATCAGAATGGCGGCCGGCAGCAGCGGCAGCCAGGGCAGCTTGGGCAAGGGCCTCCCTGAGCAGTGACGACGACAGCCTACCGGATCTGACTGAGCGCGGCGGAGAGGAGGAGCAGGAGGAGGAGCGGGGCAGCGGCGGGAACCTGGACGGGCCGGATGCAAGCAGCAGTGGCGACGAGGGCGGCATGTCGGCAGTTCTGGGCACTGACGGCGAGGAAGAGCTACTGGATTGGGTTCGGAACCTCAGCGACGGGGATGGCGCTAGCGACGATGGAGACCTGCCAGCACTGACGCAAAGCAGCGACGATGAAGGTGTTGATGATGATGATGATGAGGAGGAGGAGGAGGGCGGCAGCAGCAATAGGGCTGCATGGAGTGCTGGCGGGTCCGAGCTTCCGGCCCTCTTGCAGAGCGATGACGACCCAGATGATGAGCCCCGCACCCGGGAACAGGAGGAGGAGGGGGATGAGGAGGGCGGCAACCACAACATGCAGGAGGGCCCTCAGGGTGCTGAAGACGACGTAGACGACGACGATGGCAGCGACGGCTACAGCGTTGGCAGCAGCCTCCACGTGCGGGATGTGGTGTTCAGCACTGGGAACGTCGACGACAGTGACGACAGCGACAACATGCCCGCGCTTTATGAGGGCTCTTCTGCTGATGATGAGGACGAGGAGGAGGGGGACGACGACCGCCACACGCGGCAAACTCGAGACACTTCCGCCAGCCGACCGCCACGTCAGCAGACCACACGACATGCAACCGCATCGACGTCAACCACCGCGGCTGCTGCTGGCACCACCGGCGCCGCTCGCACCACTAGCCGTCACCAAGCCAACCGCCGCGGCACCGAGCATCACGACCATGAGAACCCCAGCGTCAGCGGCTCGGACATGGAAACCGACATCTCGACTGAGGAGGATGAGGATGAGGATGCCAGCCTTCCAGACCTGGTAGACTTTAATGAGCTGGATTTTGGGAACGATCCCCCCACCGGCGGCGCTGCTGCCCAGGCAGGCACAAGCGCCGGTCCTACCCCTGTCCGTTGGCTTGGTCGTCGCGGCTTCGAGGAGCCCCGGTGGCAAGGCGGAGCGGCGGGCGGCCGCAGCTCGCATGCAGCGGCTGCAGCTGCGGGTCCTGGTGCTGCGGACAGCGAGGCGGAGGAGGAGGAGGAGGATGACGGCGAGGACTCTGAGGGAAGCTTCCAGCGGTCCGGTCAGAGGCTGCGGGAGCTCTACCAGCAGCTACGGCAGCTGCAAGGGGGGGATCGGGAGCGGCGGAGCAGCCGGGAGGGCCGCGTGCATGCACCTGAGGCCACCCCTACGGTGCATCGGAGCGGAGCAGCAGCGGCGCCGGCTTCAGCGTCATCTAGCCCAAGTGGGCCACGTCTTGAGCTGGGAGCTGCGGCCGAGGCGGTGCTAGAGGCACTCATGCCTGCGTTGCTGGCCATGTCCGCGCTGGGCGGTGGTGGCACCAGCACCACCACCAGCACCACCTCCACCGCCACTACCGGTGTCAGCACCACCATCAGCAGCAGCACCCCGGGCAGCTCCACATCCGCCGCGATTCAGTCGCTCTCGTCCGCACTGGGCGCCTCGCTGTCTGCCGGCCGACAGCGCAGCGGCGGCGCCGGCGCGCCCACTCAGATCCTGTCCGCCGTCATCCGCCTGCCTGCCGACGCCCTGGCCAATGTGCCGCAGGGCTCCGTCTTCAGCATCACCCTGCCCAGCAACGCCCTTGGCGGCGGCGGCGGTGGCAGTGGCGCTGCTGCCGCCAGTGCCAGCGGCAGCAGCGGCAACGCCGGCGGCGTCAGCAACGCATCCGGAACTGTACGGCTGCAGCTCGGCGGCGTGGCTAGCTTCCCGGTGTCCTGGCGGAGCTACCTGCCCGCGGAGACCTCCAGCGGCCGCCACCCCAACGACCAGCCGGGGCTGCCGGGCACGTATGAGGAGGGGGACATACCCGCTTGGGCGGCACGGTTTGGGCCGCCGCGGCCGGCAGCGCTGCCGTACGATGTTGCTACGGGTGGTGCTGGTACTGATGCGGGGGGCGGGGAGGCTGGGGCGGCGGCGGTGGAGGAGGAGAGGCGTGAGGGGTCATCAGAGGCTGGAGGAGCGGGTGAGTGCTGCGGGGGTGGTGGTGGTGGGGTTTGGGAAAGCGGGTGGGGTGAGCATGGTTGGTTGCTAGCAGGCGAGGTCTGTGCATGCTGTGCGCGGTGGGGTTGTGCGGCCTTGTAGGAGTGGTTGAGTGCTTGGAGGTTGCTTGCTTTGTTTGGGGTCAATTGGAGGAACCCATGCATCTAATGCGGATGTGGCTGTGAGGCCATCTATCTTGAGTCCTACTTGGCCTTCTGGCTGCTACTGCGTTGCTAACAAGTACTCCTTACTTGCCCTGTGCATCTCCTCACTTAGTGCGAGGAATGGACGGAGGAGACTGGGACACGGCCTGGCAGGCCGACTCAGGCTCTGAACTGCCCGAGGAGGTGGTGGAGGAGGTGGTCGGGCAGGCAACAGAGGAGGCGTCTGAGGGGCCTTCTGAAGACGAGCTCGCCCGCAACGACGACGCGGCTTCTGACTCGGATTCTGACAACATGCCTGATTTGGTTGACGGCTCTAACGACGAGCGCCCAGGCGCCCTGCTGCCTCGAGGTCCCGGGCGCGCTGCTACCGCCGCTGCCGCCGCCGCCGCTGCTGCTACAGCGGAAGCTGAGGCCCCTGCTGCTGAGGCCCCTGCAGCTGCCGTCGCGTCCAACGTATTCACAGGGCGACGAAACCCACTTGTCGCCGCCTCGCCCTCATCTATGACAGGTGGCGCAGGCGCCGTAGCTCCTCTTGCCCATGCCGACGCAGACGTGCCACCGCTGCTACGCTCGCTCCTTCCGCTCCCAGGTCTGCCCGCGTCTTCACCTTCGCAGCAGCAACAGCGGCAACAGCAGCGCCGGCAGGCCTTTCAGCTTCAGCTCCCGCAGCAGCAGCACCAGCAGCCTCCTACGCTTCGAGAGCATCGTAGCGCGGGTGCCGTACTGGAGGGCGCAGCTGCTGCCGCCGCCGCCGCTTTTGAGGAGCTGATGAACGGTGACGGCCGCAGCACCCGCGGTCCCAGCGCTCCCGCCCGCTTGCCGCTACCACCCATGCCCTCAGGCGACGGCGCCGCTCCCCCGCCGGCATCCAACAACACCGGCGCTACGGCTGGGTCGCCATCGGCTGAAGGTGCTTCCGCCGCAGCAGACACCGCGGGCCCTGCTACCGCCGCCTCGTGGCCAGGTCCCCGACCTGCCCGTCGTAATGCCGTCGCGTACCCGCGCAGTGTACTTCTAGAGATGCTGGAGACGCTACGCAGCGCCGATCCCATTCGCGCCGCTGGCGGCCCTGCCGCTGGCGGCGCTAACGGCGGCGGCGGCGGCGCTAGTGACGCCAGCCGTACAGCCCCATGGCGTCACGGAGGCACCAGCAACGCGCGTGGGGGCAGCGCTGCCGCCGTTGACTCTTCAACTTCCTCCGGCGCTGCTGCCGAAGGCAGTCCGAATCCCTATGCAATCTACCTGATCCCCGCCCCACGGGTCGCTCCGCTGCATGGGTGGAGCGCCGCGCCGCTGCTGCGTGACGCCGCATTCGTACGGCAGCTGGTGGAGGGGCTGCCGGGGGTGGGTGCCGGGCTGTCGTCGTGTGAGTGGCTGACACGGACTGTGCAGTGGCTGGAGGTCGAGTGTGAGCCGCGGCAGCGGTAGCGGGGCGGTATGGCTGGCTAGGAGGTGAGGGCGTGTGGTTTTTTGTACATAGGGGCGGTAAGAGTCTCCAAGGTTGGGGCTGGGGAGGTAACAAAGTTCAAGGAAACCAGCCAGCCAAGTACCAAGGAGTGGGGAGGGGTAAGGATACGGGTACCGGTAGCCTGCAACGTGCGCGCACCTGGGTACAAGGCGTGGAGCGATTAGGAAAGGGGCTCTGCGTGAGCCTTGAGGATGAGAGGCCTAGACTGGTAGGGTTGCCCGGTAGAGCTCTGGTATAGCTGTATGGAGTGCAGGCATGCAAGGGAACGAAGGGCAGTCCTTGTGTGTTGATCAACGGAGCCTTGGTGTGGGTCTGCCTAGGATATCGCTCATTCTTGCATCATCCGTGGTACGGAATCCTATTTCTTCACGATGAAAAAAGGCATGCATGGTTTGAAACACCCTGTTTGTGCCAAAGCCTGGCGCCATGCGTCCCGAAACTGGACGTAACAATTGTCTGCGCAGAAGGCCTCCCCACAGGCTACATGCATCCATTCGTGCCATGGGGCTAATTGTCGTGCTATTTGCAGGGCTGTGCACGTGCCGTTTTGCATTGCGAATTTGCACACAGCAATTGGTTTTGCCGTCGCGTGTACGACATACCTGGTCATGCGAGGTCGTGTAGGCAGGACGTGTGTAGGCAGGACCTTGGTAGCAGTAGGAAGCATGATGCATCGACAGTGCAGTATGTGGTTTCAGCGGGGTAGGTGTCAAGACATGGTATGTCCCGTTCGGGTCTCAGGCCGTTGAACGCTTCCGGATCTGTGTACTTCTGTTATAGCAGAGGTGGCGGAGCGGGCTGAAGGGCAGCGCCCCCTTTAGACACAAGCCCCTTGCTCCCTTCCCTTTGCCGTGGTTACTTGCAAGTTGGCACGTATCACTGACAACTCTTACCCTCTCTTAGTGTTGCATGGTGAAAGCTAAGGCGTATGTATGCAGCGCACCGTGGTATTAATGCCATGCTGACCCCTCATCTGACTTCGCAGAAGGCGCTGCTTTTGTACTCCTCCGGACGCAGCAAGCAATGTTACTTCGTGTGCATATTGCCCTACGAAAGGCAATTGGAAAGGTTCCGAACCTCGGCCGATCATCCAAGACGTCTGGAAAGTCTGTTCTCCAGGAACCAGTCATAGGCTCGAAATCCGTTAAATGCAATCGTACTGGTCTCTGTTGATATCATACTGTCTTACTGATAGCTCAAGGAAATGTACGGCGGCATACAGCAGGTGATCACAGGTGATACGGGTGCTGTAAAGCTTGTGGATATGCAGTCAAAGAATTACCCTGGCTAGTTCTGGCTTCTATATGAAAAACCCTTTGAGCTACATTTGCAATTCATTCAGCTTGTCGGTGCCTCCGAGCGCGATAAGCAAGATTGCCTGAACAGCCAAGGCGGCATGCAACGGCGCCGACCCGCTCAAACGTAAAGGTGCGTTGAAACTCACTGACATCGTTGGCTGGCGCCTGGAAAACTGCAACTATCCATCGCATTCCTTTTCATCTTCCGCGCATAACGCCGCCCGCAAACGCAGTACCAATCCCCGTATGATGCTGGCTTGCAGAACGTAGCTCGGATCTTTTGGTATGGGAGTTCAAGGCCTTACCACCCAGCTTGAGGCTGGCGGAAGGCCTCATGTTGTTACGCTGTCCATGGGCGAGGCTTCAACTCGCAAGGAAAACCTTCTGCTGGTCGACTCATCAGCTGTGGAATACTACCTGATAAAGAAGCTGCTAGCCATCCTGGACTGGAAATCAACCCGTTTCCACAAGCGCCTTTACTACGAGACATGCCGCTATTACGGCGGCCTGCAACGCACCGGTCTTCGCTGCGTCCTGATCGCTGACAGCGCTGCGGATCCCGGCTTGGAAGCGACGTACGTTGTCAGGAGGCAGGCGTCGTTGGCCGCGGGTCATTATTTCATGCCGCCAACCGCTGCGCCCGTGATGCTCCAGGCCTACCTCGATTTGGGTCTGGAGGTGGTACGGAGCCTCCACGGCGCCGATGAGCTGCTGCTGGCCTGGGCGGTGCGCGACAGTGCCTCGCTGTTTGCAGTGCTAACTAACGACTCGGACTTCTACGTGTACGGCACCCCAAGGATTGTCAAGGCCCAAGATGTGGTGGTCGATGCGCGCAGCGTGACCTTCCACACCTGGTCAACGGACGAGCTCTGGCGGTGCTGGCGTGCCACCGCCCTCATTGCAGTCGGTCCCGGCCGCAGTGGCGCCGCCGCCGCTGCCGCGTCGTCCGTTCCGCCGCTGCTGCGACGCGCACAAGTGGCGGCGGTGCTAGGAAACGACGCCGGCAAGGGCCTCCGCCACCGACTGGAGATGCGGCGTAAAGTTGCCAACCGCGGAGCAGCAACCGCTGCCGCCACTCCCAACGTGGCGGCTCGCGCTGTCGTACAGCTCCCTGATCCGCCGGAGCCGCTGACGTTGGAGTTCTTTCGCCGCGAGCCGGTACGGCTGCGCAACTTCACCGACGCTGATCTGGCGACGTTCAATGCCATCGTACAAGCCTATATGGACCAGTACGCGGCGGCGCGCGACGGCTCAGCGCTCCGAAACCTGACGCTATCGCCTGCGGTGGTGCCCTGGCTTAACCCCGTCGTGGCGGCGCGTCTGGCGGCGGGCGCTGCCGTACCGTCGCTTCTGCCGGCCTTGGCGTGCCGCGGACTGTGTTCCCTTGTCGTACCGGAGCCCTTCTGGTCGCCGCAGCTGGCGTTACGACGACGCGTGGCGGCGCTTCTGTTCGGCGACCGAGCCCCTGGCGTGTCGTACGAGTACGACGCTAACGGCAACGCCCTACACGTGCTCGTACAATCCGCAGCGGCGGCGGAGGTTGCGGAGCGCGCGGAGTGGTTCCAACCCGCTCGCCACCTGCCCGACCTCACCATCATCCAAGACGGTGCGGATGCCGTACCCGCAGTCGCCCGCCAGGCGACGCTGGAGGAGACCGTACGGCACCTCCGGGAGGTCTACCCCGGCCTGCCGCCGGCACTCGTCACCGTATACGCCCTCCTGCTGCACGCAGTGGACCCAGATGAGGCCGCATGGGACGAGCAACAAGTACGGCAGCTGCTGCTGCCGAGGGTGCCCATGAGGCTGGGAGCGGCGCCGGCGGCGGCTGTAGCAGGGGAGGCCGCGGATGAGGAGGGAGACATGGATGATGGGGCGGCGGCACCGGCTGCAAATGGTGGGCCTCGTCACGGCGCTCCAATCGTGGATGTGGGCAGCGCGCTGAACACGGAAGACTGGAATGATATCGACGCCAAGGACGTGAGTTGGGCTGGGATTGATGCGACTGAGTGGGGACTATGGCTTGCATACCGGTACTTGCCTGCACCAAACGCATGATCATGATGAGGACTTGGCCATTCCTGCCTCCTCCTCCCTTCCCCTGCCTTTTACGCAACCTAAAATCCAGCCTAATGCGGAATATATATTGCTTTTAAACCCCTGCCTTCCCCCCATGCGCCTTTACGCCGCAGGTGGTCAACCGCGTGCGGTCCAGTGCGGGGTTCGCGCTCATGCGCCGCATAAGGCCCTGGAGCCCGCTGGCGGCTGCCCAGCGGCTGGGGGCGGGCTGGGAGGGCTGCAGCCCGCTGGTGGACTGCGCGCGGAAGGCGCTGGCAGCGGGGCCGGGCAGCAGGCAGTGGGGGGAGGCGCAGGTAGGCAGGGCTGGGGGCGCCTTGTTGCATGCTTGGTTGCATGGGAGGGATGCTGGGGTAGGGTGAGCGCTGCTGCGGTCTAGGATGGCGAGGTGAGGGACGTGGCTGATTGCTGTAAGGGCTGTGGCTGCGAGTGAGCTTCTGTACTGCTGCTTTTCTCTTTTCGATTGCCATGGCTCTGCTCGCCTGCCGGCCGTGCCACCTTCCGCTCATGCCTCCATCCCTCGCCTGCTCCCCCTCCCCTACCCCGGCTGCAGCGTGCATGGGACACCGCGCGCGCTCCAGCCCGGCTTAAGGCCCTCGTCGAGATCTGGAGCAGCACCAACCGTTGGCTAACCGCCTCCACCTCGGGAGCGCCCATGCGCCACCGCCACCAGCAGGAGATCTTGGATCTCGTGGACGAGCATCTTACCAACCTGCTGTCGTACCTGTTCGGGAGATCTGCCGTACGCCCTCCCCCGCTCCGCGTGATCCTGTCTACGCCTACGGGCAGCGGCAAGACCTTCACGGCCGTCATGCTGCAGCTGCAAGTGCTGAAGGGCTACAGGGCTGCTGCGGCGGCGGAGGGAGGTGGCGGCAGCGCAGGTGGCGGCAGCGCAGGTGGCAGCAGCGCAGGAGGCAGGGGTGGCGGAGCCAAGGGCAAGGGTGCTGCTGCGGCTGCTACTGAGGAGGAGAAAGCAGCCGAGCAGCGGCAGGGGCACCCGGAGGCCATCCTGGTCTACTCGGTGCCTACCAAGCAGGTGCGGTGCGGGCGGGGTGTATGTGTGCATGTATGTGTATTAGAGAGGACACCGACCCTGGTCGCTCCTTCTCTTTTTTAACCCCATGTCCTCCTCTCACGCCCCCCCACCCCACCCCTCCTTCCCACCCCCCACCCAGGTTCTGAAGCGCGTGGGCCAGGAGTGCGAGGCGCACGGAGTGATCTACTGGACCGCTGCCAGCGATGGGGAGCTCTTCCAGGTGCGCCGCCCCTACTCCATCCGCACCAAGCGGGGGGACAAGGGCAGCGTTGGCGCGGGAAGCATGAGGAGCCAGCTGGAGGAGTGCGCGCTGCGGGTGAGCGCGGGGAAGGGCTGGGGTCTTCCTTTGGGTTTTGCGGTTCAGGTGTGTGGGATTATCATTGTATCATGCATGGGGTAGTGAATAGAAACATGCCGTGGACACTCGGTACCGGTATGCCGGTTTAGCTCACTCCATGCTGATTGCATGCAACCTTTCCTGGCACTCCTCCCTCCGCATTGCTCTCCGTTCGGGTACGGCTCAGGTTACCTAACCCCTCCCCCTGCTGCCACACGGTCAGTTAGTTGTTTCCTCTTTACTCCCCCTGCTGCCCCCAGGGCTCCCGCAATGACGACCTGGGCGGCGGCAAGCCCGACGTCATCATCGCCGACATCTTCGCCACCGCGGAACTGGTTCGTGCCGCCCGGGAGGCGCCCCCGGGTTCCTTCTACCACTCCCACTTCCTGGTGCTCTACCTGGATGAACCCAACATGGGGCTGCACCTCAATGAAGAGGTTAGGGGGACCTGGGAGGGGGGCCAAAGGAGGGAAGGGAGCGGGGCCCGTGCATGGCCCTCATTGCCCCTCAATGCCCAACAATGCTCACCCTCGGTCTCCTGCTCGCAGTTGCCCCACCTCCCCCTTCACTCCTTAACTCTAATAGCTTAACGCCTAACATCCTTCTATCACACTACCCCAGGTCCGGAAAGCGGTTCGCGCCATCATGTCAGCCGCCCCGTCCACCACCATCCTCGCCTCCGCCACCCTCCCCTCCTGGCAAGACCTACCCGCTTGGTGGCGAGGAGTCCACCTGCAACAGCAGCAGCAACAGCAACACCCCAACCAACAGCACCTTGCCGTACCTCCCGCCGTAGCTGCCGTACTGCCGCCCCCCACCTCCCACGTGGTCATCACCCAGGAGCCGTACGAGCTGCCCACATGCACGCTGTCCGTGTACGACAGCGTGTCAGGGCAGTTGGTTGCCGTACCGCCGCTGGAGCTGTTTGACGACGCGGGGCAGCTGGCGGCGGCGCTGGAGCGCAGTGCTCGGCTGCGGGTGCTGCTGCTGCGCCACTTCAGTGGGGAGCAGGCGAATCAGCTGTTGGGGCTGGCGGAGGGAGGAACCGGGGCGGGGGCAGGGGCAGCGGTGGGAGGAGGGGCGGCAGGAGAGGAGGGAGAGGAGGAGGAGCTGGATGAGACGTGGAAGGTCCTGGACCAGGTGAGTCCTGCTTGGGTGTGAGGTGGCATGGGGTAACACGCATGAAAGGGGCGGACCAGGAGCTACAACCGAGTGTGTTTGATGTATTTGTTGTCGCATCGGGCATGCAGCCGGTGGAACCCGCAGCTGTGGGACAAAAACAGTTTGTCAGGAAGCTAAACGATGCACAAAACCAGCTCCTACCCTTCCAATTTCCCTCACCCCGTGCCTCCCCGCTCCTCCCCTCCCTTCCGCCCTCCTCCTGTCCAGGACCTGCGCTCGCTGCGTTCCGAGCTGCTGGAGCCCGAGCTGCTGCACCTGGCCGCCCAGCCGGCCCGCTTCACGCAGCTGAGGGAGGAGTGGCGGAGGGCGGCGGCACCCCGGCAGGCGGCTGAGCTGAAGGATGTGCTGTCAGAGAAGGTGCGGTGATGGCGGTGGTGGTGCTGAGGAAGGGGGCTTGTTACCAGTGTAACGAAGGAAGCGAAGGACAGCGGAGAGGGCATCATCTCACCTGCTTGGTATCTCACAAGCACACCTGCTCCCACTGCGTGTCAGCATACAGTTTAGCCTTCTCACTTCCTCGCTCCCCGTCCCTGTCCCGTTCTCCCTCCCGCCCTCCCGCACCCCCGCCCTGCCACCCCCAGGGAGTCACCCTGGTGGCCACCCTACAGCCCCGAACAGTCGCCCTGCACCTGGCCGGCAAGATACCCGGCGATCCCGCGGCACTCGCGCGCTGGGCCGAGGAGGCCAGGAGCATGCGGGCTCGGGTCAAAGATGCCGCCGCCGCCAAACGTGCCGCGGATAAGGCCCGAGAACGAGCCGCCAAGCGCGGGGATGAGGAGGGGCGCGCCGGTGCGCGGGACGATGGCATGAGCGGCGCGGGGCGTGTTGCCTTGCGACCCGGTCTGGTGGTGAGTGCAGATGAGGCGGAGGAGGTGGAGGATGACGACACGCTGGTGATGCTGTCACGAGGCGTAGCTTACGCGGCCAGCCGGGGGGTGGAGCCGCTGGTGAAGCGGCTGTACCAGCAGGCACTGCTGTACGTGCCCGAGCGGGCGGGTGTACGGCCGCCGTTGCACACGCTGGTCGTGGATTACTCAGCGGTCTACGGCACGGACTGTCCCGCTGTGGACACCATCGTGCTGTGTGAGGACCTGGCGGCGGTCATGAGCTGGGAGGACCACCAGCAGTTCATGGGTCGCCTCCGTCGCGACGGTACGGCAGTGTATCCGTCAATGGATCGTCTCCGGCGTGCCGTACTGGGGGGCAGCTCGTCGTACTGGGAGGAGCAGCGGCGGCGGCGGGCGGGGGAGCAGCGGCGGCGGGTGGAGGAGGTGCTGGCGAAGCACGTGACGGCGGCGGCGGCGGGCGCGGCAGACACGACGGCGGCGGCGGCGCGGGAGCTGCTACAGCTTGTACGACCGGCGGAGTTCCCTCGTGCCGCCGTGGCGGCGCATGTGCTGACGGCGGCGCTGAGGGATCTGGTGGCGCCAGCTGACGGCGGCGATGGAGGCGGTGGCGACACGAGGGCTCTGCTGGCGGCGGCGCTGCGACGGCTGAAGCAGTGGGGCGGACTCAAGCCGCTGAAGCTGATTGAGAGGCTGCGGCTGGAGCGGCCGGCGGAGCAGCGGCTGCTGGTGGCGGCGCTGCAAGCGCTGTGTCTGGGAACGGGCGCCGCCGCCGCCGCCAACGCCGACGGCGACGGTGATGGTGCGGCAGACAACGCTGCTGGCGGCGAGGGTGCGGCAGTGGGGGTGACACAGCGGTACCTTCCGTGCGCCGCCCGGCTGCTTCAGGAGCTAGCGAATGAGGACGTAGTGGAGCAGGCGGCGCTGAGCCTCTGGTGCGAGGAGGCGGAGGCGGCGGGTGGGCAGGGTGCGGCGAGTGCGGAGGGGTTCAAGGAGTTTAAGAGGGCGGTGGTGACGATTCGGAACTGGCTGAAGGAGCAGGAGGAGGAGGAGGAGGGCAGTGGGGAGGAGGAGGAGGACTAGGAGTGGGAGTGCTGATGAGAGGGGTAGCTGTCCAGTGCAGATAGGTGCGTCAGGCAGATAGCAGGTAGGCAACTGACGACCTGAGGTGCCTGGGCTAGTTCTAGTGTCGGTGACTCGCGATTGTTGTTGCTGTGCAAGCAAGCTGCCATGAGAATTGCGATTAGCAGGAGGCGTGTTCTGCGTTCAGGTCTGTCGTTGGCTTAACAGTTTGCTCGGTTAGTGTGACCACTGTAACGGTCATTCATCCCTTGTGGTTGCTGGCGCTGTGGCTGGTGTTAAGAGACAACAAAGGTGTTGTGCTGCTGGACGGCAACGCAGGTCGGTCGGAAGTACATGGTATGAAAGTTGCTGCCCCTTGCTGGACTAGGAAGCACGTGGCTGGCTGAGAGGTTTCATAGGAGCGCAGGTAGGGATGAGTGGACGGACTGCATGTGTAGTTGCATGGCGTGGCCGGACACTCCATGCACCCCATGGCAGGTTTGTTGCAGTACCGGCAGCAATCGAACCGGAAAACGATGAGGTGTGCGAAGGGAGGAACCCGCACGGGACATGGCCTGACCAGCCAACGGGGCACCGAGGGGTATGTTGGAGGTGTCCGCCCGCATGGCCTGGCAAGCCCAAAAGGACGTCGTGTAGATGTGTGAAGGGAGGAGCGCGGGCTGATGAGGGGATGATGGGCTGCGGTGCCCAATAGAGTCACAATTGTGTCGTGCCTTGCAGCGTTGTTGATCTACAGTAAACTCCTCTATACACCGAGACCGCAAGGTAGTTCAAGAAGTGCGCTGCGCAGAATGTACCCAGCTTACCGGTAAGAGCAAGGCGGGAACCGTAAGCACAGGGCCCACATGACCAAGATGACTCTCCCGCACGGTACACACCAATAACAACGGGGCCCATCCAAATGTCGTACTTCGATCAGATAGATGATCAGATAGATTCAACTAGGGTAGCTGGACCGTAGCGGAACCGGGCCATGACGCCAGCTGAGGTAGCCACAACGATCGATCCCAACCGCCAACGATTTGACGGTAACTGTCCGCTAGACGGTATTCAGCCCTGACACCCCCTGCTGCTACGCCCTTCCTGGCGCCAACGACCGTACCGCTACCCTTTGTGCTCTCAATACAGACTAAGGCATTAAATCCATAAAACACAGCAACATTTCTACCCGTAAGCACTCGACGTGTTATCTCCTTTCTCGTTTTCTGGACTTGGAGGCGTTGGAGCTGGCGTGGGTTTGGGGTTGGCTATATGGCCAGCTGAGGGGCCGTGACCGCTGCTGGCAGTTACCACAGCGCTGGCAGCCCCCAACAGCGGGGAGCCCCACGGGGTGGACACCGAGGGGCGCCGCAGCGGGGGCTTTCGCGGCGCATCCGCAGGTTGGGTGGGGACCCCGGGCGCTGGGGGTGCGGCGGGCGAGGTTACCGGCTGCAGCGAGGGCAGGGGCGCAGCAGGGGAGCGCGAGACGGCAGGTGCCGGGGGCCGCTGATGCCGAGGCGGTGGTGGTGGTGGTGGTTGTGCGGTGGCGGCGGCGGCCTGTCCCCCGCAGCCGCAGGACTCCAGCAAGGCCGCCAGCGCTCGTGCGAAGGCCGGAGCGGTGCTGCTGGCTATGGACACGGCCACGGCATTGGGCGTCAGGTTTTCGGAGTTGCCTGTGTTGTGATTGGTGCGGGTATGAAGAGGTATGAAGAGGTATGAAGAGGTATGAAGAGGATTCAACCGTGTTCCCTTTCAGGGAACCATTGTAAGTTTGTAACGGTCATTCATTCATACCCGCAGCAGCAGCCCCCGTGGTCCACCGACCCTCGCCCTGCATCCACCTCACCTCCTGCGCGGCGGGGGCACACACCCGCGGCAGCCTGGTTGGTAGCGCTCACAAGGCCCGCCTGCAGCTCTCCAAAGCGCCTGAGTGCGAGCGGAACTGAGCAGTTGCCGGCGGCGGTGAAGAGGGCCTGGGTGACGGCGGCGGCGATGGCAACGCCCACACTCTCACATCCCGGGGAGCCCAGGGAGGAGCCTGGCGGGGGACATTACGTGGACGTCGCAGGGGAAGAAGAAAGGCGCCGGGATACCAGAGTTAGACGAGGAACGGGGTTAAGAAGGTTAAACGACCTGATGCAGCGCGAATGGGCAGAATGCTACATGGTCGCGCCTTATCCGCCTCTGCAGGGATGCGGATGACCCATGGGTCAAGGAACTCCAGTTATGACGCCGGCTAGCCTACTAAGCGGAGCATGTTTGTTGAAGATGGCAGGAGGCACGATGAAGGGTACCATGTAACGAGCGTAAAACCGTGCAGATGCCCACCCGTGGAATGCGAATGTGCATAACCTGCATACCTCTCAGCTCCTACCTGTGTGACCCACGGGTCACAGTGTTCCCCAGACATTGCCGGATCGCCGCCGCGGCCGCCGCGCATAGCCAGGGGAGGCTTGAGGATACAACGCCGGACGACTGTCCTTACCTCTCGCCCTGTCACTCTCAGTTAAGAGTGTGTTCGCTGTCAAGGTGCCGACCGTTGTAGCTAGCGGCATAGCGGCTTGTCCCTTGCCGCTGCATACTTCCGCCACCGCCGCCGATACGGCGAAAGCGCTTTCAAAGGCGGCCGCGTTGAGCGGTTGAGGAGCGCTCTTAGTGTCGGGCAGGGCTAACGGGGCATTCACCGGGCCTGAAGGGGAATGCGAGGAGAGGATGCAGCGGCGCACCGCATGGCTTTGTTGCGTCTGCATTGCATGCATTGCATTGCAGGTACTTGCAGGACTTTGTATGCACGCAAGAAGCCATCACTTTGTAGCTGCTGTATTAGCTGGATTGAAGATAGGCATGTCAACATTCGCAATGCAAATGTGTTGTGAGGATCAGGTCGATGCCTTTGCCGCACCTGGCGTTGGCCTGGCTGAAGCGAAGACAAAGAGCATTATTAGGAAACCTAACATTTTGTCCAGGCAGCGAACCGTTGATCGCTGTCGTCAGGAGTCGTCTGCAGGAGACGCGATGCGCCAGCTAATACGCTTTTCTTTCCCTGTATGCCTCTTCATCACCTTAATGAAGGCGGCTCCGGCGTACGGTGTTAGGTAACAGCCGCTGGTAGCACTTCGCAGCCGTACGGCAAACGGCCCACCAATGACACCGCATTTATCGTACAGTATCGGATGTGCACCTGGAGACTGCCACCAACACGTTGCCAGATCGGGGGCATGGCCCACGCAAGGTCTAAGCATGCAAGGCAGTTGCAGGGCTTGGGTGCCAGGCAGTGGGTATCCGTACCCATACGCCAGGTAGCTTCTGGTAACTGTCCGGCTGCATGCTCATGCTTGCTTATGTTCAGCTAACACGAAGTCCGAGCTGTTGTTACTCGGTTATGGGACCGCTTAGCATCTGCAAACGTCGATAAGTTGTGCCGCAAATGGCGTTGACTTAGCTACAGCTTCTTAAGCTTCCAAGACCGACCCCATCATAGCAAGGGTTTTAAAACGTAACATACCGGTTTGTGTGGCTTTGGGGAGCCACGAAGCGGCCAACCGCAGCAGCAGGTCGTACCGTCATACATGTCATCGGCAGATCTCACAGGCTTTGGCGCAGAACCTCACCTTTACGTAAAACAAGTTATAAACAAGATAGAATGGATGCTTTCCGTTAAGCTCTTGCAGGAGCTGATGCACCTGCCGTAACCGGCCGGGAGTTTCACGGCGTTCCAAACCGACGGGACCTTTTCTGCAAAAGACCAACGCTAAGCGGCATGATTTAATATTTGTTTCCACGCAAGAGTGATATCCACAATGCCGCGTTATCTGGGCAGCAAGTCTAGCTACAACCGAGCATCGCAGTTCCATCACCGCTCGCACACTTACACAGCGAGCAATAACAAACGCGTCTGTACAATTATATGTAAGCAACAGGGTGGAGACTCGTTACAGCGACCTAACGCTCGTCCTGGAGCTGGGAGAGACGAGTCGCGCTCCGATGGAGGCAAGCGGGATGGCCGTGAGGGGCGCGGCGGGCCCACGTCAGGCCGCGAGGGCGCTGCTGCCTATACGATGGCCTCCAAACCAACAGCTGGAGGAAGAGGCGGCCGGCCTGAGCCTCTGGTGATGATGAGCAAAGCAGCCGAATGGTGGCAATTCAATGTGTTCAAGGGCTTTAAGATCGGGCCTATCACACCCATCAAGGTAATAAACGCCGTCACCTAACATTTACAAGTGTGTTTTAGCCGCGGCCACCACTTAAACTTTACTGCAGCCCCCCAGCCTGTTCCTAGGCGTGCAGCAACCGGTCCGCTCCTCTCCATCGCGCCTCCTCCTCTTCCTTACCCATCCTTCTCCCCTACCTCCCTGACCCGTGCAGCTCCCTAACGGCCGCACTGCGCGACCCAACCACAGCGCCGCCGGGAGGCCCATTGAAGTGATCACCAACCACCTGCCGCTAACCGTTAACATCCGCACCGTGGCCCAATACGACGTGTCCATCACCCGAATTCCGCCGACAACAACGCTAGCTTCATCACCACCGCAAGCGGACCAAGATCCGGCAGCCGACGACGACAGCTCCGGCCTTGACACGGTCAGCGAAGTTGCCCCTGAAGGCGCTCCTGAAGAGGCTTCTGAGGCCACGGGCAAGGAAGGCAAGGCAGGCAAGAAGAAGGGCGACAAACGTGCACGCAGCGGCCGCCGAGCCGTCAAGGTGACGGGCGCGGAGGCCCATGCTGTACTGTCGTACATGCTTGACACGACCCCCGCCGGCGCCGTCAGCAGCGCCAAGGACGCATGGGTGTACGACGGTGGTGCAATGCTGTACACAGTACTGCAGGGGGAGCTCATGAGGGGGGCGGGGAAGCCGGCGGCGGGTGGCAGTGGCAGTGGCAACAGCAGCAGCGGCGGCGGCGGCGGTACTGAAAGTGGTGGCGATGAGGGCGCGAGCGGTGGTGGTGAGGACGCGTGTGGAGAGGAAGGAGGAGGTATCGTGCGGCAGGGGGTGGACACGTGGCGTGTGGAGGTGCCTGGGGTGGCGGGAGGCGAGGCGGCGGGCTCGACCTACCAGGTAAGGGGGGTGGGAGGAGGGGGTGGTCAGGGGGACTACGGGAGCTCAGGAGAGGGTTCTCAGCCGCCTACCGGTGCCCGTGTACGGGTTTCAGGTGCCCCCACCAATTCGCCTGCCCTCCCTCCTGCGCTTAGGTCCCGCCCTCTTTACGCTTAGGTAACCTCCACAGCCATACCTTCACTCACGCACATCGGGACACCGCACCTGCCCTCCCTCACGTACGCACGCTCGCATCATCAGTAGGGCCGCTCACCAGCCCCGCGCGTCTAGCAAAGCATTCCCTTCCCTCCATCCATCCCTTCCCTCACCCTACCTGCCTTCTCTCCCTCCCTCCCTTCCCTCACCCTACCTGCCTTCCCTTCCCCATCCCCCCCCCAACAGGTGTCATTGTTTTTAGCTGTCATTTCACTGGCACCGCACGTTTTGCACCCTCTGCATATCTAGATCATAATACCCATACTGCGCTTGCGCTTAATTAAGCATGCTCTCGTCCCATGCCGTACTTCGCATCGCCGTCTTTCGCATAAATACTAACTCTCGGCATAGTTCCTTCTCTTTAATCATGATAAGCCAGCCATCTTCATTGTCATACAGCCTGCGTCGATATACAGCGCAGCTCGCAGCACCAGCACAGCACAGGGACGCATGCCTGCTTTCTGTTCGCTCGTCGCGCCGCCTTCTTGTGTCTCTGGACGCTTTTCGCTCACTATTAACGAAATTTGGTACGTCTTCGTTGCACAATTTCCCCTTGCTACGCAGGTTAGTCAGGGTTCGGAGTAGTGGGTGGGCTGGGCTTTGTTAGACCAATGGGTCATTTGCGAGGGTCGGGCAGGGTGGGATGCTTTGGTGCACACAGCCGCATGACAGCCCCAGATAAGCAGCGGAGCTTACATACGTTATGCTGCTGACAGCATTGCAGCACAGACATCAGGTCTAGCGCAGTGGAGCCAGTTATCACAGTAGCAGCCGCCTTTTATTCGCCAATGCAGAGTGATCTCAGATCACCCCAGCTGCCACGGAGCTTACAATACGGTTTGTTACTTATTGATGCTACTAACTTTACAACAACTACAATTATATGCTAACCCAAATATCCAGCCTAATTCGGATTCTGTTTCCAAATTACTCCCAACAGGTGTCCCTCCGCCGCACGGCCCTGCTTGACGTGTCCGAGTGCCTGCGGGAGGCGCAGCAGCGGCGCACCGCCGCGCTGGCAGCCGCACGCCACCAGCAGCAGCAGGGGGAGCCCGGGGAGGAGCTCCAGGGTGCAAGCGACGAGGATGTGGAAGACCGCCTCCCAGCCTCCTCCTCCTCCTCTTCCGCCGCCACCTCCTCCTCCGAGCAGGCTGCCAAGGCGGTGTTGGAGCTGGTCAGCCGGGCGAATGTGGCGTGGCGGGCCGACACGGTGGCAGCGGGTCCGGGCACCTACGTGTCGCACAGCAAGGAGTACAAGCAGGAGGGGAGGGGCCAGATCAGCGGACTGCTGCCGCTCAAGGTGAGGTAGGGTGAGGGTGGTTGATTGGTTAGGTCGGAGGTGGCTGGTTGGTTGGTTGAAGTCGGTTGGGGTAGGTAGGAGGTGGTTGGGACAGGTAGGGGCTTGTACCCACGCACGTGTTCGGCGTTCGTGCGCGGCAATGATGGAGGCTGAGGTTCAGCCGGGGGCCGAGGTCTGAGGCTCTGGGGCTGGGGCCGGGGGCTGAGGCTGGGGGCGCTGTTGCCACCATGTGAGTGAAGGTGTCACTCGGTCGGGCGGCAGGTTTGTGTTGTGTGCCATGCGGGGTGGGTGCGGTGTGACCCGTTGCTCTCGATGGGGTTTGCAGCTGTCAGGGGCCCAACACTTTCCCCTGGCTTATTCGGGCTGGGCGGATGGGGCTGGCTCGCATCTTGCAAGCCATGATGACGCCCTACCACACTACATGGGTCGTGTCCTCGTTACCCCGCTCCTCCTCCCTCTCCTCCCTCTCCTCTCCTCGCTCCCCCGCAGCTGCTGGGCGGCTTCCGCGGTGCGATTGCGGTGGTGGCGGGCGGCCCCACCCTAACCCTGGATGCAGCATACAGCGTGGTGGCGGAGGATGGGCGGCTGCTGCCGCAACTGGAGGTCAGCGAGGGGTGCAGGGGGGGGAGGCTGCTGGCGGGGCGGGGGAGGGGGCGGGAGGGCAGGGGCAGGGGGCCAGGGGGGCGCAATGTACGGCATGCGTGCGCTTGTCCTGCAGGCGAATGGTGGATGGTGGGGGGGGGCAGTGGTGGGGAGCGCGCAGCCTTGTCGATGAAGGCGGGTTGAGGGTTGCGTCGTACATGGCAGCCTGGGGTGATGCAATTAAAAAACATTCCGGCGTTTTGCGACCCACGGGTCTGTCCTTCCCCGGTCAGCTAGTCCGGGTGGTCAGAGTTTGCTGGTTGCTTTTTCTTCTTCTTCCCGGTGCTGTTCGGCTGTTGGTGCTGTTAGCTTACCCCCTCCCGCCCTGCACCGCCACGCCCTGCCCTCCACGTTTCCTCCTTGCAGAAGGCATTCGGGCGGGACCTGGCGCAGCAGCTGATGCACCGGGGCAATGCGGTGAAGCTGGAGGCTGCGCTGGTTGGTCTCAAGGTGCGGGGGGGGAGGGGTGTGGGGGTGAAGAGGGGAGGGCTTGCTGACGGGTGTGCTAGCCTTCCTTCCTTCCTCGCACAGCCTTCCTTACCCCACCCAGAGTCCCCATCACCACGCACTGGTATGTCCCCGCCTTCCAACCCCCTGCTTGCCCCCACCTCCCGGCCCCCACCTCCCTGCCCCCATCTCCCTACCACCATCTCCCTACCACCATCTCACTGCCCCCACCTCCCTGCCCCCACCTCCCTTCCACCCCCTCCCTGCCCCCACCCCCACCTGCCACCCCCTCCCTGCCCCCACCTCCCTGCCACCACCTCCCTGCCCCCACCTCCCTGCCCCCACCTCCCTGCCCCCACCTGGCCCCCCACGTACCCACGGGTCACAGGTCAAGAACCCGCATAACAACATCACCTTCGACCTCACCGGCCGCCTGACCCCCAAGTCCGCCCGACACACCACCTTCCAAGACGCGCGAACCGGCCGTAGCATCAGCGTGGAGCAGTACTTCAAGGAGAGGTACGGTGTCGTACTGCAGCGGCCGGAGCTGCCCTGCGCGCTGACCAGCAAGAAGGGAGGAGCGCTGCCGCTGGAGGTGCTGATGTGGGTCCCTGAGCTGCTGGGCGTGGGAGGGTGGCTGGGGGGGTGTTAGAAAATAGAGACACGGACGATGCAACTGGGGGGGGAAGACTGTGTGCGTATTGATGGAGAGGAGGTTGGGAAGGCAGTTGGTGACGTTACGCATGCCGGTTGAGGGGGATGGAGCGCTGTGTTCTCTCTTCCCACCTTGCCCTCTTGGCCCCGAACCTCTGGGCCCCGCTGTTTGCCTTCTTCGTCCCTTCCCTGTCCCCCACCTTTCCCCCCCCCCCCACCACCCTCTCTGCCCACCCACCTCCCCCCGGAGCTTGCCGTCTTGTTTCCCCCTATCATTTAACACACTGTGTATCCTCCTCTCCCCCCCACAGCGTGCGGCACAGTCAGAAGCGTCTGTCGCGCCTAGACGACCGCCAAAGGGCCGCCTTCATCCGCGCTTCCGCGCTTCGACCCGACCAGCGACTGAAGGCGGCGCGGGAGGCGGCGGCGGGGCTGTGGGGGGCGGTGGCCAGGCGGTTCGGGCTGGCTGCCGAGAAGAAGGACTTCCTGAGGGTGACTGGGTGGGGGGGGGAGACTGGGGGACTGGAGGGGTGCTGGCAGGTGGTGGGTTGACCTCAGTTAGAGGGTGAGTGTGAGGGGGCTGGCAAGGCAGGTAGCGGGGAACGCAGGCAGGCGGGGGGGCGGTCCCTCCTCGTGTGGCTGCTGCTCCCCTCTCCTTACCACGCAACCCGCGTACACCGCCTGTTGACCGGGTGAGTCCCTTCTGGAACCCTCTGGGTTGCCCCTGTTACCCCTCCACCAGCCCCTGAAGCCCCTCTCCCACCTGCCCTGGGCCCCTCCCACACCTCCCACTCCTCCCACTCCTCCCACTCCTCGCCCTCCCCCTCCCCTCTATCCCTCGATTCCGTTCACCAGGAGCTCATCCCCCAGTGTTGAAGCTACCGGGTACACTTCACGCGTGGCCCCGCTTCTTCCTCCCCTTCCCTGCCCACCAGGCCCCTGCCCGCCTGCTGGAGGGCCCACTGCTGGAGGCCACCACCACCACCACCACCACCGGCAGCAGCAGCAGCAGCAGCGGAGCAGCTAGGGGCGGTGCTGGTGCTGGTGGGGTGCAGCGGGGCGGTCTGGCGACGGGCAATGCGGGCGAGTGGCAGCTGCCCGGGGTGGCGGGTGCGGGGGTGTGGCGCAGTGGGGCCGTGCTGTCGTACCTGGACCCCAACAAGGATGCGGGTAGGGGGGGAGGGAAAGGAGGAGGAAAAGGAGGAGGGAAAGGAGGAGGGGAAGGAGTGGTTATATACACATGGGAGGAGGGTATACGCGCAGTCGGGCATCATGTGATGGCATGACTGCCCGGTTCAGGATCGTCTCGTTCCCTGCTCCCTCTCTCTTACCTGCTTCCCCAGTCCTTCCCCTCCTGCATCCCTGCTCCCCCGGCTCCTCCATCCCCCCTACCCCTACCCTCTCAGATACCGTCACCCAGATGCTCTCGACGCTGCGAGAGGGGCTGGCGAGTCAGGGCTGTGCTCCCATGCCGCAACACATGCCTGTGGTGTGGGTGGGCAGCAGCGGAGGCGGCGGGGGCAGCAGCAGCAGCAGCAGTCGGGGCGGGGGCAGTGTGCTGGACCGGCAGGAGGCGGAGGCGGCGGAGGGGTTGCAGCGGTCGGTGAAGGCGGCGGAGGGCAAGTACGGCGCGAGGCCGGAGCTGGTGCTGGTGGTGCTGCCGGAGCGGGGGGCCAGCGGTGAGAGGGAGGGGTGATTGGAGGGGGAGATGGTGTTTTGACGTGACGGTTGGATGTGACACGGTTGGGGGCGGTTGGTGGCGGTGCTGAGGCTGGCGAGGAGAGGCTAAGCGGAGTGCTGGGAATGGGACGCCGAGCCGAGGGAGGGCAGATGGCGGCATGAACCGCATGATCCGTAGCGACCGAGTACAAAGCGATCAAGTGAAGGGGTTGCTGTGGAAGGGGTGGGGGGTGCAGCCATGTCCGGTTCGTCTGTCGTGATTGTCCCACTGCCGTACACTGCGGTACGACGACATGCGCTCACCACATTTCCCCATTCATGTTTGTCCCCCCGCCCCCCCGCCCCCTGCCCGCCCCTTCTTTCTTGCAGCTGTCTACAAGAACATCAAGAAGGCAGGAGAGGGCTCCCTGCGGCTGACCACGCAGTGTGTGAACCTGGCTGAGCAGACCAAGGTGGGCACTGGGCGGGGCTGCTTCAACCCCTGTTCGGGTGACGGAGGCAAAGAGGAAACGACTACCGGTGACGAACCGTGTGGTAACGGCGTCATCATGGTTGGGGTGGTGGGGGGGGGGGGTGATGGGGGGTAAGCCACGAGCAACAGGGAGGGAGGGGGCTACCGTGGCATGGGGGCAGCCAGGGGAGAGGCCTCCCGCACAGAGGACTCCCCTCGCTCAGCCGTGCCGGGAGCCACAGAGCCTACTTGGATACACCGTCCCAGTCCTAGGTAAACCCCTACCATACAGGTCTACCGGAGTACCCCCGCCGGACGCCACCCTTGCGCTACCTAGCTTGTTACCCTCTCCCTAACTGCCTCCCACCCACGTCTACACGCTGCTCTGCAGAAGGGCGGTGGCGGCCTCTCCCGCGCCGCCGCCCGACAGCTCGCCCTCGGCGTCAACGCCAAGCTGGGCGGTGTCACCACGCGACCCGCGGGTCGGCCGCAGGACTGGGCGCCCGTGCTGCGCGGCAGGCGCCTCATGGTTCTGGGCGCGGATATCTCCCGAGGCGCCCCGGGGGCGTTTGCTGCTGCTGGTGCTGGTGCTGGTGGTGCTGCTGGGGGGGAAGATGGGGAGGAGGGCGGGTTGTTCGCGGGTATTGAGTTTGCGGCGGTGGTTGGGTCGGTGGACAGTCACGGTGTGCGCTTCATGCAGGCGGTGTCGGCGCAGGCGGCGGGCAACCGGGATGTCATCATCGGCATGCGCGACTCGCTGGCTCGCCTGCTGCGGCTGTATGCGGCAGCGGCACCGCAGCGGGCGGCAGCTGAGGCTGCGGCGGCGGCGGCTGCTGCTGCGGGCGGTACCGGACAGGCGCTGGCGGGGTGGCCCCTGCGGCCCCCGCAAGCAGCAGCAGCACCACCACCGGCACCGGCACCGGCACCTGCGGCAGCGAAGAAACAACTGCAGCGGCCTCTGCAACCTCCGCAGCAGCTGAGCCAGCAGCAGCAGCAGCAGGGAGGGAGCTCCTCCTCCTCCTCCTCAGGGCCGCAGCAGCCGCAGCAGGCGCAGGCGGGTGTGCTGCCTGCTGCGGTGCTGCCCGAGGTGCTGCTGGTGTACCGGGACGGGGTGGGCGAGAGCTGCATGGATGCAGTGTTGGGGCGGGAGGTGGCGGACATGCGGGAGGTGAGGGGGGGATGGGGGGGAAAGGAGCGGTTTCTAGGGCGGTGGAATGAGGGGGTGTGGTGAGGCCTGGTTGAGAAAGCGGCCCGTGCGCACTTGGCCCTCCGATTGCGCCTTCAGGTGCCGGGTTGTCATCGCCACTGCCCTCTCTCGCGCGCGATTGCCTTTGCTCCGTCTCTCTCTCCACTTTAGGAGCACCCACACCTCCTCAACCCTCTCCGGGCTAGCCCCGGCCTACCGCGCTGCTAGCCTCAACAGCACCCCCGTCTCCCACCTTTTCCCCAACCCCTCAGCCGCACCCCCCCACACGCTTCCTATGGTTCGGTATGGTCTTTGACCCCCCCCCCACACACACGCCCCTACGTTCCTACTCGCGGCCAGTTTTCTTAACACACGCCCCTCATTCCAGTTCGTCAGTTATCATTATGTTTACCCTCACACACGCCCCTCCACGCCCTTCCTCGCCCCTCCACACGCCCCCCTCCACTGCAGGCCTGCACGCTAGTGGGCGGCCCCACCTACCGCCCCGCCATCACTTTTGCCGTGGTCCGCAAGCGCCACAACACGCGGCTCTTCCCCGCCAGCGCCGCGCAGGCACACAGCTCGGGTAACGTGCTGCCGGGCACGGTGGTGGACCGGGCGGTGGTGGAGGAGGCGGAGTTCGACTTCTTCCTGAACAGTCATGCGGGCATACAGGGAACCAACAGGGCGCCCAGGTGCGCGTGGGGGGGGGGGCAGGCGGGCGTGGGGGCGTGTGTTTAACAACCTGGCCGCGAGTCGGAACGTACTGCGGGGGCGGGTTTGTGGCGGGTGTGTGTGTATGGTAGATTAACGGGTGTCATGGTGTGGGGTTGGGGAGGGGTGCTGGGGCGCTCCTTGCAAGGGCGCTCCTCGCACTGTGTCGCAGCCTCTGCTGTCGTCCACTGGTTGACGTCTTCCCGTCCTGTCCGTACCTGGCCTTGGGCATTGAGCCCCTCCACCCCCCCGCGCCCCATTGCTGCGCCCTAGCCTGTGGTTTCCTATGGTATGGTACGGTCTTTGCCCCTCTCCCCTTCCCCCCGCCCCCCCCCCCAGGTACACGGTGTTGGTGGACGAGGTGGGTTTCACGGCGGAGGACCTGCAGATGCTCACTCACACGCTGTGCCACACGTACCCGACATGCAACAGGTGGGGGGAGGGGCGGCGGGGGAAGGGTGGGGTGGGGTGGCGAGGGGCGGGGCAGCGGTCAGGGCGCGTGCGTGCTGTTTTTAGCCGCCAGGAGGGGCACGTCGGGAGGAGGGAAACGTCGGGCAACGAGAACCCGCAGTGTTGAAGACTGCAACATACATGGGACTGCTAGCCCTTATCACATGTTGATTTAACAATGCTACCGTAATGGTTTGTTATCATGCAAGGAAACGCGGGCAGCCTTTCCATCCCCCAGCCACTCCCCTACGTTCCCTTCCTCATTCCACCCCCACTCTCTCATCTTTGCATGGCTTTCCTCCCCCCCCAGGTCCCTCTCCCTGCCTCCCGCCGCCCGCCTGGCCGACCTGGCAGCGGAGCGGGCCCGGCAGGCGCTGCGGGACCAGGTGAGCCCCCTGCAGCAGCAGCAGCGGGGGGGCGGCAACATGTGGCACCAGATGCTGGAGGGACCGGCGGAGGCCAGCAACGTGCTGTGAGGCGGTGTGAGGAGGCGGTGTGAGGCGGTGAGGAGGGTTGCACCGGGGGTATTTGGATGCACGGGGGGATGTGGTCTGCTGAGAAGGTGTACGGAATGTGCGATGCGGCTGCTTTGATCGGTAGGGATGTACGGCAGATGTTTATGTTAGGGCGGTGAGAGGCGTGGGGCTGCCGGCAGCAGCTGTGTTGGCCCACCCCCCATGTAGCAGGTGCAGAGGAGGGCAGTCAAACGTCTGCTGCGAGGTAAGGGTAGCTATGACAGGTTTTTGTGCAGTGCAGGGGCTAATGATGCGGGAGTGAGAGAAGACAAAACAAAACAAAGCGCTCGATCGCGTGATAAAGGTTCATGTTTTAGGCGTGGCAGGGGCATACTATCATTATCCAGCAATTGCGTTCCTCTTGTCTGCGGGGACGCTCACTGCATGGCCACCTGCCTCCCAGGCGTTTAACCAAAGAGACGAGTTCACTTATTGTTGGGATGCCCGGGGGCGATGACCCGAATGGCGGCACAGTGTGCCTGATACCGTTCACCTGCGTGATGCAGGGCGGGGTGCGGGAGTAGTGTAGTGTAGTGTGTGTTAAGGAAACCGGCCTCGAGTAGGAACGCGCTGTGGTTGACGGAAGAGACGAAGTTCCCGCCGAAGGCCGTGTGCCGAAGCTGCTTGGGGGGTTGGGCTGATGCAGGTCTGTCTAGGGCAGCTGCAGGTGCAGCTGCAGGTGCAGGTGAAGGGCCGCAACACCACCAGGGCTGTAAACACCTTTCAGGGCGGTCGGGGCGGGGTGCACCCTTTCCAGTGCTAACAACCTCTGCTGTGATGGTACAGCGTGATGTGCGTGTGTTGGACACATGACCCATGGGTCGGCTTAGGATGAAATGTTCACTCGGCATTCCAACACGTTTCGGGGGGCACTGCTGTGACTACTACGCCCCTCCCCTCTCTTCCTTCCCGGCTAAGCGGTCCTGCTTGGCAGCTGACAACCGAAGGCCAACCACACGCCCGGACTCCCTCCTGCCCCTCTCCTACCCTCGCCTATCACCCCCAGCCCCTTTCACTCCTCCCCTTCTCCCCTTCTCCCCTTCCCCGCCCCTCTCGCCCCCAGCCCCTCTCGCTCCTCTACCCCCCACCCCCCGCCCCTCTCCAGCCCCCCCAGTCAGTTCCAGGCCAGTGCCGACCTGTCCGCCCAGTACTGCTCCGGCGGCTGGAGCAGCTCCGACTGCAGCCGCGACACGTCCTCGGGCTGGGGGGAGAGGGGAGAGGAAACGGAGAAGGGGAGGGCAGGTGCAGGAGAGGTGGGAAGCAGGCACAGCGGCCAGGCGGCCTAACGTGAAGATGCTACCTTATCGGACGACTGCGCAGCCGTATCCCCACACCCCCTTGTCTTCCCCTTGAACCCCCTCTCCCCCTCCCCCCCTCCCCCACCTGCAGCCTGCCCGCCAGCTCCAGCGCCCCCGCGTTGTCCCTCAGCTGCCGCCCGCATGCCGCCCCCGACAGCACCAGCGGCCGGAAGGGTTGCAGCAGGAGCGCGGCCAGAGCCACCGCGTCAACAGTGCTGCCGTACTGGGGTGTGGGGGGGTTGCGGGGGGAGTCGGGTGGGTGGGGGTTGCATTAGTTGTGATAGAAGGGGACGAGGGGTGGTATTAGCAGGCAGCGAGTTCCTCACAGTGTTCCGCCTGCAAGAGAAGGAGGAAGAGGCTTCAATGGATTCTTGAACACGCGCGCTGTGAATAGGAGCCGTTTCCCAACCCTGGGTACGTAGCGCTCCCTTACGTCCCTCGCCTAGCCCCTTGAACGGGCTGGTTTCTCTTTGTCCCCTCCCTGTCCTAAGGTTTGGTATGTCCTTTGACCCTCCCTGTCGTACTACCTTGTCCGCCACTCGTTGCAGCGCGCCCAGTCGTGGAGCGAACCGTGGGTCGGTGTTGCGGTGCGTGAGGCGCCCGTTGGCTAGCCCCTCCTTCACGATCACCGACAGACCCGCAGCGTGCGCCTCAGCCAGCGCGGGACCTGCGGGATGCACGACGTGTGGCACCCTCGTGACGTGTGTGGTGTGTGAACGGCGCTGCCGAGTGCTTGTGGGCGCGCATGATGAAGCCCTGTCACCAGTTTCTTCCTCTAGCCCCGGTTATTACCCCCTCCCTCATCCCTACCTACAATTCGTCAGCTTTATTCATCCTTTTATCCCCTTCTAACCCTCCATCCCCCCTCTTATCCCCCCTCCCCAACTCCCTTCCTCCCCACCTGCCGACTGCTCCAGCAGGTTGTATGTGGCCTGCACGCAGTCGAACAGCCGCGAGCCGTCCCCCGGGCAGCGCACCTGCAGCGCCTTGTGCAGGGTGGCGGCCTGGTGCACACCTGCGGGCGGTGTGTGTGTGAGGGAGGGGGAGTGGGGGATAAAGAAAGGAGCAAACCCTTCTTGGGGCCGAACCTTACTGGGGCCCACCCTTTTTTAGGCACCCTTAATTTGACGCGCCGCCAGCCGACGCTCAGCTGCAATTCGGCACCTCCCCCCCTCCCCCCACCTGACAGCGACAGCCCTATCTTCCAGCCCCGGGAGCGCTTCAGCGCCGCCAGCTCCGACAACACATCCGCTGGAGGGGGAGGGGGAAGGGGGGGCAAGAGGGAAGACATGATAAAAATGCAACAAGTGAGCACAGCAACGGGGGAAGGGGAGGTGGGCTCCGTGTTCGCAGGCTGGCCAGCAAGGGCGGTGGGGGCCGGGAGGGCACAGCATGCGCAGCAGCAGGAGCAGGTGGCACAGCAGCTGAGGAGCGGGGCGGGCGGGCGAGCAGGAGGTGCGGGTTGCGGGGTTCAGCCGCTGCAGCACACCCACACCGCGCATGCGCCCTTCACCGCGCTGCACTGCACTGGGTGACATCCAAACAGGACACCGCAGAGAGGGGGGGTTTGCCGGTAGCCCTGCAAGCTGCGACATCCCCCCCCTGTGCTGGCCTCCCCTCCTCCGTGAGGGGCGTGAGGGTCTCACCCAGCGCCCCACCCCAGTCCCCTACCTCCTTCATTCCTTCCCACTCCCCCCACCTCGCCTACCACTCCCCCATTGTTTTGCCCACGTTCGTGGTCTCCTATGGTTTGGCCTATTTTGACCCCCCACCCGCACCCCCCCACTCCCCCCCACCCGCCCCCCCCACCATCCGCCCCCCCCCCACCCGCACCCCCCCACTCCCCCCCACCCGCACCCCCCCACTCCCCCCCACCCGCACCCCCCCACTCCCCCCCACCCGCATCCAGCACTCCGCTCTCCAGTGTTGCCGAGTGGATCTGGTAGAGCCGCAGATAGGGCCCCAGCAGCGCCTCCGTCTGCCCCGCCTGCAGCCGCAGGTGGTCGCAGCTGTGGTCCTTCACCTCGTGCGGCTGACCGCCCGTGTCTACCTGCAGCGGGGCGGGAGGGAGGGGGGGAGTATACGGAAAGTGAAGCAACTGGAGTCCTGCCAAGGCGGGGGGGGAGTAGGGGAAGGCCGGGGGGGGAGCGGGTACTTGTTGAGTATAGCGCCATGGGGAGCCGCCACCTGCGACCCGCCCGCCCGCCCTCCATGCATGCATGCATGCGCTCCCATGCCCCCTTCAACCTTCACTACGCCGCCCCGTCCCCAACACACACACGCCCCTCTGTCCCCCCCCCTCTCCGCCCCTACCTGCCAGTCCGCCGTGTACCGGTAGCCCCACTTGCTGCCCACCAGCAGACTCTCACCCCGCTGCCCCCCCTGGTCCTGCCCCTGCTCCCCCTGCTGCCCCCCCAGCCAGCTGGCCAGGAACTCCTCCGCCCGCCCGTAGCTGCGAGCCGCGTCGTAGTACCTGGGGGGGGGCGGGGTGCAGGGGGGGAGCGGGGGTTGTGAGGGAAGGTGGCGAGGAGAAGAGGGGCGGGGAGGGATAGTGAGATGCGGGCCCCAACCTTAAACTCCCCCCCTACACCCGTAAGCCGTAACCCCACCTCGGGGGCCCCCTCGCCCCCACCTGATGCCCAGCCGCCGCGCCTCGTCCAGCACGGAGGCGCAGTGGGCCCGCATGTCAGCAACGGACTTGCCTGCTGCGAGGGAGGAGGGGAGGGAGGGAGGGATACCGGTACCGGTGGTAGGGGATAAAGGGGCGTGAGGGGGATGGCTGATGATGGAAGGCGCGGCTGGGCGAGGCCTGGGAGAGGCCCCGGCAGGGCAGGCGGTCATGTGTGGTATGCTAGCGTGAGCCCATCAAGCCCCGGGCTCTCCGTCCGCGAGGCCGCCACATCGGGCCCGGAGCCAGTTGCCAGCCAAGGCGCCGCCCCGTCACCCTCGCACCCCCCGCACCCCACCTCCCACGCTCCTCCTCCTCCATAGGGGTTCCACAGCCCCTCCTCCGTGCCGGGGCTTACGGCCGCATCCGTGCATCCCCCGTACGGCACCTGTCCCTCGCCCCTCACCCCCTACCCTAGCCCTCACCCCACCCCACCCCGCCCCCCTCACCCCCCAGGTCTCCCCCGTGCCCCAGGTTGATGTAACCCGGTCGCCCCAGCGCCGCCAGACCCAGACCCAGCAGCGGCACGTCGGGGACACCCAGGAAGGGGCCTGGGGGAGGGGCGGGGGAGGGAGCCGGAGGGCAGGCCGGGCAGGCAGGGAGTGCAGGGAGGGAGGGGGCCGGAGTTGGGTGAATGGGCAGTGGCGGGGCGGGGCGAGGGTACTGCGTTGTAGCCGAGTGTTGTGGCACGGAGGAGGCTACACACAACGCAGGTATGCGCAGCGTGTGGGCTGTGTGTGCGCAGCGTGTGTGCGCAGCTCCATTGGGAGGCGCCCCCCTGTGGCCTGTAGCGGCTGTCAGGGAGGCAACCCGGGCATCAATAATGCTGGCAGAGCGACGGGGGGGAAGACATCCTTAACACCTTACCCCGGGCCTCCGGGCTGATCTGGGGCACCCATGACGCAGGCCTGGGCTGCTGCTGCTCCTGGTGTTGCTGCTGCATGCTGGTGGTGGAGGAGGAGGAGGGCGCTGCTAGGCAAATGAAGGGCTTACAAGCGCTGCGCCTGAGGGGTGGGGCCAGGCAGCCGTGCTCGGTGGGTTAGGTTGCTTGCGGTTCATGCCATTTTCGCCATGGCGGCCGTAGCCATCGATTAATATTACGTTAAATATGAGTTAGCGTCACATTGCAGGCCTCCAGCAGACGTACAACGATCAGCCATGGCAGGTCAGGTTCAGCGGTGTGTCATGCGGGAAAAATGAACAGGTAAACGCGTTGCGCCCACCTCGCGTTCGTAAGCTTCTGAGCTTGAGCTGCTTTATGCGACGCAAGGGGAGCGGTAGGTAACATTTACTTGCTGCCGTGCGCAAGGCCGTGCGCCTTGAAGGGTGTTGTGCAGCGCTAAGCGACAGTGTGAAACAGTATGCATACGTTACAATGTTGCTAAGCTTATTTTAGCGCGCCCGTGATTCTTGCAAGCGCACGTAACTACTGCCCACGGCATTGCAGATGGGTGAAGCGGTAGTGACGTGGCTTACACTCGTCAGGGTCGCCCCATGAACTGCATATGTCCAATGCAAAGTACTGGCTATGCATATATAAGCCATACCAGCAATGCCATAGCGATGTGCTGTAGGTGCTGCTTGTAACCGATTGACCTTCCACGCTGTTCTATTCACGTTTTCGTCGCAGCCAGCAGCAACAATCCTATCTAGATTGCTCCAAAGACACCAGGGGCACTGTGTGATACGTTTTAGCTGCTTTGCGCTGGCCCCGCTGGCACCAGCTCTACATTGACGGGGACATGGGCCGGACAGCAGCACGGCTAGACACGATATGGCCCCAAGGCTCAGACCCAAAGACACTGATATGTCTTCGTGCACAATGCACAGCAGCAGAACTGTTCAGCACGCTCTTCGTGGAGTCCGATCTCTCGGTACGTGTGCAGGAAGCTTTGTCTCCGCTGAAGTGATGACGTGAATTCAACCGTTGAAAGTAGATTCTGTGTGTTCTCGGTATGTTCTATGGTCGGGCTTTGGTTCTCCTGCGCCTTGTCCTTGGTCCTAACCGCACATGTCCGGACTGCGCCCTTTATCCGGGCTTCAATGACTTCTGCGCTCACCTTACCGAGAATGTTGCAAACGGTAGCCCCTATATTTTGTGTTAATTTTTGCTGAATATCGTAGCTGTCAGCGTTGACCTTCCTCCCTGCCACCGCAGCTGCACTCTGTCCGGTCCTGTTTCGCGCCCTGATCCCTTCCTGTCCCTCGCCTCAACCTCTTCCCCTCCCTTCCTCTTTCCCCTTCCTCCTCCACCCACAGGAGCAGCTGCACAAGCAGCGCGGCGACACGGACGTGGTGGAGACGCCCTGGCTGGCCTCGCGTGAGCAGCTGCCGCAGCAGCTGTACAACTGGGACCCGCCGCCAGCAGCAGCGGACGGCCGCAGCCAGCCCTCAGCCAGTCTGAGGTACCGCAAGGTGGGGCTCGGGGGGAGGCTGAGGAAGGGGGGGAGAGCTGGGTGGGTGGGTGGGTGGGCGCTGGGGCGGGGCGGGGCTCTTGCTGGTGGTGTGGTGGCTGGTGCGGAGCGATGTGTGGGCGGGAGGGGTGCCTGGGGTGAGGGGCACCGCCTGACGGGGTTTGCGGCTATGGTGCTTGGGGTGAGAGGTGTCGCGTTGGCTGCAGAGGATGGAGATCCTGACGCTCTCCCCCTCCAACCTCCTCATCCTCCTCCTGCCCTCCTCCTTCTCCTCCCACTGCTGCCGCTGTTGTAGGTGCGGTTCGAGAGCCCACCCACCGCCCTGGCGTCCAAGCCCTTCCAAAACGACGAGATGCAGGTGGGGCGCATGAGGCGATGTGTGTGGTGGGAGGGGCAGGGCTGCTGCCATGAGGGCGGAGTACGGTGAACTGCGGCCAGCGACTGTGCACGTGGGTGCCCCAGCAGTGCGGGCTGTGATGTGAGCGAAGAGCGGAGCAGTGCGGGGGGCGCGCAACCGGTCAGCACGACTTCTCACGCATCGCCCTGATCTTCCTCCTCCTCCTCCCTCCTTCCCTCCCCCCACCTGCCAGGTCCTCACGCAGCTGCTGCCCGGGGTGCTGTATGTGGTGGAGGCGGTGTCGCACACCTCCGCACCCTACGGCGACAAGTTTAGTGTGTTCTTCAGATACGTGCTGCGGTCCGACCCACCCTCCCCTCCTGCTGGTGCTGGCAATGGCGACATCAGCGGTAGCCCCAGCTGCACGCTGCACCTGGTGTTCCATGTGGAGTTCTCGGCTGCCATGAACCGCATGATGCGGCCCATGATTGCCAAGGCAGTGGATGGTGAGGAGGGCGGGGGGGGCGGCAGGGGGGCGGGAGATGACAGGGAGCGTGGACTAGGAGGGGGTGGCAGGGAGCATGGGAGGGAGGCGAAGAGAATGGAGGAGGGAGGGAGGGCGATGGGGTGAGGAAGGGTGAGTAGCAGGCAGTGCGACGACCAAGAGGAGGGACCTGGACGAATATGTGACAGCTGTGGCAACTGAGGGCAAGAGGTGTCCTCTCCTCACCCCCTGCACCCCTCCTTGTCCTCACCCTCCCACCTCCCTCCTTGTCCTCACCCTCCCACCTCCCTCCTTGCCCCTCCCGCCCCCCTCCCTCCCTCCCTCCCTCCCCCCCAGCCGGTGTTCGCGGCACCTTCCGGACCATCCGCTCCCTGCTGGGCAGCCTTCGCCCCGGGGTAGCCGACATGCGGGAGGCCGACCTGTCGCCCTCTCCACCCGACATAGCGGACTTGCTACAACACGTCATGGCGCTGGCAGGGGGGGCGGCTGCGGGGGCTGCTGCTGCTGAGGAGGAGGAGGAGGAGATGCCGCACCCGCCTGCTGCTGCGGCGGCTGCCGTACCGCAACCTCCTGCCGCCGGTATGGCAACATCCGCCGCCTCCTCAGCAGTGCCCGGTGGCGCTGGCGGCGGTGCTGCTGCTCTGGGCAGCGGAGGTGGAGGCGGTGGGGGCCTGCTGCCGGTGCTGACTCAGCAGCTGGTGTACAAGGAGCAGGTGGTGCTGCTGGCAGACCTGGTGGGGGCGGGGCTGAGGTGGGCCACGCACAGCGAGGGGGGGGCGCAGCTGCTGGCAGCGGCACTCACCGTGTGGCTGGTCAGCTGGGTGGTCAGAGCGCTGCGGGGCTGGCAAGCGTTCTGCGGGGTGTTGCTGACCCATGGGTCACTGCAGGAGCGGTTGGTGTTGCAGCGGGAGGATGAAGGGGGAGTAGGGGGGTTGTTGGGGTGGGTGCGGTTGGGTGTGTGTTGGCCGTTGCGGTTGGTGGATGTGCCGGACAGTACGGGGGAGGTGCTGACGTCACTGGCGCTGGTGGCGGCGCTGAACTGGGGCGTGATTGGGGGTGTGGCGGCGGGGGTGCGCTACCTGAGCAGGGAGTACCCGGGGCTGCTGGCGGCGGTGCGAGGCGGCGGAGGCGGAGGGGGTGCCGTCGGTGGCGGAGGCGGAGGCGGCGATGTAGCGGGCGGGCAGCCACCGCCGCAGGTGGCTATGGCGACGACGACGACGGCAGCTGCGGCGACAGCGGTGACAGCTTCAGCTCCTGTGGGCTCCTTTGAGATGTCGGCAATGGGCAGCAAAGCAGCAGCAGCAGCAGCGGGCGGTAAGGCTGCGGGGGCGGTGGCGGCTGGTGGCAGCGGCGCAGCTGCTGCAGCAGCAGCAAGCCAAGATGCTGGGCCGGGGAAGGGCAAGGGTAAGGATGAGGCCGCGAAGGAGAAGGTTAAGGACGATGAAAAGGACAAGGGCGGCGGCAGTGCCTCTGGTGCCACGGTTGCCAAGTCGGCATCCACGCACCCCGCCAAGGCCCCTCCTCCCCCCAAACCCAAGCCCCTGCGCGCCGCCCCCGCTCCCAAGCAGTTCAGCGCCGCCCAGCTACGGCAGCTGGAGCTCGGCCTGCTGTCCAGCAGCGGCGGCAGCAGCAAGCAGCTCAGCACGGCAGCGGCAACCCACACCCCGTCAGCAGCTCCGGCAGCAGCTCCGCCCTCCTCCTCGCCTCCGCCAGCTGCCTCCGCCTCCTCCTCGCTGACGGCGGCGGCGGGTGCCGCAGTCCCCGCCCTGGCTGCCATGTCAGACGCCTGGGCCGCGGACGTGCCGACGGGCCTGGTAGCCGCACCTCCGGCTCGTGACAGCGGCGCCAGCACTGCCGTCACGGCACCGTCCACTGCGGCTGCTGCAGCGCCGGCGGCGGGGGCGGGGGCAGCAGCGGCAGCGGCGGGTCTGAGCGCCTCGCCGCCTCCTCCTCAGGCTGGCGGCGGCGGCTTGGCTCAGCGCAATAGCGGCGGTACGGCAGCTCTCGCGGCGGTGAAGCCACGTTCCGACAGCGGCGGCAGCGGCAGTCCGACCCTGACATCGCCGACCAAGGCGGGGACGCAGGTGTCAGGTCTGACGGCGGCGCTAGGAGGCGGCGGAGGTGCCAGTGCTGCCACTGCCGCCGCCTCCTTCGCCAACATGTTTACCATCGACTCCATGGCGGAGAGCCTGAGATGTGAGCGGGGGGCTGGGTGAGGGGGTTTGCAGCATGGGGCACACGTGGCAGCACGTTGAAGCGGGGAGTACGTTGAGGGAGGTGACCGCTTGGTCTGCTGTTTTAATCGAGTCCTAACGCATGCGTAAAGCTGAAGTCAAGCTGGATGCCTGCGCTTATCTACGACCCGCACCACACATCAAGCTCCCCGCTGCCGTTCCCCTGACAGAGGTTCCCTCCTGCTCCTGCTCCCTCCCCCCAACCCCAGCTGCCTTCCGCTGGGACGTACGCGCCACCGACACCCCGGAGCCCTCCCCCGGCGCCTCCCTCCTCTCCCCACCCGACCGCTCAGCCTCCCCCCTCGCCCTCGCCTCCCTTGCTGCTGCTGCTGCTGCCGGCGGCGGCGGCACCCCCACCTCCCACACCTCGGGCGGCCCCCAAAACAAGGACGCCAAGGCACGGAGCGAGGCGGGAGCAACCACCACCACCACCAGCAGCGGCCCCACCTCCCCCACTGCCTTCGCAGGAGACACGGGGGCAGCCTCAGCGGCGGCCGCTGCCGTCGCGGCGGCAGCGGCGGCGGCGTCTGCCGGCCGTGGCGGCGTTCGCAGCCTGGGCGGCGTGGGAGCCCTGGGCGGCGGTAGCGCCCTGGGCGGTGCGGGGCACAGTGCGCCCTTCCTTGGGGCCAGCTCAATGGCGCTCTCACACCACTTGTACTCCGCACGCTCGGATTCACCGCTGCTGGGAGGAGGAGGAGGGGGAGGGGGAGCGGAGGGGGGGCTGGGTACGGGGGTTGAGGAGCTGTCGGAGGCGGTGGAGCCGGGTGTGGTGGTGGAGGAGGTGTTTGAGAACGAGCGCTTCCAGCCCTTCCGCGGCTGGGGGCACATGTGGCCGGGGCACTTCCTGCCCTCCGACCGGGTGGGGCACTGGAGCGACCGACAGGTGGGGGCGGTGGAGGAGGGGAGGGGGGGGAGGGGGCGGGGGGTCAGGGACCATACCGAACCATAGAGACCACAGGTTGGGGCAAGGCAGTGGGGATAGGAAGCGGCATGGGAGGGGTGAGGAGTGGGAGGGAGGGAGGGAGGGAGGGGAGGGTGTTGTGTGCAAGTGAGGTAGGTGGGGACTGCAAGCTGCTACAGGGGAGCTGGCTACCCGCAGCGGCTGACGGGCTGTCCTCCCTGTCGGAGTCTACTGCCGGTATAGGCACTCGCTGCGAGCCCCGCTTTGATTCACCGCTGTCTCCCTCGTCCCATATTCCATGTCCCTCATCCCATGTCCCCCGTTCACCCCTCCCCCGGGTCAGGGTCAGTGTTTCCTCGGCCCGGTTTATCTTATCCCCCCCCCCCCATGTCCCATCTCCCCCCCTCCCCAGGGCAAGCCGGGCGGCAGTGCCAGCATGGCATTCGAGCAGGTGGTGCCGGTGCTGCCGCGGGGCTGGCGCTGGCTGGAGGAGGAGTGGCAGGTGGGGTGCTGCGGGTGGGTGGGGTGCTTTCCGACCCGCGGGTCGCCACCACCGTGACCCCTGTGTTGCATGCAGTAAGGGGGTGCTGGCAGGCCTTGCCGCATCTCAACCAGCAGCACCTCTCTTATTTCCCTTGACACCCCGCTGCTGCACGCTATACACCTATTCCCATTGTTTTGGCCTAACCTGTGGTTCTGCTATACCTCTTGGGCCCCCCTTCCGCCCCCCCCCCTTCCGCCCCGCCCCCCCCAGGTGGACCTAGAGGGTCTGGAGGTGGAGGCGGTGGACGCGGACGGCTGGACCTACGCCCTGGACTTCTACCTGCTGCGCTACCCGCCGCCGCCGCAGGGGGGCAAGTGCTCGCTGAAACACTTTGTGCGCCGCCGCCGCTACTTCAGGTGCGGGTTGGGGTGCGGGGGGTGCGGGAAGACGTACAACAGGGAGCTGATGTGCTCTTGTGCTGCATGGCGGGCACCGAGTTGCATGTGCTGCTCGGAATGCGGGGCTGCTTGGGACCCCTTGCCTTCCCCAAGCACCCCTGCCCTTTATATCCTCAAGCCCTTTCCAGCCTTCTCCAGCCCTACCACTCTTGTGCTGCTGGCTGACCCCTGCACCACCCCCCCCCACCACCCCGCAAACCAACCCCGCCTCCCCCTCCCCGGGGTGTGTGTCCCCCGGCCAACAGGACGCGGGTGCGCGAGAGCGATGGCGCGCTGCCGCCCTCCGCCTCCTCCGCCCTGAACACCACCTCCACCTCCACCGGGGGCGTCATGCTGATGCCCATGGGGCAGCCTCCTTCGACGGCGGAAGCGGAAGCGGAGGCGGGTGAGGTGGAGGGTGAGGCGGTGGAGGTGGATGCAGCAGGAGGAGGCGGCGGTGCGGAGGAGGAGGAGAAGGAGGAGGGCGGGGCGGGTAGCGGCGGGCTAGCGGGCGGACCCACGAGGAGCCGGACGATGCCATCGCTAGCGGAGGGACTTCCAGCCGTCAGCGTTGCGCCGGGAGGAGGTGGAGGAGAGGGCGCGGTGACTCTTTTGGCGGCCGCTTCTTCCTCCTCCTTTTCTTCCTTTGTGGGGGCGACGTTAGACGGCCCCAGCCGCAGCCTCAGCGGCCAGGTAACGCAGCAACCACCGCCCTCGGCTTCGCCGTTGCACAGTACCGCTGCGGGTTTGGATCAAGCCACGCATGCGACGTCCCCGGGGAACCCCCGCTTCACAAACGGTGGCGGCGGCATCACAAACGGTGGCGGAGGCAGCGGCAGCGGAATGCCCGGAGGTGTCCCCTTCCTGCAGCAAGCAGGAACAGCGGCAGCACCAGCAGCGCCGGCGGCGACGTCGTCTGCGATAGGCATCCCGTCGAGCGACCCGTCCGCCCGTCGTTCCGCCCAGGAGGCCTTCGTGCTGTCCCCCAAAACCATGGTGACCTGCCACGACCCGCTGGGAGCACTGGGGCGCAAGCGGCGGGGGGCTGGCAGCGGCAGCGGCAGCGGGAGTGACGGCAGCGGCAGGAGCACGGCTAGCGGTGAGGCGGGTGATGAGGAGGGGGAGGAGGAAGAGGTGGTGCAGGCAGCTGTGTCCTCCATGCACTCTGGAGGCAGCAGCAGCGGCAGCGGTCATGGCGCTGTCATGCCGGGGGTCGAGGAAGGTGCGGGCGGAGCGCTGGCTGCGGCACCGCTGGAGCTGCCCGGGCTGGCGACGAGCGGGGCGGAAGAAGCAGCTGTAGCGGCGGCGGAGGCGGCTAGGGTGGCAGCGGCGGCAGTAGCGGCAGTGGTGGCGGCAGCGGATGAGGCGGCGGCGGGACGTGTGGCGGAGGCGGCGGAGGCGGTGCGACGGCGGGCATCTTCGGAGTCGTCCTCGTCGTCGAAGAGTGATCTCGGGGCGAGGGTGCTGACCGCGGCGGAGGTGCTGCGGGAGGAAGAAGAGGCCGCCGCTGCTGCTGCTGCTGCCGCCGCTGCTTCCACTTCAACAGCAGCAGCAGCTGCTGCAGCAACCGGCGCTGCTGACGACGTCAAGGTCGGCGCCGCTGAGGGCCGTGACGGCCGTGACGAAGCTGCAGCAGCGGTGGCGGCTCAAGGAGCGGCGTCGCCGTCGCCGGTTGGTGTACGGCAGTCGTCAGGGCCGTCGCCGTCGCTGCCGCCCCTCCCGCCGCCGCCGCCGCGCAGGGCCTTCAGCGGGCTACTGGGAGAGAGCGAGGGCACGTCGCCGAAGCGGCCTCGGGTTGGTATGGAGGAGGCGGTTGAGGTGACGGAGGGAGCGGTGGTGGCGGCTGACTTGGTGGAGTGAGGCGTCGGGGCGTTGGACCTAACTACTGGAGGTGTAACTGACTAGGGTTGGAGTGGCTGGGGCGTTGTGGGGCTTTAGATGCTTGCTCAGTGTCACCACCTTTGCGTGACCTGGTTGCGTCCTGGTTGCGGTCTGTCGGTTGCATAGGAGAGGTTTGCATGCGAGGAGGTTGGAACAGGGGCACCAGCGCTTGGGCAGTCGGGCATATGGGTCGGTAGAACCGATGTGTTCGTACATGCCGCCGTTGAAGGTGCGGTGTACCAATGTAGACTGCGGAGCGATGTAAGGTTGGTGTGGCGCCTCAGTGCTTTGTCGTACGTGTCCAAGTGTGTGCTGTCTAGGCACGTGTACTTCATCTTCTCGAAGAGACTTGACGTCCTTTCATTCATGGTGGGTGTTAAAAATGAAGCGGGCCTTCGCTAACGCATAGCTAACAAACATGTGTAATGTAATGCACGCATGCAAGAAACCCCATGGCTGCTTGCATAGTTCCTCCTTGTCCGAAGCTTGTAACAAAGTCCGGAAAAGCCTTATTGAAAGGTACTAATGAAGCATTATCTGTGGCGGCTTTCTGCGGAGATGATCCTCGTAGGGTACAATTTGTGGGTGCTTGCCAGCCGGCATGAGTGTTCTCGTCGCAGATGGGGCCCACTGCCATGCAAGAGCGTCGTCCGAGCACAAGTGGGTAACAATGGGGCCAAGCATGGGAGGACGTTCTGCTTACAACTACAGGCTACATGCCTTCCATCATCCGCAGTGCCGGGAGTGAGAGTTGACAGATCTCCTGGGCTGTCCAACAATAATTGTACGACACGTCAAATAAGCACTCGCTCCCGTTTGTAGAAAAGAATGAGAACCCCGGGACAACTTTCCCAGACCCCATCCAGACTTTATTGCACGGCAGTTATCGTCCATTAATGAGTCGCTTGCGTACGGTACCGGCACAGTTGCCGTACACAAGCACGTTCCATACACAACTACACACACGTACGCCCACACGATTTGCGGCCAGTTGAAAAGTAACACACACAAACACACGACTCGCGGCCAGGTTTCCGGCTCGCGGCCAATTATCTTAACACAAACACACGAAACACACACGTCTACGTTGTCGCGGTCAGTATTAGCTCGTGGCCCAGTTCGCACACACCTGTAACCATCACCTTCACCATCACCTTCGCATCCCTCACGTCACGTCGTCGTTGCCATCCCTCCGGAGCTCACGGCTTAGATGGCTTACCGCGCCTGTTTGGTCACAGCTTGCAGTCATGATAGACACACATCATAGTAGTAGTCATTCCATCACGGACAGTTTGTAGTAAGACGCACAAAGACACGTTACACGCACACGCAAGGCACGCAATGTCCTGTCCACAAATTGGGGCATCTTAGGCTGTAGAAATCGGATATATAGTATACAATAAGCCTAACACGAGGCCCAAGGCTCACGGTTATCCTCATAGTAGTCCTCTCTCCACATATGCTACGTTGTGTCGGCGCATCCCGATAACAGAGGTATATTACGCCGAATTGTGGTTTGTCACACCGCCCCTGCACAACGTACGCACACCGCGCCTTTGCCGCCTCACAGTCACACAGCCCCGAAAGACGACGCTTTCGCCCAGAGCAACACCGCGCTCTTCACAGAATGGCAATCCTGACCGGCGCGTTAGGTCGCAATGACGCCCATACGCCCCGATGATTGCACAATCTCACGCGCCCCTCACGGCAATCCGCTGTTGGTGCTCCGGCTTGACAAACAGGCTTGGGTTTTTCTTGGGCACCGTCACGGTTAGCACGCCCCTGTCGATGAAGGCGCTGATCTTGTCCGCGTTGACGTTCATGGGCAGAGCGAACGCGCGGCTGAAGCTGTAGGAGCTGCGCTCGTTGCGCCACATCTTGCCGCTGGCATCCATCATGTGGTTCGAAACCTTGCGCACGCCGCTGACTGTCAGCAAGCCCTCGTGCAGCATCACCTGTAAGTCTTCAGGTGCAAGGCCTGGTGTGTCGGCGCGGAGTTCGTAAGCGAAGTCGGTTTCAACGATGTCCATGGGAAAGACATCCGAAGGAGTTGGGACTTTGCTAGACCGTGAGCCGATGAGCGGACTGTACGTGGCTGCGCCGACATAATCATTAGAAATGACGCGGTTCATAGCGCGGTCGACCTCATTGAAGAAAGGGTCAGCGAAGACCGCTGGGGGCGCCATGAGGTTTGCCCGGCTGCAGTGAAGGCGCTGGGCACAGTTCAACGAGAAGGCAGTCAACAATAGCTTGCGGCTTTAATTACTGCGGTCCTTCAAGGAAAACTAGCGCAAGAGGAGTTACAGGCAGTCGGAGTTATTTATGTGTAGACTACTGAAATCGTTTGCTATGTATCGTAGGGGCGCTGCGTTTATGGTATCGGGTCAAAATTTGCAAGAAATGCTTTAGAGATATGCCTACCAAGGTGTTAATCACAGCGTGACGATTTCTCTTCAGGTCCTCACCGGAAGTCGTTAACCACCCAAGACTCTGCCGACTGTGACGATTGCTACCATGATGGTCTGCTCAAGCGCTCGCCTTTATATGCCTAGCATTTCTTCGCGATGGCTCTGTAGACGAAGGTAAACCGTCATCGCTCCGTTGTTGCAGGTGCGGTAACCGCCAAGCAAGTTTAACATCGAGCTCCACTCACATCACGAGGACAGCGTATATCTATAGAATTTCTCTTAACACGGTGTTGCTACAATGTCCGGACCTGCGCTGCCTTGCCACGGACGCCAACTCGGTTGCCGATGCCACGCATACATCAGATAGATGTCCAAGTAACACCAAACAAAAAAGGGTCTAGCTCATGGGATGCGCAAATGGATATAGTGCGTTAGGATAAAATATTCTATGTAGTCATAAGCAAAGCTGGCCAGCTAGCTTCTGCCACGTCATGTCTCGCTAAATGGAAGGTGCCCTCGCGTGGCTTCCTAAGCGATGTGACTCAACAGTCTATGGGACAGCGGAAAGCCGTTGCTAATAGTTTCAAACAGCGACGGCACGTCAGCACCAAGCCCTGACGCCTCATGCCCCGGGGTCACACTGCAAGCACTCATGTATCCCAGAGTCACCCTGTACACGCAACCTCTTATCACTGTTGCCCCCCAAACCACCCCACGGTGCCGGATTTCCTCCTGTCCCGCACGACAACGGGTAGCCTGATAGCGACGCAAGGCAACCGTCAGTGTATAGCTTATGAGCTTATCAGAGGCCGCGGTGGCTCCCCTCTTTCTCCCCTAATCCCTTCATTTCATCCTCCAATCTTCCACCTCCCTGAGTCCCCGTCCTTCTTGTCGCTCACCATCCCAGTCCCCCCTCCCCCGCTTTTCCGTTCCCCCGGAGCTTGTCGTCTGGTTAGCGTTCTCGTTCCATGCATTTGGAGTTCTTCTTGTTCCCCTCCAGCTCCCTCAGACGAACGCTGACCCCAGCTATGATGTACCTTTCGCAGCGGATTACACAGTGCAATACATGTTCGGAATCACAGGATGCTGTAAGTCGCTCTGCTCTGCTCATGCTCTGCACCAACAATGCCGCATGCATGCATGCTAGCGGCAAAAGCGGAAGGCATTACCCAACCGTCCCTTCCCTACTGCAGCAGCAAGCCAGCAACCCTCCTGCCGCTTACCACAACAACCCCAAGTGCACCGCATCTCGCACCCCAGCGGCCCGCCCCTCACCCCCTCCCTTCCGCTATCCACCACCTCCCCCCGCGCCCCCGCACATAGGACTCTACTTCCGCTACGTCGTGGCGACCCGCGTGAGCCCCCCCCTCTCATCCGCCTCCTCCCGACCCTCACAGAGTACCTGCCCACCGGCGGCCGACACACCCTCACTCCCCCCCTCCTCCTCCTACCCTCCTCCCACACAGACCCCCCTCCCACACTCCCCTCCTCCCCCTCTCACGGCGTGGGGAAGCCCCGCTGGTCCCACACCCACACCGACTCATCCCACCCCGCACTCGCCACCACCCCCTCCCGCAGCGTGCTTGCGTCCAGCCCCACCGCGAACTCGCTGTGGTGGTCCCACGACCGCACCGGCAGCCCCTGAGCAGCCTGCAGTGGGGCCCGGGGGGGGGGGAGAGGGGGAAGAGATATGCCAAAGCCTTAGGAAACCACAAATTAGGGCAGGTTACTGGGGGAATGAGGGGGGGGAAGAAAGGAGGCCATGCGTTGGATAACAGCGGCGGCAAGTAATGGTGACAAGTAAGGCGAGGTAGGAGGGGGCACCGCGCACCGGGAGAGGGGTGGGGCGGGGGCAGGGGAGCTGGTGGCCTAGGATGTCAACTGGGTGGTTAGGTTGGAGCCGGTGCAGCGATGGTGGTGCGTGTGGTGGTGCGAGCGGGATTGGGACGGTACGGTCGGTGCACCTGCCTCGCGCCCCCCCTGGGCAGTCCCCCCCTTGTCGCCCCCCCCCACCTGCGGTGACGCCGTGTCCCACAGCTTGACTGTCATGTCGTAGGAGCAGGAGAGCAGCAGCGAGGGGGCGTGCGGGGAGAACAGCACGCGGCGCACAGCGTAGCTGCACCGGGCGGGGGAGGCAGGGGGGCGGGGGGGGGGGAGGGAAGTGAAGACAGGTGTGGAGAGGAGGTGTCCCAGGCGGCGTCCGTGCATCCCTCCTACCCGTATGCACATAGGCAATGCTCCCACCCCTGCCTCCATATCAGGTCATCGGGATAAGGCCGCGTTAGCTTAGGTACCACTCCTACCCAAGCCCCCACACGCGCCCCCCTGCACCCCCATGTCTGGCCCCCGCACTGCTGCCCCTCCCCCACTCCCCACCCCCCCTGCCACCCCCGTCACTATCTCATTATATTTTTTACCCCCTCCCTATCCCACCTGTGTGCGGGTATGACCAGCCGCTCCCGCCCCGGCATGCGCACGTCCCACAGCTTGATGCTCTTGTCCACACTGCCGGTGGCCAGCATGCAGTCGTCGTACTTGCACCAGTCGGCGGCCAGGACCTGAGCAGGGGTGGAGGGGAGGGGGGGGGGGAGGAGGGGGGAGGAGATGGAGGAGGTTAGCGTGAACGTGAGCGGGAACAAGGCTATTAGACAGCAGCGGAGCAGCAGCGTGAATATTACTTCCGACGTTTCGAGCCCCTCGGGACCCGCACCCGTGTTACCCTTCCATCCCCCTCCCCCTGCCCATGCCCATGCTACCCCCAGCTTCCCCTCCCCCGCCCCCTCCCCCCACCTCGTATCCATGTGCCGGCAGCACCAGGGAGGGCGCGGGCTGCCTCAGGTCCCAAACCCGCACCGTGGTGTCACCGGAGGCGGTCAGGAACACGTCGGGCTCGCGCGGGTTCCTGGGGGGGTTAGAAAAGAGAGGAAAGGAGGGAGAGAAGGCGGGCACGGGGGTAGGCAGGCTCAAGCGGTGGGCGAGAGCTGCTGCCGTGTTCCAGCGCCGCTCAGCTGCCAGCGCGCAGCTGATGGAATGGTGCAGTTGTGCCGCAGGAAGCACTGCCCAGCCCAGCCCAGCACCTGTGTCCCCTAGCGGCCCACACATCAGGCCGCCCGCCACCTCGCCCTGAGCTCCCTTTCCCCCCCACCCCCCCACCCGCCCCCTGCTCTCCTCAGCCCTCCCCCGCTAGTACCGGTATCCTCATTGCCCCCCTCCCCCCCCCCGCTCCCCCCCCCGCCCCCACCACGCCACATGGTACACGCAGTAGGTGTGCCCCGCGAAGGTGCGCAGCGAGGTGGGGGCGGCCAGGCTCCACAGCCGCGCGGTGTCATCCCAGGAGGAGGACAGGAACAGGTCGCGGCGGGCGGGGTTCCAGGCAAGAGAGCAACACTGGGGGGGAGGGGGGCGAGAGGGGGGTCAAAGACCATACCGAACCATAGGAAACCACAGGTTGGGGCAAGACAATCGGGCGGGCGCGGGAGGGGTGGAGGCCGGAGGGCGCGGGGGCAGTCAGCTGGGCGCTGAGCTGGTGGCAGGCGTGAAGGATAAACAAAGGCGAGAAGAGGTGGCAGGAGGTAACCGCATGCTGGCTTGTCGCGTTCAGGGGTTTTGGCTCTCTTGATGGTCCCCCTCCCTCTCCACTCCCCCCCTCCCCATCAACCCCCCAAACCCCCGCTACCTCGTGTTTGTGTTCCTTGAACCCCCGCACGGGGTTGGCGGCGGGCGGCAGGGCCGTGTCGTACACCTTTATGGATCCGTCCCCCGAGGCCGACACCAGGATGTTCTCGTTGGCCTCGCTCCAGGCGCAGTCGTACAGCCCGTCCTGGGTGTCGTACTGCGCCACCTCATGCAGCGCGCCGTTGGGGGCGATCTGGAGGGGAGGAAGGGGGCGATATTGCGAACAACATGCGCAGGGCCGCAGGACATGGTATGTCTGGCTAGGGGGGCGGGTGTACGGCAGCAGGACATGTGGGTTCTTGCGGGCGGTGGAGTTTAGTAGCCATACACGTGCTAATCACCGAGGCGCGCAATCCCCCATGTAAACGGTATTGTCAGTAACCAGCAACATCACATTGCCATCCGCACGGTCGCCCACGCCTCTTTCCGCTTTCGCCGCACGCATCGCACCTCGAACACGTGCTGCTTTCCATTTCCGATGATGCCAAAGTTCTGGGCAGTGGCGACAGCTATGCGCCCCTCATAGAAAGGACTAAACTTGACGGAATAGGCATTGAAGGCCGTCCTGCAACGCCCCATCGCGCCAGGACGGCCAAGCCGAGGAAAGAGCTTTCTGCGCTGTAAGCGATGTACCGATGGCCTACCGGATGGCGTACGCTAGGTCCGCCAACGGTTATCGGAACAGCTACTAGATTCGTTCGCAGGACCTACTTGGTACTTATGGATTATAAATGCGGTACACAAGCGATGTGCTTAAAAGCAAGATGAAAGTTACTCAGTGCGAGTGTGCGGACTGTTGTCTGAGCTGGCGAGACGCAAATCGACAGCCAGTAACACCGTTAAAACGTACTGCGCTGCTATAAACAAATGCGCGCACTTTGAAGATGTTTACCGGGTTGGGCGGTTAGCATTGTCGGCGCATGATGGATGGTGCCCACCCGTACAGTTCGCGCGCGCTTCACTGCAAGCATCCATTTGCCACCAGACGCTACTCGAGCTGCAGGCATTACTTTGCATGTTTTAGTCTGGGAGACACGGCTTAGATCTGTCACCGGAGTTTGCCTCTTTACTATTCGTCGTTGCCTTACCTGAGGCTAGTGCTCGGACTGTTAGCTTGGCACGTACACGACTAGTGTAACTGTCATTCTGCATTCGCTTCCTAGCGATCGCACGCCTCGGCTTTTCCGTCTCCACAACTCCTTGTTAGCGATGGCCAAAGACCTCCTCGAGCACATTGACTTCTCGTCTCTGGAGTGCTTGAACGAGGCACCAGGCCACGGAGCAGATCAAGTGCTTAAGCAGGGCTATCGGGAGCAAGACGGACTGTACCTTGAGTCAGATACGGATGAGCAGTTGCTTCTGAACATCCGCTTCCACCAGCGCGTCAAGCTTCAGGGCATCGTCATCAAAGCGACGGATGAAGCCAAGGCGCCAAAGACTGTGAAACTATACACGAACCGCCCTCATATGGGGTGAGCATACCTGGCATGCAACATGCACATGGCAACTAGCTAATGCGCCGCCTAGTTCAATGAGGGACCTGGCGCACTTTTGCTGATCAAACCTGCAGTAATAATGGTCCTACAACGGGGAAACCGCAGCTAGGAAATGCGCTGCTGCTTGTAACCTTCTATTCGTACCCAATGCTTCGCATGACCTAACCCCGACGCAACATCCCCGCAACCCCCCGCTCACCTCTCGCACGGTCTTGGCACTCGGAACCCGCACCGCCTTCCTCCTCTCCTCCTTCTCTCCTCTTCATGCCCCTTTCTCCCCTGCCTGCCCCATCCCTCCTCTCCTGCCTCTCCCCTCCCCTGCCTCCTCCTCCTCCTCCCCCCTCCCGCAGCTTCAGCGATGTGTCCTCCGTCCCCTGCGCCCAGCAGCTGGACCTCTCACCCGCGCAGGTAGGGGGGCAGAGGGGGACAGGAGGGTAGGGGCAGGGGGGGACAGGAGGGTAGGGGCAGGGGGGGACAGGAGGGTAGGGGCAGGGGGGGACAGGAGGGTAGGGGGGCAGAGGGGGACAGGAGGGTAGGGGGGCAGAGGGGGACAGGAGGGTAGGGGCAGGGGCAAGGGGGGGGGGCAGTGTGCTAATCAGCACCGTCACCCCTCCGGGGTCTTCCGCGGCAATGCTGCTGCACCACCCCCGCGCCACCCCTCCGCCCCCCACCACTGCCGCTCTCCCCGGCCCCCCACCCAACCCATAGTGAAGCCTCGTCATACAGTTCGTCAGTCTCCCTTTCCTTGGCCCGCGCCCCCACCCGTGCCTCCCCCCTGCATCAGGTGGCTCAGGGCGCCACCCTGCCGCTGAAGCTGGTCAAGTTCACCAACGTGGAGGTGCTGAGCGGTGAGGGGGGAGGGAAGGGGTTGACGGGGGAGCGGGGTGAGGGGTGAGAGATGGGGGGAGCGGGGAGGGGTGGGGGGTGAGGGAAAAGGGGGGGAGGGGACAGAGTCAGGGGCAGGGGACTGTTTTTTAAGCCCGGAGGGGGCGGCGGGGATAAGCTGGGAGGAGGCGGCGGGAATAAGAGGTGCGGCGTAGGATGCATTGGGAGGGTTATCGGTTCCTCTTCCTAATCCTGCCTGAACTTTTGCCTGATCTATGCCCTCCCCCACCTCCCGCCCACCCCACCCCCCCTCCATCCTCCAGTGTTCATCGAGAGCAACCAGGGGGACGAGGAGGTGACGCAGCTGACCAAGCTGGCGCTGCTGGGGGCGGCGGGGGAGGTGTTCAATGTGGCGGAGATCAAGAAGGTGGAGGAGGCGCACTGAGGGGGGAGGCGCACTGAGGGGGGAGAGGAGGAGAGAAGGAGGAGGGGGGTTCAAAGATAGGGACGTGGGGTACCGAGGTAGGAAGGCATTGATCGGTTCCGAAGGCGCGGAGTGGGGGAGACGTGGATTGGAGGCGGGGCATACACATGTACACGTGAGCCCACATGAGGGGGCGGAGGTGGAGGCGGGAGGCCGCATGCATCATGGGCTTGTCTCATGACGCCATGCGCATGTGTGAGCATGTGTGTGGGACCCGGCGGCGGCGGAGGGCAGCGGGCGGTGCGGGCAGGCAGGCAGGCAGGCAGGCAGGCCCGGTGTGCTCTAGATGGAGGGCAGAGCTGGGGGCTGGGAGGGGAGCCGGGCAGGGCTGACACGAGGCGGTCTGCGCACCCGCTGGCGGAGGACTGGCTTCAGGACACCTGCAGCGGGTGTAGTCAAGTGTAGCCGTAGCGGGGGAGCGGTGCTGGTGGTGACATAGTGGCATGGGAAGCAGACAGCCCTACGTGCGGTAGTGCCCGAATGGCGTGTGCTTGGTGTGTCGCAGTTTGGGTTGCCGTGTCAGCGCTGCCGCTGCACCCCCTTGCGTCCCGCGGTGAGTGGGGATGTCTGTCTCCGAAAGGAGCCTCCCTTTCGCGGCTGGTTGGGAACGGCACCAGCACCAGCGCTAGGCTGCCGCTCGAGCTGCCTAGACGTTGCAAGCAGCCTGGGACTACCGAGCCTGGGACTACTTACACCTGTGGAGCCTGTGCACCTACCCTAGCTCTGTCGTTTAAAGGTCAGAAAGGGGTTCCTCCTCCTCCTCCTGCTCCTTCAGCCAGTTCCGAATCGTCACCACCGCCCTCTTAACCTCCTTGAACCCCTCCGCATGCGCCGCACCCTGCCCGACCGCCCGCCGCAAGCAAACGTGTTGTCGCACCAGCCCGGACACGCTTCCGCAAACCCAGCAGGCAGCGCCGACCCATGGGTCAGCAATGTCCACAGCGGCTGTCCATGCGCAACCCAGTCGTACCCCATAGCCGCGCCGAACTGGTGGCCAGGCGTGTAACGTCGAAAGGACTTTTAATATGCTACAAGGCGGAGACCGGTCATGGTGACGCCATGCAAACACACAGCTTAGCGGTTTTGCAGTTTGGAGCAGTACGTTACTTTTTTAGTTACTGTTCGCCAGTACACATGTCCACCCGGTTCAGCCTATGTTTTTCAGCACGCCCTCCTCCACCTCCTCCTCCTGCACGGCAGCTACCGCTAGCGGGTGAGTGCCTGGATGAAGGGGAAGGGCGATGAGAGCACCACGCACCACCCGCCGCCCATACATGAGAGTTCATCAAGGCCATTGTATGTACAAGTAATGGCACACAGTACCCTAATAGCACACTGCTGGCAGGGGGGTGGCACAGCACCGCAGCACGTCATGTACGATACAAGGTAACTGCCAACTACCGGAAGTTGGTTGAACCGTCCCAACCCACGTCAGATGGCGCTGAATCAGCAGGGACCGCATCCTTACACACGGCCACTTTCAATCCCCTTGGGAATACCGCTAAGTACCAGTCGTACAACCCTAGCGTACAGCCCAAGGTCTTGCTCCGTCCTTTACATCCCACTCACTTCATCATGGCCATAACCATGCAGGCGCGTCCGCGCCAAACGCATACCCGCCGTATGCGTGTTGCCGTACATACGCCATTGCCGTACATACACTGCAAGGACGGAACAAGCACGTGTTGCCGTATACCTTTGTATGCCGCACATAGGGACAAGACCCTGACGAGCGACATGGAGCAGGCCTCTGCCCCGCCTGCTGCTATGGTTGCAAACAACGGACGGGCTGCCACTGCATGCCCCACCAAACGCCAGACCCCCGCCATAACAACAACCATGGTGTCAGGTAACCTACACAACAACGGAAATATGAAGCCCGCATGCTATACAGGTGCACACTTCCGACCCACAGCCAGTTTCCTTAACACACATGTAAACCGCCACCCTTCCATGCAGCCCATCCGTTCAATAGTCCCATGCCCCGCCCCAACACCCCCACCCGCATGTCAGCCAGCAGTCGCTAGGGGCAGCAGAAGCCGACCGAGCCACAGCACAGGAAACCTTTTTGACGTATGGCTAGGTTGGCCTCCTCCGACCGTACTCAGCTACACACCCCCTGGAGCCTACACGCCCCCTCCACTGCACTGAAGCGACCCTAGCGACACCTCCGGCAGGGCCCAACACACCAGTACTACGGTATAGGAAACCTTTTTGACGTAAGCGGTATATGTCACATACAGCCATCCGACCAGGCCCCACCTCGCCCGCTACCCACACACCACCATCTCTGCCTCTAGCAGGTACCGCTCATCACAGCAGCAGACCAAGCACCGCCCACGGCAAATATCCCGCAGACACTGCATGGGATGCGGGTTGGTGCGAGTGCAGTGCAGTGCAGAGCTGCATACGACTACTACTGCTGCTGCTGTTGGTGCTGGTGCTGGTGCTGGTGCTGCTGCTCACCCAGCCATGCCAGTACCCTCTGTTGTTGTCCTGCAGCCCAGTGCGTGCACCTTCTCGCCCTCATGACTGCCCCCTCCCAGTTCACGGGGCAGCCCAGCTCCAGAAGGCAGCGCAGAGCCTCAACGGGGGCACACTTGATGACACAGTAGGTGAAGGTCTGAGGTGATCCCCAGGGGCAGCCCAGCCGCCCCAGGCAGCGCAGTGTGGCCAGGTCGCCGTTGCAGGCGGCATGCGTGTAGGCGTCACCGTTTGCCTGTGGTGTTTCGCAATGAGCATGAGGCCGGGAACACGGGACACGTCCGGTTAATTTGCCTAGAAAATTGGGGTACTAGGCCGCTCCAGGGAGGGGCGGCCCGTTACAATTCTCTGCTGACAATCACCCAAACGGCATGGGTGCTGCAGCTCCCCACAACCCTCACCACCTTCCCCACACCCACCCCCCAGGGGCAGCCCTGCTCCACCAGCCACTCCAGCGCCTCCACCCAGCCTGCCTTGGCTGCCCTGCTGAAGGTATCCAAACCCCAGGGGCAGCCGCGTTGCCGCAGCCACCTCAGCAGCTCCCGGTTGCCCGACTGGGCTGCACTGGTGCAGCTGGCGGTTGCCAAGTTCACGCCCACCTCCTCCACCAGCCATGCAACTGACTCCAAGTTCCCGCTAAGAAGAACATTATGAAGGACAGCAGGAGGGGCGCCCAGCAGGCCATAGCGGGCATGGAGCCACTGCAAGGCAGCCAGGCTGCCACACCGTGCTGCGCGCCATGCAAGTGTCCGTAGAATGTCGCCCATGCCGTTCAGCTGCTGCAGCTCGTTGCACAGGTAGTCCAGAAGAGTGACGTCGCCCTGCTGTGCCGCCGCAATGAACACGCACACACCCACCCGGTAGCCCCGCTGCCGTAGCCAGATGAGGCGGCTAAGTGCATCTGAGCACGTGGCGGCTTCGTTGCGTGCATCGAAGTACTTGGTGCAGCCCCGCTCCTCTAGCCACAGCACCTTGTCCTGCCAGTCAGGGGTGGGGCTGCCGGCCGCGGCTGCGAGGATTACATCCTTGCTGTGCTGCTCCAGCTGCTCGCCCCCCCATACAATGTACAGCTGCTGCAGGGCCGCCAGGTCGCAACCTTCAGCGGCTGCCTCCAGCAGAATGTGGCTGTCTACTTCCAATCCTTCCGGTTGCTGCTGCAGTAGCCATTCCATCAGGCCCGCATGGCCCCCTCGAGCTGCAGCGTACACAGCTTCCCGGCTCCAAGGGCAGCCATTCGCCAGCAGCCACTCGCAAGCCGCCCGCTGCCCTGCCCCTGCAGCTGCAGCCAAAGCATCACCCCAGGGGCAGCCCTGCTGCCGCAGCCACTCACATGCCTCCAGCTGCCCAGCGGCTGCTGCTGCCTCTAGCACGTCAGGCGTCAGGACGCATCCCGCGTGGGTTGTTGCCGCCTGAAGGTTGGGGAGGCTGCCGGAAGATGCTGTCAGGCACAGCAGCTGCCGGCGTTGCTTCAGTGTCAGGCCCCGCATGACACCGGGACTGCCCCAGTGCTGCTCGAAGGCGTGCGGAGGAGAAGGCTGTGATAGCCGTATGGTGGTGTACTGAGGGCCGCGGAAGTGCGCAGCAGTAGCCTTGTTGATGAGGCGGCCTGTGAGCGCAATCTCGTTGGCTGGCAGGAAGGGCACAATTGAGATCACAAGCGCTGGCGGCAAGTCAAGCCAGAGTTCCGAGTCAAGCTGCTCCGGCTGATCTGGATGGGAGGAGCCCTGTTCAGCCATTTGGTTGGTAACCTCTTGCGGCAACTGGTTTGGGGCTGTTATGCCGTCACGCAAGAACGGAACAACTGTATTAACAGTTTGTGGTTTGCCTCTTTTGGGAAGGAATTGGTATTTCAGGAGTAACTGGATACCTGGACGCCGCTCGGAGCTTCATGCACCTGCCGTCCAAGGGCACGACAGCCATTAGCTGATGCGAACCCAATTTGCTCCGCTTAATGCCTAACGGAAGTTTGGCTTGTTGCACTTTGTGGTATCATTATCTTCTTATGAATACTGATGCCCGCAAGGGGATCTATCGCATTCAATGGAACACCCTTGCGGCACATGCTTACGGGACCACATCTTGCTGGGATGCGGTCCTCACTGCATAAAGCTGTTGATGATTGGTCTGCCTGGCATGGATATGGTAATTAAGGCAAGTAGAACGGACAGATCCATATAATCTTTGATTGTCTGGTTCTCAAACAACACTACAACACTAAGGTAGGCGCTGGGTTATGGTTTTGAATCACTTTCGGGAGCCATGGGTAACGGTCATTCTTACATCCGAGGTAAGTATCACAGACGTGGCATGGTCGGGACGCGGAAGCGGTCTGGGAAAGGCACGGGATGTTGCATACCACACTACCCCTTCTTCCACTTGTGAATGGCTAATAAGGGGCTCTGTAAGCAACCCTGGAAGGCCCATGCCTGAAACGACCCACGGGTCGCGCAAGGAAAGTAGTAGTCGGAGCGCAGTCCATCCTCCTCACCCAAGCTCAAAGCGCCCCCATGCCTTCTATCTACTCTTCCGCACATACGTTATCACACACCCTCATGCTTCCAAAAGGACTCCTCACCTCCCGCAGCAGGCTACCGAGGCTATACCGAGGCTGATGGCTGAAAAGGGCACCTCTCTACACCTACCGGCACAAAAGCAAAATCATAAATTAACATACCAGGGCACGGCCAGCCGCATGCCGGACACAGCAAGGGGCCATTGTTTGAGTAACAACGGCACGGTCTCTACACACCACCTGCCCACTCTTCACAAAACTTCCTGCTCAAAATCGCCAAAATGTCAGAGCCCCGTGGTGTTCCTGCAACCGGCTCTCAACGACCCATGGTTCATTGGCGTACAGACATTGGTAACATGCAAAGCGTGCAACAGCTGGTCGTGCACAGCTGTATCAAAGCAGCGTCCTTCATCCGGGTTGTAGCCTGTTGCTTCGGGGGTCTCCTTTGGGGCAAGGAGCAGCCCACCAGCAGGGCGTTGCACATCCCGCAAATGCATACCATAACTTGCAATTGTTGCGGCTTCCGTTATTTCCAACGACCACCGGCGGTTTCCGTTACGCATCCACACAAGTATGCAATCAAACACTTCTTAGACCCGCAGTGAAGTGTGCTGTAATAAGCCGGGAGCTGCGTGTGTGCTGCGCTGTGTCGGTGGGTGGGTGGCAGGGTGCGGGACCTCGTCTCCACTTCCAGCCGCAATCTGAGCTCTGACTGCACCAGCCGCAGGGGGGTCATCGGGCGGGCTCGATGG